TTATCTGAGGTCCTTCGGCCATCCGAAGCTTTCATACGACAAAAATAAAGGATTTTTGTACCTCGAAACTTGCATTTTTTCAATTAATCCATCGTTTCGTTTGTAAAAAGGTAGTGGATTTTCCTCGGTGTGTCATTTCCTGATACAAAATGGCTTGTTTTCCAAAAAGTAAAAGGTCAAGTTCGTTACGATCATTTTGACAGTTGACTTTTATCTGAGGTTAGAAAGTTTTTTGCATCATCTTGATACAATCCGGTTAAGATCACAGAGTAGAAGAAATTGCAACTATAGAATGGTATTCCGAAGAGGAATCTTATGTACAAACTTATTTAAGGCACTACCTGTATAAGTACCTATATTTAGCACACCAGATTTTTAGAAGAGTTTAAAATCCTTCGTGCTCTAATTACCGAGCGAAAATATCTGTTAAGTAGGTACTTTGAGGAGCAAAAAAAAGGCGTTATCAGGCCGAGAGTACTTAATTTGTCGAGTGAGCGGTCATATTAAGTCGTGGCCTGTTCGAATCGAAGATATGCGGTGTGTTGTGTGTGTGTATGTGCGCGTATATACGAGGGGTGACGGGTATCCGGCCCGGTAATTAATCGGAATGACTGGAACAAGCCTTACACATTAACAACTTGTTATTGAAGATAAATTTGCGCTCGGGGCGCTAGAGGATGGCTCGCGGGACTATCGAGCGTTTAGTTCGAATACCGGGGCCGTGCGATACGTTCTGGTGGGTTTAATCAATTTTTTCGAATGGTATAAAGTATATAATTCGAAGCGCGATAAACATGCACCAAGCGCTCGCTTTTTTTTCTTGCCGTTTGCGTGCCGTTCTTTGATTAATTACGGCATAATGAAAGGCCATTATCGATTAAAACATAAAAATTTAATTAAAATATATAATAGGAGTTAATTGCGACATGTACTGAATTTCTTGTGGTTACGCAAATAAATGCAGTCGAACAATTAATAAAATAAATAACGAATCACGGAAGTTTTCATTAATTAAATTAATTAATTTCTGTGTTTTTAGAACCAATTAGAGATAATAAAATATTTATTGTTGCGTGAAGGCCGGCAATCATGAAACTGCAAAGTTTCATTAAAACTTAATTTTCTTTCGAATTTATTTTATTATCGTATACCTACAGCACCTAACCCATAAATTTATTGGGCGTTTTAGATATAAACTTATAAACATCTATTACTTTGATGGATATTAATATCTATTTATTGTTATTACCTAGTTAATATTATTATTTTAATTGCCTACTATGATTTTATTATTAAAACAATGTTAGTAAAAGTGTGTATGTGTATACGAGGGAACGTCGATTTTTTCATAAAAAAAAGGAAAACTTGGTAAAATTCAATTTTAAGAACTTAGTAGAGGTACTAACTCGTAGGTAGTACTTATATCGTGGCAGCTCAACGACCTCATTCGCTTTAACGACGACGACGTTCTCCGCGTCCCGAAAGAGGAATGTGACGTGTGCGAATCATTTCATCAACGTAGCCTTATGGTTTATTTTATGTTTTAATTAAATTGAAAAAGATAATAGACGTATGCGCATTTCCGAGGAATTCCGCTTTTTGCTCGGCTCGAATACAAGGAATGAAATTGTCATTTTCATTCCGCAAATCGCGCTCCGTACTCGGCGTTTTTGCAGCCGACGTTCATGCTCCACTTCGACGGAAAGCGGAAAGTCGACTGCGTACAGGGGCGTACCCGCTGGTTTTTATACCCATCTACTCGCTGTACAATTCCGTTTAATGTGGCAAAAATTTTCCATAAAAAAAATCCGCAATCTAATTCAAATATTAACATTTTCTTATACCGCGTAGCGCATATTTTTTGCATCAATTACGCTAATTTATTATTAGTACTTTAATTCATTAATTAAATAAATAAATAACCAAGCATTTTCCCAACAGCCGATTCGAAAAACCCGCACGTGAAGGATAAACAAATTAGCCTACATTTATATGTATACCCGCGTTTAATTGAAAATTATATAATTTATAATTATCAATTAATCATAATTAAAATCTATTTATTTCGAGCAGTCGCGGAAAAATAACGAGTCGTAAAATTGAATTTTTTCCGACAAAAAAAAACAACAAAAAGTAATTTTCGCTGATGGTTGCGCGGTGTCTAATTAAAAGTAAATATTGTCAATTACACTTCAAAAGAAATATAATTAACGCAATTTGTTTGCGATCGACCAATTAAGAATTCGATTAATTGGCGAATGCTTATTAATTAGGCGAATAAAAAGTTCAAAGTATCGAGAAAAAAAATTAAATTTAACCGTTTGTCGCAGAGCAAAGCGATGTAAATTCTAAGTTCCGAAGGTAAATTAGAAAATTGAATTAAAGTGAATATAATTCCACGCAATCTGAATTAAGCAGGCCCGTTAATAAGATTTACATGTAAATTGTTTCATTACAATTATTTAAATTTTTAATACGCCTCCGGGTGATTGTTTCGTATTTGCATTATTATGATTAGTGTTTAACAGAATATTATCCTCCTCGATTTTATCGACTGAATTACTTAATCTTACCATATTAAGAAAGATATTTTATAATAAATATTAAATATCATAAAAATCATTTTATAGTTAGATACATCTTGATGGAGGTATATTTATAGATGATTATGCAACTTAGGTATTTTTTTATTAATTCTCCAGCTCGCCTTAAGTATATTAGTTATCTTTGATTTCTAATCCGCTTGAAACGGAGGAAAACTGAATTTCTCCACTTCCCAAGGATTATTTTGTGGTAAATACGCGCGCAGATGATGATGAATTAACTATAATCTATCAACAAGTCAAACTAGACGATCAAAACAAGCTTATAACGGTATCCAATAATTGCTTTTTTGATGTAAATCTCTTTCTAACGCGATTAGTGTCCACAAGACTATAATTACCTTAATGTATTATGGACACTAATAATAGTAGATGGGATTGGTTAAAATGATACTGGCGATTTTAATAGGATATTTTTAGCTATTTATTACTTAATATATTTACTACTGTAAACGATCTATCAAAGGTGGCAACCAACCATACAAAATAGCATTCAAATAGAGAGGAATATTGTTGAATTTAGAGAGTAAATTCCACGTGCGAATTAAAAAGAAACGTGGACTTTATGAAGTCGGTTATAGTATACTTTACGCATTTACCTACATTCGAGTAATCGTCAATTACTTAGGGCGGAAGTTCGAATTTCCGACCTGCCCTACTCACAACGACTTCCGGCCTTTCGATTTATCAAACAACGTATCGTATTGCACTGTACCTAATTAATGTACCCTTATCGATTTAGTCGGGTAATTGCCGCCGACAAATATCAACTATATTTTTTTAATCTTCCATCAGGTGTAGACTGCTTCTTGTTTTGCTCTTCTTTTTCGCCTCTTTCCGCGAAGCTCTTGCGTATACCAGGTGATAGTGTTGCGGAAAAAACACGAAATTTTCTATTCAAATTTGCCCAACTTATCAGTCGCATAAATTACAATATTTCACGGAAAAAAAATTAGTAATCCCAACAAGTGGTTATATACTTTTTAAATAAGGTTATCAATGCGTCATTAAGTGTTCGTTAACCGTAACGCAGATAAACGTAATTATATTAATTAGAGCTGTAAGTTAATGCCTGCCCGCATTAAAATTGACACCGCGCATAACGTATGAAAATTGTTGTTTTCATTTCTAACGGATTCGAGCATTGTATCACCGGCGATGATTAATTTCGTATTGACGCCCCGAGGGGTACAAATCCACCGGCATCCGGTGGTGGATTCCGATTCGAATCCGCCAGGAAGTCGATTATTTGTTTAAATTTTAGCCCACTTTATACTTTTACAATAGGACAAATGTTGGACATTTCCACTTAGATAGATAATTGACGAGCGAAGTTAACTCGTTCGAATTGAAGCGAGTCCCGCTGAGGCGGTTAATCGCATTTCGAAAATTCGTAATTGCGCAATTACGCGAGCGGCTCGCCGCGCGCTTCTCGGAACCCGGTTTTTAATAAACTTTCATAAAATTCCCGGAATATTGTTTGAAAAGGTTAGCGCATGGAGGCAGAGAAGCGGGCTTGTCTGACACCTGCCTCGCGCTAGCACGCATCCACTTGCAAAAGCCATCAGAAAGTCGCACTCCCTACGTTTTTTCTACAATTTTTTTGTACCTGTAGAACTCGCAAATCATCTAAAAGCTCATAATTTATGCTGTTAAAAGTCGCATCGTTATAAGCCTATTAATTATATGAAAATTATATACAAAGAATTTACTCGATATAGTTTGAAATTAATTTACCTATTCCGGTTATAATTACCTATATTACAATGTTAATATTATTAAAATACAAACTACCCACAGAAAGGTAAGAAATTATTAGTGTTCAACAACTGTCTATAATAATATTCACTACTAATTATGATAATGAACCGACTCATTGTATACCATCAGAAAGAATACATCAGTTTAATTAAAAAGATTAAAATCAGTTTCAATTGAGGAAAAAAAATAACAAACACAAATGTAATTCTTTCAAAATAATTAAAAGTTAATTTCACGGTCGAAAACCCGCCGTGACAACTGAAGACTAAATATACGCCTGTATGTACAATTAAATCATTAACTAAATGTGAATTTTCATGGTATCTTGGACAAACAGAAACGTCGGGCCTAATTTGCCTAATTCGCTATTGTCTCATTGACATTCCGGATTATCGGACTAAAAATACTAATGGATCCACTTTTCGTAACCGTCAAATTTTTAGCGCTAAATCTTTTTTCCACGCCAATATTTCCTCATTTCTCTTCAGATTACCTGATGCGTGGGTTCCACTCTCAAGGCTGCCACTTAATGCAGCCGAATCGAACAAAAACCAAACAAAACAAATTACAAACGCTCTTCGGTTATTTACAGAAGGTCAAGTTGTAGACGCCTAACGTAGGTTATGTTTCTTCCAGAATCAGCTTCCATAGAAAGCAACCCTGACATAATGGGAGTGTCCGAGGAAATAACGCCGAACGCGGGCGTCGAACCGCGGCCCCCCGGGCCCGAACAAAGCGACGGCAGCGACCCGGAACCCGACGAATTCGCCCCCAAGAGGAAGCAAAGAAGGTACCGCACCACCTTCACCAGTTACCAGTTGGAAGAGCTAGAGAAGGCCTTCTCGCGCACCCATTACCCCGACGTCTTCACCAGGTGAGCACCAATTAACACACTCTACCCCCATTTACATTCAGAAAATGTTTCCTCAAGCCTCTTTAGGCGCTCTAGCAATTTGAATATTCAAGTTGAAGTACCCTTTAACAGAAGGAAGTTCAACTATCTAATTTAGGAAACATTTTTTACACCATTTTTCCCACTTGACTCTACCTTCACCCAATTTCAAAATTACACAATGTTGCCAAATCGTAAAATTTCCATCAAACTCTGCTACTTTTACACTGGGCACACTTGATTCGAAACTAGTTTATGACTCGAATCTACCTACTGGTAGGAGTATCTAATTAAAACAAAAGTGCCATCAAACCCGGACGTAACACTCACCGCCGAAGAATTCGGTCTAATAGCCGGAGTAACGTTAGAAATTCCCCAAACCACACGCACCAGAAAAAAAAGGAATCCTCTTATCTCGGACACGAAAATGTGGATACCGTGTCTCGGGTACCGCAACTTCAGATAAAGCCGATAAAGCGATTCTAGCCGGCAACGACACGCATTCCGAGATGTCTGCAATTTGTACCGTCGGCGCTGATGACACTGTTAAGGGCCTCCCTATTGGGCGATTAGGGCCACCGCGTCGGGGAGATCTAGATAGGACGAGACACTCGGCTACCGGCCGGGTTTTTTTTTTAATTTTTATTTGGTCGGAGCCGATGCCCATCGACACACGAAACGGGTATTAATTTGGTGGCTTTTGTTGGGGCTAATACGTCCGAGTAATTACGAAGAGTAAATTTATTAGGCGGATAGAGAGATGCGCCACTGAAACGCGTGAAGTCCTGAAAGCCGGCGCTTTTTCCCTCGACGCTGATGCTGGTTTCTGAAAAGACATTAAGACCTGAAAGTGACCAGTATCACGAAGGTAAGAATTTCAATTCGAACCCATCAATTACGAGGAATGAATTATTCATTTTTAATGATATATCTTTGAGGTAATTGACGACTGACACATTATTTTGAAGGAGAAACAAGTTAACTAGGTATATCCTCTCTAAATGATAGTAATATCATCGCATAAAACGTATATGTAACATTTTAAAGTTACTGCAGCTTCTGTTTAATTATCGCTGCTATTCGTGCAATTTCCAGAGGCGTAGCGAATTTATACATTCCCTTTGTCCTACATACAATAAATTATCCTCTTCCACCCTTTTTAACGCTTAAGAAATCGATAAAATCTTGATAATTGTCTTTTTTTAGGGAGGAATTAGCTATGAAAATCGGACTTACTGAAGCTAGAATACAGGTAAATACCATTTAAATAAATTATTCACTAGTTACATATAAATTGATACAAAGTTGATGAAGGACGGTATGTTGCACATAATATCAAACTAAAATTGAATGGAATCGCTTCGAACAAAATTCAATTTACTTTAACCTTGTCGCATGTCGAGCTCGCTCCTATACGCTACAGCGATACCTGCCAACTTATTCTCGATCTAACTACAAAAATCCATTAATTATTTTGTTTATATCTCGATTATGTACTGTTATTTAATTAAATATGAGTAATCAAATTAACTTGAAACCGCATTTTATGGGTTTCCAGCCTTAACACGCACACAGTTCTCAATTATTGCAAATTAACCGATGCTGCAACTCCGCATTAATTGATCAGTAATTACCGGTTGGTTGTAAACTTAGGCATTTGATAAATCTACGTTGTATATTACAGGAAACGTTCGCTGATTTTTTCTTCTTCGATTAATCCTGCATCAGTTCGTAATGGGAAAATTTTTTATAAGCCTTAGATGTATCTAAAATTGATACACATTGCGGGCCGGGCGGTTATTGTAAATTAATATACGATTCTTCATGGTCGTGAAACGGCAACCGAAAAATTAACCGGCGTAAAATTGGTGAACAATTTCGAGTTTTCGAGAATTAAAGATACGCCGTCCGACTAGCCTCGTAATTCGTATTATAAACAAATTATGAAAGAACACAATTGCGTACCTAAATAAGCGCGTAATTGATATCCATTTATTTTTCCGTTTGGACTACAATTACGGGTCATTATGTACAGACGGTGGAGTTTCGCTCGCAACTTCTCCTTTTCAGTAACGTGGATGCGTACATTTTTTTCATCCTCACTTTGCTGCTTTTTTTTCGCTCGAGCGTAATTTCCTCCGGTGAGGACCGCGTAATTTTATAACATTATTTTTTAGTAATAAACAGCTAGCGATGTAGCAACGCGAAAAAATTACGATTCCCCCTTCTTCAGAAACATTTCCGGTTCTTATGGAATCCAATCGAACGAAATTTATTATTTTATTGACGATGATGAAAGGTCGGCTCGAATAATTACCCCTGGATTAGGGGGTGGCGATTATTGTTGTCGAGTCTCGCGGTTAGAAAATAAAATTCTATTAACCACAAATCGATACGGCTCTAAACAATAAAAAAAATAATATATAACGAAGATTGAGACCGCTGTGGCGCAGCCGAGATAAAAACTAATAACCGGCCCAGACACCTGTTTTGTGATGAAAATGACACGGCGCGAAAGGAAGACACTCATTTCAGGTAAAAAGTTTTTTTTCGGACACCGAGTAGTTGAGTCACGGACTTGTGCCATTAGGCTTAATTAAATAAATTATATGTCTCCGTTTCGAAGGAATTGCGGTTTCGATGATGGAGAAGCTAGTTTTCAGATACGGAAGAAGAAATCACCAAACCGCACGATCGCACGAACATTTCACAACGTCATTACAAAATCAACATGGAATGATTTCACGATTGATTGCTCTATCCGCGCTTCTCTCGTAGAAAACTCCGCGGGTGCCGAATCCGGCGAGCGAGCGGGCCATTCCGCGAAACACCCACGGGGAATTTCTCTTACAATCAATCGACCATTTCGCGAATTTCATCGGTATTAGAGAGAAAAAAAACGACCTTCAACAGGGGCAACAATGTCGCGGTCTTGAACTTTATTTTATTCAATTAACGTCGATATTATTCTCACGCGAATTACAGCAAGTTAATTCGATGAAAGGAGATGATGAAAAAACCTGAAACATTGTCGATATGCCGTAATTGGTATTCGTCACGGTTTTTGTTGTTTAAATAGCTGAAATAGTTTTGGAATATTATGCATTTTCACAGTGAAAAAATACTAAATCTTAATGCTTCAAGTGTCCTCATACACGATCGTTTGGAATTTGGAATTCCCAAATTAGAACGATTAGAAATTTGTTTTGTATTTGTTTAACCCGCGTATATCATTCCATCAACGTTGATTTATCTTCAGCGTAATTACAAATGAGCACTTTAATTATTCACAACTTTAATACGGTATTTAATCAGCTACCGCATCGGGTATATCTGGCCGGGTATCCGCCTCTCTATCAATTTTTTAATCGCGCCGATCCAATCGATCCAACTACTGGTTAAATTTCACCGTAATGATCCGCACAATTGCGGCCCGGATTAAATAACATTGTCCTTATTTAATTACTTATTAAAGCCGCTGGTAGAAAAAAAAATCGAAACCGCACCGGAGAATATGCCTGAATCACGGTCTAAATGAGATGATGTTCGTTTGATAGAGGAGCAGCCAATCAGGGCAGGGGGTGCTCATTCCGATGCGTATTTAGATAGCTATCGATAAAATCGCGGCGTATCGTTGACTGAATTCGATTAAGTTGAGTTATATAGTTTAAAAGAAATGCGCCCAGTCATGCTTCTCCCGGTGTTCACCGGTAGTTGCACGGTTTTATAATTAGTTTTTTTCAATAGTTTATTCATAACTAGACGGATTCGATTGTCTTTTGCTATAGAGTTAATAATTCCCCGTGCGGTTACACCCCGATGCAATTTTCATTGTAACGATTTTTATCGAAAATTGAGACATCGTCGGAGCAAAAAACATTACGTAACGGATAACGAAAATCAAGCGGACCTTGACAAGGCGTAGTTATTTCCTAAATAAAGAATAATAATTAAAATTAGATTTGGTGACACTCGTTTCGTAGGAGAACCATCCACCGGAACGTTTATCTTAATCGCTCTAACCAAGACAAGGCCAAGTTTATTTAAAATGCATTAGGAGTTTTAATCAATTTTTCGTTGTGTTGGTATTGCGGTTTTTCGGAACGATGAATAAATGGAAGCTTCCCTAATGCGTGTCTTTCCAAATCAAGGAATTTCGTACAAAAAAAGAACCCGGCGAATTCGACACGAAAACGGATTACAGGGTGGTTCGCGAAATTATAGCGCTCATAATCGTCCGTGTAACGTAGAAACGTGAAGGTGTGGTGCTATAATAATGTCTATAAACAACCTTCCTCGGAGTCGCCTCCGAACGCACCGGACAGCGCTAGCAGGGTATAATTTAATAATAAATAATAACATGTTGGAAGGCCCGCATAAACACTTTAGTGTGTTCACCTGGACTATCTAATAATTCGTTTCCTTCTCATGCCTAATGAGAAACAATCGCCAATTAATTGGAAGTCGGCGCGCCATGCAAATTTTTCAAATATCATACATAGTTTATGGAAAATATTATGTCTTGTGACCGTCGAACGGAATATATTATTGAAAATATACGCGCTTAAAAATTAACTATAAAAAATTTAAATGTACACTTGTATATACTTAGTAACGTATATGTTATGGTATATTAATAGTGCATGTAGTGTAGGCAAAACAAATTCTCCTATTCGAGCATTTTCAAATTATACCAGGCTAATCTAAAGTTCTCACTTTGAGGCAAATTCCCAGTAATGTCATGATGATTGATTTATTATTTGCATCTTCAACTCGCACCATCCTAGCGGTAAAAAAATCTACCCGTAATCACCTGAAGACGATATCATTAGAGCAGGTAGTGATGTGGGCGCTTTTTTTCCAATTTACCATCTCCATCGGTTTTATAAACGAAGAATACAGCCGTGAAATCTAGGCAATGGTTCGAAAATAAGCTGTTCCTTACCTCATTACGATTTTATTTGTTGCATTTGATGCGCCGACTGTTGCGAATAATGCACGCTTCATCGGTAGATTATCGACACGTATTCAATGGAAGTTAATTCGGTTAGGGAAACTATCATTCGCATAATGGATTTAAAATTTGATAAATTTCCAATTATATGCCTACGTGCCTGGTGTATTAAGGAGAAAGATATTACATTATCGATTGGGCTAGTTAACAAATCATTGACAAAATGTACATTAAATCGACAATTTTCGCTAATTAATAGTTTATTTATTAGCGGTTTGGGATATAACAGCATCGGGCCCATCGACTCTTTTTTTCAATTTTGCGCATTTTATTAGCGGCCCGATAATGCATAAATCGTAACCGAAGGCTATAAAAAGGAAAATTTTATGGCATTTACACTCCTCGTATTAATGACTTTGTATTTTAATTGGCGATATTTGCAATATATATTCCTTTTTTTCGAAAATAAATACGTTTATCTCGTCGTAAAATTAAGTGGCATGTAATTAACGATGGCCCGCCATAGATAGGGCATTCTTTTTGTCGAATTGCGCACAAGCGCAGCCAGAAATTAAACGCGACATATATTTTTCGCGGGATTCGGGTTATCGAACTTCCTTCCATCATTTTTTCGCATTCAAATTTTCGTTGCGATTACGCCGCTCTGCGAGCTTTTGCAAGCGTTTTGCTACTTTAAACGGTGCATTAAATTGACGTGGACAAAGATTAATGGTGGAAACGATGCGTTCAGATATATTGCTTTCTTATTTTGCTAAATTATTGGTTTGCTCATGTGTTTATGAACTCAGCTGGAAGTTAATTTAAGCAGAATACTTAAGATATAGTGCATACAGATGGGTGCAAATTTGTTTGTTGTGTTGAACAAAGTATGGTTATTAATATAACAGTTGCAATAACACAATATCACCCTTTATAAAAGACTAAGGAAGTTATTTTTGTTGCACCATATTGTGTACACTTATCTGTATATTAGAACCTTGAAACTTAAGTTAATAATGTTCATTCATTAGAACTAATAGGCTGATAATTGACAATTATGTATTTATGCCGTACGTCAAACTGTTTTAAATATTGAATTATATTTTGGTGACGCCTATGATGTATAGGCTGTATAATTCGATGGACAAATCGAACGAAAATTCGCCATTCGAAGCGACTGCCTTTCCCGTCCTTGCCAAGGAATATAAGTCCTTAATTATCATGATTATTTTCTCTTAATTAAAACGGCAATAAAAACCGGCCGGCGTTTATGTGTTTCTCGGAAAAGCGTCTTCTCGCAATTGAATGAAAAATATCTTTATCAAGTCGACTCGGCGTGCTTCGACCCTATTTGGTAGAAATTAAAATTAATATCCGCCACAATCATTCGACTGATGCCTGTAATTGATTTTCCTACGGATTTTTCAGAAATTAGACCTCCACAATTATTTTGTAGGTACTATACATCACGCAGAAACAAAGTGTAGTTAATAAAAAAATTAACATTATCCATTAGCGAATATACTTAGTTGTAATACCGCATTTTACAATTTAAATTCGCCATAAAAAATATCTCGAATCCTACTAATTAATACACAGGTATACGAGCACTGTCGATTGTACGGTTTAAAAACTTTGTATACAATATTTATGAGCCTGCGAGTTTATCATAATTACGCAACGAGTTTTAACAGCTGTAATTCATTCGATTGTCAATTTAAATTAGTTCTTTTATTAGAAAGCCGTAATTATTGTGTATGCGCGTAAAATTGATTTCTCGCCGGCTAATCGAACTGCATATGCATCGACGTTAATTCGATTCAATTACGTTACGATTGTTTTTTTATGCGAGCGATTTATTTTTCGCAGGAAAGTATTTATTAAACGCCATTAGATAGATCGTTCGCCTACAATGTTAATAGCTTAATAGGACGGCGAGATCGGTTATTAGAAACTCGCTTATAATCACTTCAATCCGCTAGATTTACCTCGTTCGAGAACGCTCATTGAATTTACAATTTTTTTCGCATCATACGCGAATAAGTAGGACTTTAAGATGCGTTCGTTGATACATCAACGAAAACTGGTAAAATTGACATTAATGACATTTCGTTTGACAGAAGTTTAATAGAGGTGGGAATCATTTTTTTGGTATAGAGGTGCAGTAACGACTGTTACGAAATAAGCGTTATTTTTCAAATATTCTCCTGTTAAAACAATAATTTATTTCATTCAAATTATGTACTCGAATTAATTTTCAACAAGAACAATGCTTTTTGGCGAGAGCGGCGATTAATCAAGCGCAGTCCGCGTTATTGAAACGGCCGACACTTAATTAAATTAGAAAATCTCGACGGGTCGCTCGGAAATTCGGCCACAAAGGGGGCCGCGTAAATTTGAAACAATATGTTAGTTTGTAAGTTAATAGGCTCTCCGGGGCCCGATCAGCGTGTCTCCATTCAACTAATTTCGGGCCCGGCGGGGGGCTTTTCGTTAGAACCGCCTCTGTTGTTACAACGTGAGGTCGGGCTGGTCGCACATTCGTCATGTTTACACTGAGTCGAGAACGTTTAGAGAGGGAATGAATCCTAAAAAGGTCTAATTAGGTCTGTCAGGGCGATCATTAGTCTTGTTTTTTTCGTGCAGATTGAAGGTTTTAATGGGTTTTTGCTCGAGCGTTACTTAAATTTTATTCCTCTTTCTTTTTTTTTAATTAAACTTTGCGATAATCGTAAATCATCCAATTTCCAATAAAATTTCATTTATTTGATGTTCTGTGAGAATATAATAAAATGTCGAGTCGAGCTCACGAGGCGAGCGAGACCTTGAGTATGCAACTATATTTATACAAAATGTGCTGTAATTGAAATGTTTCTAAAAGGAAAATTAAGTACCTATACTTATTTACGTAATATTAAATCAATTTATTATTCACAATTAATTATTTATCTAATTAAAGTAATTAAATGCAACAAGTTAATTTCTGCTTACATACCTAATTAATTGAGCTAACTAGTCTTTAAAAAAACGAACGCTGCATAGAAAATATTAATAATTTTTTTTTAATTTGTTTCCAGGTGTGGTTCCAAAACCGCCGGGCGAAATGGAGAAAGCAAGAAAAAGTGGGCCCCACGGGCCACCCTTACAACCACTACTTGAACCCCAGCGCGCCAGGACCGGCGCCGCCCGTCGTCGCCCCCTCCTTGCCGACGCCCTTCAATCTCTCCTTCGGCCTGCGGAAGCCCTTCGACTCGCTGACGTTCCGCTACCCGCCGCACGTGCTGCCCGGCTACCTGCCGTCGCCCGCCTCCTACCACAGGGGCGGCCCGCCGCTGCTGCCGCCCTCCGTGGGGCTCTACCCGTCGGCCAGCTCCTTCCAGACGCTGCTGGCCAACATATCGGCGGCGCAACGGCCCAAGCAGGAGTTCACGGCGTCGCCGCCGCTCAGCCCGGGCTCCTCCGGGTCGGCGGTGACGCCGCCCGACGTCGACCGGCGGAGCTCCAGCATAGCCTCGCTCAGATTGAAGGCCAGGGAGCACGAGCTGAGGCTGGAGATGCTGCGGCAGAACGGCGATTTGATCAGTTGAATGCCGATGTTGGATGGCTATTTTGTTGATTTCGAAGAGGAGACGTCGAGTGTTTTTTTTTCTGTATCGAATGTGATTGATGGCGTCGCGTGAAAATTATATATCGTCTCTTAACGGACTGTAATAGTAATAGCGTACTATGAATTGTTGTGTACTTGTATATAAGTTTTGCGAAAATTGGTTTTATTTATGTAAGTAGATTTTTTATTCTCAAATCAGTATAGCGCAAATATGGCAATAATGACAGTAATTTTAATGGAAACGAATCCGTCCGAAATGTGAGTTTTATTATTTAAATATTGCGAATAAATATTTTGTAAAAATTATCGATTTTTATTTTACCTGACTACCCAATTCTTTTTCTAATTCGACCCATTCAATATTAGCGAAATCTTTCCACGGCAATTACCTTAATGATACCTTACTCAAATTGTTATTTCATTTTAATAGACTAATTAGCGAACAACAAACATAAAATTAAATTAAAAAAAATATACGCTTACATATTTATATTCATATGTAATTGCATTATAATCAGCATATTATATACCTTCCAATCTAATTAAGAAGCAAAACCGCATTGTATAGGTATGTGATTACGCGCACGAATCCCAAAAAAAATCCAATTAACCTCTTGTATAGGCACACACGCATTAAATCAGGAACATTGCGATAAAAGCGATATTTTAATTCCAATTTAAAATTAAATTAAGACAAACCCGTCATTACTAATATTAATACCGGGTGGCCTAGCCTACTAACTAACATAAAATACCCATTTTTATTTAACAATTAATTACCAAACAGGCATAAATTTCGGTATAATCCTGTATAGGCAATCTCGAAATCGACAACACCCCGTATAAATTACACGCTCGTATTTTTCGACAACCATGATCCTGGGTAGGTAGGTACTGATTTAATGCGAGTACCCGTCTCTTTTGTAGGCGGTGCTGCTTCCTTGAAATAATGTTCCCAATTAATATGCTGTTATCAAATGAAAATCAGCTTCGGTCATGTAACGAACTGAGCACCACGGCTATAATTACAACCGTTTATGCTTTTAATTATTCTTATCTCGTATAAATATAATAACACGGTGGTAATAGGAAGATTTTATATACGACGAAATATAACGCCTATACGAAAATTCTTAATTAAAATTTATTTACATTGGTAATTTAGCGGAGAAGCGAGTGCTCTCGTAAGTATCTTCGATAACAAGCCGCGAATTCTTTTTAAATTTATATTGTTAATAATATTCCAAACTTCTAAGTGAACCGAATAAATAAAGAATTCATATATCTTTTTAACACATAATTTAGAAAAAAACGTAAGCATGTGATACGCTTATAAACAAATAATTATAGCAGGTAATTAATGATATAAAAATTAGCAAATTTGAATAAACAATTAGTGAGATCTACAACAACAGAAAAAATTTAATTACGGCTATTAATTAACCTGACAATTAGCGATCCGAGTTTAACAACGAGCCATTTACATTTAATTAAAAATTGTTAATATCCGTATATTAGAGCCGATAATATAATTATGTAATTTCCAAATCACCTTCCTATTGCCTTGAGTCAAGCCAACTCAATTAATCATAGAAGAAGCGAAACGAATCCGTTAAAAATATTACAAAAAAAAAATAATAAGAATGTAAGGACCCAACCAATATACGTACGGGCCGGACTGGTCTTCTCCAGCCAGCCTTTTTTATACACCTGCCCAAAGGCGTACGACCTATTTTCCTAACGGGGCGGAAAATATAAAAAAAATCCTGCAAGTGAAATATCTAAACCAAATAAAAATAAAACGTTCCTACCTTAATGACTATTAACAGATTGATTCAATAGATGCTTCAATACAACATAATTTAACCATTTAACTTTTTAAATTTAATACTTTTCTCCCTACTTTTATCATATTAAAATAAATTATACAAACCTGCAACAGTCCCATCTGGTTCGTTACGGGTGAACTTATCATTCCAAAAATCCGACCTTTTTTTCTTTATTATCGCATAATTTATGTTCCACGTAACCTTTTTCCCTTCTCTTCGATACGACCCGGCACCTGCTAACTAGCCCTGGATATATTCTTCATTATTTATTAAATTACAAAAATCCATCAGAGGCCGCCTTGATTGCTTCGTGATTAATATGGACCGCAGGCTTCTTCTGATGAGCTCGGGTTTTAAACGGACGTTAATTTTAATAATTTTAATTAGATAATTGCTCAAAGGCGAGCCCGGGTCAGCCCGGATTTATTTTGTAGCTACACGGACTTTGTATGTATAGAAGTTTGAAGTAGGTATAAGAGAATTGATTAAAATAATAGTGAAGAAATGAGGAATTGGGAGTAACATTTTTTTACCTATGCATTGATTAATTTGTTTAGTAATAGTTTTGTATTGTAATTTACATATTAAAATTGGAAGGAATATATTAGAATGTAACAAATGCGATAAAAAAAATAATCTAATAGAAAACGAACAGAAAAGGAATCCATCACATTCGCTACCTAATACACTTGCTACATCTAGTAATGAATAGGAATTAATAAAAAAAACCAGACATCATTTTTCAGTATTTATAATCATTGCTGTGGGTATTTCAATTAGTAGGGAACCCGGCTATTAGTTCTGGTCGAAAAATATCCACCGAATCTAATCCCATAACTCATCTGTCAAGGCACAATTAATAACAGATAAAAAACTGGCGGTCAATTTAGAAAGTAATTAACCTTTTAGGAGCCGCGCAATCTACTCATTCGCAATTCTACACACTTATTCTACTCTCTTTTATTCCCTTCTACACTATTCTAAAATCTTCTACTCTCTTCAACTCTCTTCTACTCCCTTCTAGAATCTATTACTTTCTACTATTCTCGTCTATTCTTTCGGTGTTTGTAATCATTGCTGTGGTTATTTCAATTAGTAGAGAACCCAGTTATTAATTCTAGTCGAAAAATATCCACCGAATCTAATCCCATAACTCATCTGTCAAGGCACAATTAATAACAGATAAAAAACGGGCGGTCAATTTAGAAAGTAATTAACCTTTTAAAAGCCGCGCAATCACGATCGCGAGGGAGCTACACCATCGGATACAAATCCACCCATATAAGCGAAGTAAATGCGTATATACATCACGGCCTAATTGGGTTAAAGATGTAAATGATCGCCGTCGCAAATTACACGGTGGCGCGTTTTCCGAAATTGCGGCCCGCTCGGGAATATATCAAAACTGACGCCTCGAATTACAAAGACGAAATGAAATTATGGAAATTAGAACGCGGCCAGCGAGAAACGCTTATCGGATTATAACCATTAGGCGGGGTGTAATTTGCGAGAGGTTCGGATCGGAAACAGAAATCTCCACGCGTTATTTACGAGTTTATAAAAAAAATATCCGTGCGTGTTCGATCCCGGTCGAAATTCGAAATGAACATGTACAAATGTGCGGTTCCATCGAATATTATTTTCTTCTTCTCGAGCTTTTTATGGTAGGCGGTTCCTCCGAAATTTTAATTACCATTAAAGCCAGGTTAATTGATATCTATTAATAATTTATGTTAACTAGACGGGCCGAGGCTGTTCCCAACGAGAAAAAAACCATCGTTTTTCTACAAATTAAACTCCATTAATACTCCTTTTATGACGGATTTTATGTCTTCAAAATAAATTTCATTTAAATACCCACATAATAGAGTTTTACTGTTGAAAATTAATAACTATACACATAGCCCTTCTGCTCTCATGCTCTCTTCTACTCTCGCATCTAAAATTTTCTACTCTCTACTTTCTTCTACACTCTTCTAAAATCTTCTACAATCTTCTAAAAGCTTCTACTCTCTTCCACTCTATTCTACACTATTCTAAAATCTTCTATATACTCTCTTCTAATCTCTTCTAATCTGTTTTACTCTCATCATCTATACAATCTTCTACTCTCCTCTACTCTTTTTGTATACTTTTTGCCACGTTATTCTGACTAACTCATAAACTCTTATCACTGCTAGAGGTAATTATAGGAACTTCTCGATAAAATACACTAATATCAATCAGTGTAGATAAGTATTTCTTCAAACCATGCGGTTGCAACATTCTCGATCGTTCCATTACCAGCATCAACTGTACCGATGATTTTATCATTACAGCATTCCCGATCACGTTATTACACGTACTGTTCACCCGGGTACGACGCGTTTCGTTATTTATTTCCTGGCCTATAATTATTTAAGCTTAAAACATCAATGTAATGAAGAGTTGCACCAGTATTTTCCTATACACGGCTAATAATCTAATTACAATCTGGGCATCGCAAAGTGGTGGGTTTCGTAATCAAAATCTCGACGGTAGCTCAATAAAACCATAACTTTAAATTACTGGCAGCGCTTTTGCCGGGCATCGAGAGCGAACAATGCGTCCCGTCTCGTTCTGTGCCGCGACGGCGGTGCGATAAGAACAGAGATAAAAGTATCCGGACGATGACGAAGAGGAAAAAATGGAAAACGCTATTTCAGCAGGGTAGGACTGGGAGGGACGCAGTGACAGTTTGATTATAGGGTAGCCGGACAGTTTTACCTTGAACGTGACATTAGACGAGCGTTTAATTAAAATTTTTGTATGTAAAACCCCGTAAGAGATACACGCTATTCTATACATGAATACACTCCGCGTATATTTAATGAACCGATAACAATTATTTTATGCCTAGTTCGCTTTAGATTTAGAATTAATTAGGGGTCGGCTCGAACGAAACGGGGCTCATAACAAGTCTGTTATGATAATGAGCCGGCTTGTGACCCTGTCCAAAGCTCATTCAATAAATATTATATACCACTTTCAGTCTGTTTACAAATTTGTTTTAATGCGTATTGTAAACCTAATGATATAACTGAATTTATGGGCCGCTGTCCGCCGGAAAGATATACGGTATGGTTTATTAGAAACCGGCGCCAGGAATAAATGTCTCGGAAAAGGTATCACGAACGCGATACGGGACGAATTTCGATTCGGGGTTCGCCCGAGTTAATTAAGTTTCGGGTTCTTTATTAATAACGAATCAGCATATACAGGGTGCTAAGATGATTCGACTTAACTTACCAATCTCCCCCTGTTATTTCAATGGAATCTACTTGAACTTAGTCGAGCAATATCGGGGCCACTGGTAGTGGTGCGATAAGCGAGCTCGCATGGAAATTTAGCTTAACTTAATTTGAAAGGCGTCGTTTCAAGTTAGAATTGCTCCGGGTGATGGGAATGCGCGCGTCCGCGAAAAATCACTTAACTCCGGTTACATCTGCGCGAGGCCGGAGCGTCGGTTTTGTTGTTGTGATTGGCACATCCAATTAACGTTAAAGCGAAGGGGTTAAAGCGTTGTGGGACCCTCAGCGGTGCGTGTAACGGAATGCGGCCGGAGAATTTGATAGAGGCGGACGAGCGCGCGAGATGTTCCTTAATTAATAAACAAATAGAATGGAATAGGTATCGGTGTTTAATGAAGTCTTTGCTGTACCGGTGGATTTGCTGAAACAAAGGCGAAAATCCATAAATCACGTTGCGCCGGGCCGGTAAATCAAACGTGTTGGCGGTTTGTTTACCCTTCTAGACACGTTTATTGGCCGTACATGAATTATGGCACGTCTGGGCCAGAACTTTGTTATATTTTTATTGCAACAAAGTCTTCAACTAGCCGGTATTCAATTCATTAATGCCCCGCGATCGAACGCTGTATTTATGCCGGAGCATAAATTATACGTTTAATTAAAATTGCACCGCAGAATTGGGCGCACCGCAACTTCGAATTTACCTGAATTTTTGTTATTTTGTTACAACGTTGCTTCACTAATACCACGCAGGAATTCCACAAATCACTCTATATCAACTCTACGATAGAATTACTATTTTTTTCACATTGTACGCGAATAAGTAGCACTTTGAGATGAAACATAATCAAAAACTGTCAAAAATGACATTACTGACATTTCCTATGACAGAAACTTAATAGAGGGAACCAATTTTTTTGTATAGAGGTGCAGTAACGACTGTTACAAAATAAGCGTTATTTTTCAAAAATCGTCTCAACTTAGCCAGATCAATCAACAATTTCGATGAACAAAAAATATTACATACATTCGACAATGTTCACTATATTATCCTGCAACTAAACGAGTTCGATTAACATTCTTAACAGGAGTTTGTAGGGGCAAATAGCGGGCATTAGCGCGTGTTATTCGATTATTTAAATTTTTATTCGGTCGATGCATTACCGCGGAGAAGTTTTCGACGTTTATAGTGATACGAGGGCCCAGCGTGATCGAACCGGCGATTCTCCCGTTGCCCGGCCTGCAGTATAAACAGCGGGCGTCGCGCTCTCTACGTGTTTTACACCTACAGAACAATCAAATCGTTTTCAATAAAATCCCTCGATATGTGATATTGTATTAATATTCCCGTTTCGTGCAAATAAATACCTTGAAGTATTTTTTTCTGTTACATTGCTGGATAACTGCACTCTATATGATCCGGTTATATATAAACATACAGAGAGAGTTAAATTTAGATTCATAAATGGATTGTTTGGTATATCTAGTTAATAGTAAAATTTATAGTTTTACTAATCAAAAGGTATTGTTTGGTGCAAACCCATTGAAAAAAGTAATTTGCATATTTTAATTGTGTGGGTATAAATCGATTGGCCAGGTAAATCGTCCGTAAAGCGAGTTCATATTTCCATCGGGTATACCGTGTAAGTTGCGGGTTTCGAATTTTTTTGCGCGGGATTACTGAGACAACGCAAAAAGTGTATAATTTGATAGTAGCGTACATACACTCCGGCTCGTTTTAACCAATTTTTAACACTTAAGCTGCCATTAAAAATTTAAAAGCGAACATTGGCTAATAAACAAAAATTGGCCCGTCGCAGTAATTTGCTAATGCTAATATTCATTATACAGGTTCCTGCTATTATTACGCCATTATCTGGCATTTGCTTTTTCGCTCGTTTCCTCGGCGAAACGGGGCTGGTTTTTTACTCTTTCCAGTAAACCCCTAGTAAATATAATTGAAAGTTATTTCATGAAATTTATTTCACCTGCTTGTGTTATAAAAAAGTCTCGTATACACATTCAAACGTCTCTATAACACGAACATCTCAACCGAAAATAGTGACATTAAATTTCAATAAAACCCCTCACATACAACTGTTTAAAAAATAATAACTTTCAGGAAAATATTGAAGAGATCTAGGAAATTGTACGCGACAAGTGCGCGCATTACGCCTTCGATACGAAACTCCGATAAGAAGATAATTTTTCGAGCCGTGCAAACGTACAATAAACAATCGAATCTAGGCGCAATATCTGTCAAATGGGGCCACATTTTATCCGAATAAAAGCACAAACGAAAATTAAATTCCGAATGCGACGCAGCGTGCGGTCGGGCCTTTGTTTTCGACCCGCGACTATTGTATCTACAACGCACGATAAATTTGATTTTTATGCCTCTATAAAAATTTTTAAATGTTTACGGGCATATAGAACACGTAGGTAAACGAAAACTATAAAAGTAATTTGTGCCAGACCATATGCTTCGTCCTATTAAACGCTCTATACGGATGAGGATGTAGGGACATATTGTCTTCTGACACGACATCGTTTAGGTAAGTTTATATTTTATATGATAACGATAATTGCTCTTAATTGCGATCAACAGAAATAAAAAAAGGGATAAATAATAGTGGAAATAGATGGACTAATTATTTAGAAATTTTTTGAATCCAATACCTATAATGATCGCTACAGTTACCAAGAAAAGCTTCATCTTCATTTCTCTCCTATTATCTTCACCAGTACAACAAATGAAAGAGATTTAAACGATATCCTATAAGGATATATATCCTATAACGATATCCTATGACTTTACAATCTATAGCACCATATAGATTCTTAAACAAGAGTGCTAATTTTCTTCACAAACTAAATCGTTTCGCATTACAACAAATATCTATTCGTTATTAATCATTATTAATCATACATTTAACGATCTGAATTAATCTAGCCATTTTTAACATCTCGAAAATTATGCATTAGTAGACTTTTTCATGCTTCATATATAAAAATCCAACCATCCGATCCTGGTTATAGGTGTACAAGCATTAGTGCTCAAATGGAACTTATTAACTATTACCTATATCATCGATGAAAATAATTAATACGGCACGGTAGCCCATCGAGAGCGCAGGCACACTGTACTCGGGCACTGGGAAGTCACCGTAATAGACGGGGAATTGTTTTTCCTCGGCTCAATCAAGGCGCGCCACGCCCATTGATGTAACAACATTAATTAAACTCTTAAATAGGCGACTGTCTATTAAAATACCGAAGCACGCTGATGGTCGATACCTTATCTAGGCGAACGGTGACTTTTTCTTATTGGTTTCCGTTCGATTATAACTAGTAGCTGATCGAAAGAAAGGACCAGACGGGGTGTTAAAGAAGCATCGATAATTCATGCGAAAAAGTGTTGGACTGCGCGATCACCCGATTTAGCGCGTGTATTGAATTTTTGGTTTGGAAAAATGGCGAACTTCTGCGATTAAAGAAGCATATTGAATAGAGGGTGTAATGTAAAGGGTTACTGTTCTAACGTCGCATCGGGATCTTTTTGCAGGTCTCTGTGCTGCGGGTTTTCTGCAGCTAATTTACGGATCGGTATACGCGAAAAGCGAGTCGCAACAATGATATTTCGTCGAATTATAGCCGAGAGAGATGCTGTCGAAGGAGACCGGAGACCGCTGAAGACGCATTTTCGAAATAACTCGCTTTAATGACCGTCATGAAGCGCGGTAAAAAACACACAAATAGACGTTTAATTTTAATAAAAATAATTTACCATAACTTTATAAGATAAAATATTTACAGTCCTATCGAATTAGCATAATTTATTTAATTGGTTCATTAAATTTTTCCATGAATTTTATACCGAAGATGTAATTAATGTTTTCTCTTTGACCGAGTGCTTGTATATACCCTTCAAAGGCGTACACGCGGGATGAAGATTATTTATTCAATATTAAATGAATTTTTTTCACCTATAGGTAGGTAATGCATGAATTAAAAAATGCATAAAAACTTTTATCTAGATTACAATGCGAGATAAACGAAAAATAAAACGAAAAACTAGTGCACCTGATAAATAATTAACTTCGATGGTTATCGGTGTGAAGACTAGTCATAAATTTCGAAACGAGCTTTATAAGTACTTTAAATCCATTACCGTTTTCCATTATGGTCGTAAAATTATTTTTTTCATTAACGATTTTCCTCGAAGTAGCAAATTCGGTTCTTTTCTGAGAATGTTCTTATTCGTAAATTATCTTCGAAGCAAAGCTTCTGTACACTCTAATTACTTGTGCCAGCCAAGAACTCGCGGTTTAGTAAACCGAATGTCGCACTCTTCCATCATAGGCGTACTCCTGCATTTTATTTATTAATAAAATTTTTAACTTTAAGTTTCCATAAAGAACTTGAAGTGTCTCGTTAAGTTTATTTTTAAGCCTCTTCTTTACATTTTTGTGTTTCTTCTCGAAGTTCGTTTAATGATAAGTGGTGAAAGGTATCAGAAATACTTTAGAATTTTCCTCTGGGCTGTGCCGATGCACTTCCATGGCTCACACAACGCTTAATTGGATTTGGCAGGGCCTAATTTCGCATAATAGCGTATCATTTTATGCCATTTTATAGATTAAACGATTACACGCATGTGTGAAACTTAATTTAGAATAATGAGAATGAGTTGTTGCCATCGTATGTTTTTCTCGGAATAATCGCAGTAATAATAATTAGTCGAGACACTCTTTTGTAATGATACCCCATATATGGCAGGGGTATTAGAAGCGCTTTTTTAACAATACAAATAGCGAGTTTTTCTCGAAGGATATATACTCGGTAGTTAAAAAATTCCCATGAAACGCGAGAGTGTGGTCTCCTGTTTTAAGAAAAACTAATACTTAATTAATACCTATCCGCGCGATTACTTATTTTTCTTATAAATATTTAAAATGTAAAGAATTTTAGTTTACCTCCCTGTTTAATTTTCAACACACCTAAATTTTTACCTTATACACATGTATAGCAACGCAAACATAATGAACTTAATCTTGCAATTAGAGCCCATTAAACATGAGATAGGGGCCCCATAAATTAGGGCTACGTTATGCCGTCTTTTTATAATTTTGGCAGACTATCTGACGTCCATATTAAAAAATATCCATCAAGTAATTATTGTAAATAATGGGCTGTCCATAAACAAGGCGACATCAGCGATTCAATTTCGGTAATAGAATTTAAAATTGTTTTATGGAGAAGTTCAATTTAACCGGCCAATTATATCAATTTATGGTGGAATTAATAACGGTCGAGACATCTTTATTACATTTTTGTAGCGCAACGTTAAAAGGCAAGTGTGATTTCGGTAACACCGGGTTTTTTGATTGGATGTAATATTCATTCGCGCGAATATTCATTATTTTGCAAATAAAATTAAATTTTCACAACGAAATTGGCGCTCGATTTAATGTGTATAAGAATTATCTACTACTAGAAACGATTTTTAGTGTATTGAAATATTCACTATAGTCTAAACGGCCTTCTAAGGATACCCAGTTTCGAAAAATAAAATAAAACAAAATAAAAAAGTCGTACTCCTCACCATTGTTAACTAGAACGAATTTTCTATAAGTATAGTAATACATACTGGATTAACGAGTTCTTTTATTTATTTCACCTTCGCTATTCTTGTATCTAATATGGTCTCACGTTTACAATAAATACAAAAATACCTGCCGTATCATCCTCGTGCAATTAGCAGGTATCAAATGAAGACATCAACGACCTAAACCCAGAAAAACGCACAATGTGTAAGGTTGAGCGGGTTTCCTGCTCTATATGGAGATGAGATAAACATGATATTAACCACGCTGCAAATCGAAAAATAAAAGATATTTTTCGCTAGTTGATCATATTAAATTATATTACCCTTTCTAGTTATGATTACTAATTATAATACCTGATATTGAGATAATAACATTCTTGTGTAAGAGGAGTTTAAGTTTGATTTAGATACATAAATGTAGTTTTCAAATTTCCTGTGTATTATAAAAAAACTGTGAAAAACCTAACTAGCAGAGACATCTATTGAAATGCGCAAGAATTAAATATTTCAGGCCGGAATTTTCAAGTTGGGCTCGTGAAATACAGAAGACTGTACATTTTGGGCCTTTTAAATGATTGAAATTCATTACTGCCTAAAAAATAGGAGATGGAAGGTTTCATTAAACTTATTCGAAAAATTTTAGAGGTTCCTAAAGGAAATTTAGATGATATTTTTCAGGATTATTCATGATTAACTTTTACAAGTTACTTTCTTTATCGATTCACCTTGTATATTGAAATGTACTGCTTCATTCTACACTTTATATAAGTCCTCATACTAAGTCTCAATTTTTCTCCATGACTTTCATTGGCGAAATATAGGATGACAGTGATTATTTACAAATGAAAAATTCAACAGCCAAAAATTACTTTTTTTGTTATTACTTTTTTTCCTAACCTAATAGGAAAAAAACCCCGTATTAGCTCAGCCCCGAATCGTCGGTAAATTTCAGTGATGATGAAAGTGGAGCACTATTATCCGACCAACAGCCGTCTGTTGACCGAGCCGAAATTCGGGCGGGCCAAGCGCATCAAAATTTGGATAAACGGCGAATTGGATTGCGCGGAGTTCATCATAAATCCGAAGAACTTCAGGAGCTGGATATCGATCCTGAACCACCTCACGGTGACGCTGCAACCCAGTTTCGGGGCCATCAGGAAATTGATAGCTTTGAGCAATTTGGACGCGGTGGATTGCTTCGAGGATCTGGATCCTAGCGATAGATACGTGGCGTTGGGCGCCAGTTGCCGGTTGAAACTGCCCCCGGGAGGGTAACGATCTTGTAAAACATCCACCTAATTACTTCAAAAACTTTTTCTACTTGCAGGTACAAAGAGAAGCTAACTTTACATCTGCCGAAGTCGAGCAAGAAATTCTATGAAGGGGAGTTCAACTATAGAAAAGCGAGGTTTCTAACGGAATCGGAGAAGAAAAAATTAATGTTGATTTACGTTACTGTTAATGGGAGAACGAACCAGGTGCCTCAGAAAGCTGTTTTTAAAGACACAGAACTGAGAAATTGGGATGTTGTTCTGATGTATCTAGCTAAGATACTTCACATACCTGAAGGTGTTGAAAGGTAGGAAATTTTCAATACACCAAACAATCCAAACAATACAACTTTATTTCAGTGTTTGTACTATATTTGGCGATATTTTGGAGAACCCTAGACAATTACAACACGGTTACGTGTACGTAGCTATACCCTTCAAGGAGTGTTTCGTTTGCTTGGATTATTTGAGCTTGTTCAAAAACGAGACAAATTTCAGGAAATTCTACACTTTAGCAATTCGACCTGGTCACGATTGCTTGAGCAACAAAGGTAAGCTATCATAGAAATTTCAAACATTTTACTGCTATTCAAAAAATTGCATATTCATTAGAACCACATCCTTAATTTTAAGGTAGTCCTAGATTGAAAAAATCCACACTATCAACCTATCGCTTAGAAAAGAGTAAGTATATTAATACAATATGTGATTATTATGATTTGAATGAAAATATTTTAACCTAGATAAAGCTCAGCATGATGAAGCAGAACCTGCACTGGCAAAATTGCAGACTGGCAATAACCAGTACAGGGTTCGCAGTGTGGAGGCTTATAACAAGCACTTGCAGCGTTGTTCGATAGTAAGAAATAAAGCGATGAAGGAGAAAATGAGAAGGGACGTGGCGAATTCGATAAAAGCTTTCGGTAACTTTACTTAGCAAATGTAATTCAAAGTGAGTACCTACCTACGATTTTTTGTAGAGCAACGAATAGAAGAAATCGAAAAGGAAAAACTGCGAAGGAGCAAAACTTGCTCGGAAATTCGTAAGTGGATAATTAGAATTTTAAATAATTTATAATGAATATTTTGTAGAACATTGTGGGAAGCAATTCAATCAAGTGCGATGTCAAACCGAGTTCGAATTCAAACCGATCATTTGTAGGTAACATTTAAATTTTGATTTTTGTTGTCCTAATTAATAATTTGCAGCAACTAAAACGAGAGATAGTGGTTGTGGCGAAACAATTGGTATGAATAAACAATGAAAAAAATTAATTTAACTAATTTTGATAATTTTAAATTAGACTCTGGATATTCGACTGTTGAAAAAAAGTCCCTCCAAATGCAAACTGATGTCTCAGATATTTTACAAGGAACTGGAGGTACTGCAGACAAAGGATCAGCAACAGTGGCTACTAAACAAAGTATGTATAATTTTTACCGGTAATTTTATTATTAATTTTATTTTTTAGTTGAAACCATTCAAACAAATAATCCTGAAAAAGGCACCAATTGCAACAGTGTATCTGATACATCTGAATCTACAATTACTATAGAATTAAGTGAGAAAACTCTTATTCTCGTATTACTAAAAAAATCTTATTTATTTACATTTACAGCCAAAGATATTATCAAAAACGACAAGGGCACACCTGCTTCAAAACATAGTAAATTTATAGTTTTCAATAAAATGCATCAAAAATACTATTACCTATATCTTTTTTAGGTAAGAGTAGTGTTACATCAACAGATTCCGAGCAGGCTCAAAAATGCCACAACTGTTATGGTAAAATCACTTACCTTAATCACAAAACACTTCCTTATATAATAGTTAAATATTGTTGTAGAATTTGCAAACGAGTACATGAGAAACGATAAATGCACAATGTTTGTAATCCAGGAAGTCACCGAAGGACCCACAACTTCAGGTAACAAACTGTGTTAATGTGAACCAAAGATTGAGAAAAATTATTATAAAAATAACTAGTTAACAGAAAAAATCAAATCCTGAAATAACTCATTTTCTTTAGAAAGTGACACCAAAGAACTTCTCTCTCCTGATGGTAGAAGAATGTACAGCACGTCTTCAGGTCAAATAATTTGGGTTTTTATACAACTTGTAAAACTAATATGTAGGTAATTGCAGATGTTTCCAGTGAAGGAAAAAGCACCGCTAATGGCTCACAAAGAAATAATTGTATAGGTATAGTTTATACTTACATAAATTATTTTTCTTGTAAATAAATTTTGCTATATTCAGTTGATAGATTGCAAGCACTGTTTGAAAAATCTGCGCAAATTGATGTCCCCCTCATAGGTAAGCAAACATGTATTTTTTCCAAAGAAAATTTAGTGAATGTAGCTTTTTGAAGATTATATTTTATAAATTTATTTTACAGAAGAAGAAAAAATATGCCTGGAATGCAAATCCTCCTACTGCGATTCGTTGTTAGAAGGGGCCGAATACGAGTGCCAAGATTTAGGTAAATTTAATCAACTTAGTGTAAGTATTATGTTAATAAACGGTTCTAGATTTTGTCGACGATTTTGTAGAAGACATTCCGGTAAATTTCAACAATACCAAGCCCAAAACCTCCGGTAAAATTCGATTGTACACAAAATTAAAAGCCGTTATAGATTCCTAATTTCAGATAACGTAAAGGAATTCCAACGAAACCGAAATCAAACGACATTCGGGAAAATAGCAGGTGAATTTTATTTGCATAGATAACATAATTAACTGAGTGCTAATATAACTTGCATAAACAGGTAGTAACGGAAAACAATTAGTAAACTTCAACTACACCAAAGCCCAAGAAAATCGAGTCACATCCTGCCCCACTATAATGTTTCCTGCGCGCGATACTTCTTCGTCGCAAACTTCAGACCATGCGTTTCGAGCCCCGTCGCACGTCACTCATCAGAGCACCTCCAAAACCTCGTCATTGGACGTCCATTCCGGCTCGGACATGTCCTTTAAGTCTAACTGCACGTTGAAATCGCACAGGAGCAACGGGAGGATCGACTCGATCCTTGATAGGGATAACTCCACGGCATCTTTCAGCGTTGAGAAATACATTGTGCAGAGCGAGGATGTTACCATGTGCGAAATTAGTAGTAAATTTTTTTGTATTAACGATTGATAAGTTGGTAAAAATATTGTTTGTAGCGAAGAATATTCGACCGACTGTTATAGTGATGAAGGAAATCGAACGGGCGGAATTTTCGAAGATGGTTTCGACTACGAAAATCGTGGAAATTACGGATTCTTTGGAAAAATTGCCGAAAAGATTAACTATTGAAGAAGTTTAAAATGAAACCATAGTAAGTATTGTTGTGGTGATATCGTACGAAGTTATTGCTAGTCATTGTAGATGGAAATTGTGTACTTAATATGGTTAGCAAGGATCTGAAGTAAGCTAAATCACCAAAAGATTGACAAGAAATGGATTTCAATTCAAATTAATAATTTAAAGGTAACCAATCTATTCAGAAATAGAGCAGTAAATTATAATAAGTAACTGTATCATATTTTTGCATCCCTAAAATTAAGCTGTAAATTAATAAAATTTAATGTACCTAACTATCGCCAAAAAAAAATAAACTTTGATTTAAAAATTGTCTTAAAATATAATCAATTGAGTCGAATACAAAAGTAAGTACAATTAACTTAGAATACGTAGATAAAAAATTAGGAAGTTCCTCACTTATTTCGGACAGCAAACGCCGGCAAATCTGAAAGAAATCAAACTCAATTTCTGGTCTTCTACTTTTCCACCGCGCATCTTACCCTTGTAAATCACAGAAATACTTTTCATAAACCTGGAGATCAGTCAACTGGGTGAAAACTTGCGGGCATTTATTTATTAAAGTGCATGTTCCGGGAGCATCGCTTACGGACTTGGGGCACTCCGGTTGAGCAGAAATCGTCTCGTTCAGTCCCAGTTTGAATTTACCTGCAAGTTATTACGACATAATTTTGTATAAACTTAACTTCACTCTAAATTTACCTGCTTTAAGATTGATACTCTCGTCCTCGCCCAACGCGGCAGCCAGCCAGGGAAGCTTCTCTTTGAGCAATTCCAACGCAGATTTAACAACTTGAGGTTCTAGAGGCGGAGTGTGAGTAGTCGATAGAGGAGGGCCAGGAGGGTAGGGCGTTGTTAGTGGCATTCCATTATAAATGCGGTCGCTGTAGTCATATTCGTCTGATTCAAGGACAGGTCCAGAAAATCCTCCAGCTCCTCCAACCGTGGCGAAATTGTTGGATTGGAAAGCAATGGGCTTGGCATGGAAACCGCTAGCTATAATAGAAACACAATTATAGCCCGAAGCAATGGCAGTGGCCTTTCATGCAGTTAAATAAAGTTATGGCGATACAGCGGGTTATCAGTTAACAGCAACACGTCTACAAATTGAGTTAAGAAGAATGTTAAATCCTTTTGTATCAACGCACCTGCTGCTGACATGAGATAAGGACTTCCCGCCTTGATTGTAGCCACTATAAAAAATGGGTTTTAATTCATGAAAATCGGTTTGCAATTTGGAGGAACATCGAGATAATCGACTCACCTGAAAGTGGCCTTCCTTGGGCATATATTGGGTATCCTGAAAAGATGCAACAATTAGTTATTCAGTAGGAATTTGTATAAACTAAGTACTACTTTTGTCGTTTTGGGAACCATCTTCCGTGTCCACAGCATCAGTTTGATTGGGTTTAACGACCACCAAGGAAGTAACGTCGCTAACGAACGAATACTTCATCGCTATCGCTAAAGCCTCCTGCGTGAGACCAGTTTTATTATCGGCCGCGTCCCGCTTTTCCAGTATCTGCTTCAACGTGAGGTACGCCCAAAGTCTCTCCAAGTTACCAACAGATTGTTGTACAGCTGGCGTGACTTTCACCGTGCCATTTACACCCCAACCTTCAGCCACAGGAGGCTTGAATGCCTCATCTAAAAGGAGAGAATTAAAAAAAAAAATTAAGAATGTATTGCACCTCTTACCGTCCAGTTTTCCTGCTACGACCAGTTCGGATCCGTAGAACAATATCGGGAAAGCGGTCCTGGTGACCTCTTTCACGTGCGAGATGTATTTGAATGTAACGTTGGAGAGAAGCGGAGACGATATCTGCTTGTAGAATTCCTGCAGTTGCAGGGACGCGTCGGCGGCTTCGTAAATGTGCCGGGCGACTCCTTGGTTTTTCAAGGAGACCTTCTGCAGGAACTCCCTGTCGGCGCCGTCGCCGAAAGACAGCGAGAAAATGGGAGTTTTGCCGGTGTTCAGTTCGGTCACGGTTTTGATGATTTTCTCGTTGTTGGTCATTCCTACAGTGGCTTCTCCGTCCGTAAGGAATATTATAATGGGCTGGTGTTTGGTGTCTTCGAGGTTCTTTTGCACGATTTGCAGGCCGGTTTTCAGGGCAGAGTCGATGTCGGTGCCGCCGAAAGCTTTCAGTTTGTCCACAACTTTATCGGCTTTGTTTAAGTTGTCTTCTGTAGCAGGGAAAGGCGGAGGTAGCGGTTGTTGCTAAAGGATTTTATAATAAGCTTAATTGTCTTGTGAAGGTATTAAATGGCTTACTGTAAGATTTCTATTTGCTTCTTCTTCACCCGGGTAACCCCATGTGTCGATACCGGATTGGTACTGTACAGCTACGTCAGGGATATTCCAAACTTTAACAACAGATCCGAATTCGACCAAGCTGAAGATATCTTCGGGTTTTAATTGAGGCAGGATGCTCTTCATCGCTTCTTTCAGTTGGGATATTCTAATTCCCTCCATACTACCGCTGGTGTCCAAAATGAAGACGACTTGTTTGGGAAGAGCTGGAAGGTCGCTCGGGGAGAAGAAATGCACGAAATAATCACCATCAACTAAAACCTGTAGATAAATTTAGTAATTTGGTAGTAATTTAATTTGATTTATGTTACCTCTCCGTTACGAGGGTCTCTTTCAACGTCGTATTCTACCACAAATTGTCCAGCCAATCCGTTGTCCTCTTCAGTTCCCAACCCAGCAGCGAATTGTTTCTGCTGTTCGATATCCGGATTGAACTTAACAACAGCCGAGGTTTTGTTGGTTTTAACGATATCCGCGTTCGGGTTAAGTTTATCGTTCTTCTTGTTAATTTCGTTACCGGACCTCAAGGCAGGTGCTCTGACGAACTTCAACGGGCTGGATTCGTCGATGTTCACTTGCACATCCAGTTGTTTAACAGGTTGTCCCGGGTGGATGTTGATGACCAATTCGTATTTCCCGTTCTGTCGCTCCAACAGCTCCTCGTACTTCAGGTAAAACACGGCTTTTTTCTGGGGCTCCACGTTGACAGACACCGTGAATCTGTTGGAGTCCCTCGCGCTGACCGCCACGTGGGCAGCTGCTTGTCCGCTTTGTACGGCCTGGAAATTGCATTTTTAATTTTCGTAAATTCATTTGTTGGTAGTTGGGTACGTTTTTGTAGGTGTCTTTGGCTCGTTCCTTCTCCTGCACGTAAGCTTCGTACTGTTTCCCGTCGATTTCCATGATGAAGCCGGATATGTAGGCTTTTTCTGGAATGATGACCGAGAAGGTGGCTTCGTGGGGAGTTTTGTCCAGATTCTTCACTTTGCTGGTAACTTGGCATCTGGCAAATCGATTCGAAACGTTGGCGTCCACTCGCATTTCGTATATTTTCGGAATAACCGGAGCATCGTGCTAGAAAAAATTAATAAAACAAATAGAATTTATGTACCTATTTTCGAGAATAATAAACAATACAACTACGACAATAAAATTTACCGTTATTGTATTTATATAATAAAATTTATTGTTCATAAACGAAGCGCGGGTAAAACCAGCAGCGTATAAGTAATTGCGTCATTAGAGTAATACGAGGAATTCCCTTTGCTCTCTCGTGACAAAAAAATAACAGAAGGATTAAACTGTTGTTTGTTGGGCTATTATCCCTACCTCTTTGGGGTCCTCATTGGCGTCTGGTGATGGTGGAGGACTGGGAGTCGTTGTCGTCGTTGTCGATGTTACCAAACTGCTGGTGTCACTCACTTGGGGGAACGAATTCGCGACGGCGATGAGCAAAAATCCGCTCAATATAACACCGTTTAAATTCATCGCGTCGTCTGAAATAGATACAATTCGCAATAAATACCGCAGATATTATTATTAATTTCGGTGACCTTAGGAGCGTAAACAAAATTCCCAATCTGCGCGCTAATGAGCAGAAATTGATTTGAATATAATGTAATCGTTATTCTATTAATCTTCTCGCATTTCGTTGCGGCTCGGGCAGGTGTCTTGTTCACTTTGTTCGGTAAACAAATTATGGTAATTTCTCTTTCGATTGCTATTATTATTCCGATAAGTTTGGATATTGATTTATATGTGATGATGAAATAAAAATATTATGCCTGGTTAATAATTACCAATCGTGGGCTGTTCAAGATATAACGGTACCAATTTCGACATTTTCAAAAATAGAAGTAGAATAAATTATAATAAATTACATAATAATCGCTGGAATTTCCAATATAGAATCAATAATTTTATTACAGTTATATTTATTTGTCAATAAAATAAAAAATAAACATAAAAGTAACTTATTATCTTTTACCATAATATTCATCTCAATTTTAATCATATATGTACAAAAATATAAACTACTTCAAAATACACACCAAATTGATCCCATATAAAAACAATATGAATAAAAACAATTCCTCATAAAAAATACCAACCATTTTAATCAACAGCTACTAATCTATTATTCCATTTAGCTGCAATCAAGCTAAATAAAGCAAAAGTGCCTATATGATAGAAAAATATATCAGAAACTCACCAATTTGAATGGGTTTCTTGTTGAAAACCAGTACTCAAACAGCACTTCAATCTCTCTTCTCGATGTCTTCTCTTCAATCACGCAGAATATCCTCTCTCAATATAATACCATCGCTTAAGCCGGGTCTCCCCCACTTGGAAATGAATTAAATCAAGATGACCCTGGGTTATCCCGATATACAAGCACTCAAAGCGATTTAATGCCGGTGTATTAGAATAACATGTATATACCGGTTTGGTCAGAAATAATTAACAGTAAGCTAGAACTTCCAATGAACATTGCTATTCGATGGAAAATACATCCATTAGATTTTTGAAGAAAAATTTTGTTGTTTGTGGATTTTTTTGTTGGCAAACAAGTTTAATTTATGTTTTTCTTAAATATATCAAGATATTGGCGAGTGCTTGAAGTTTATATTTCGTCTAGTTCTAGTTTATTTCGAGAGATAAAAATATTAAAAACAAATGTTTGGAAAATAAAAAGGTTAACGAATTTAAGCAGAACAGAAAGGATTTTATGAATATTTTTACAAAAATTAAGGAAATTATTTTAAAATCATATGTATTTTATATACTTGTCAATAGATGTCGCAGTAAGCTCAATATTTGTGCAATATTTGTAGTTGTGTAAACATTGTTGCCTAACTATAAGATCTTCTTTCGTATATTTGTATTGTGTATCAGTAAATGAATCCAATAAATTTAATTTCACGCTCCCATTGTTCGTTAATAATCATATTAAATGTGATTTGAATTTACAGACGAGAGTACATTGGAACTACGGGGGTATTTTTGAAAATCGCGTGACTGTCATATGTCACGTGCTATATGGAGTTGTCAAATTTGTGTATACAGCGTGTACCATCTAAAACTATACTTTTTAGGTAGGGAGTGGCTTTATTGCTCTATAAAGTAAACGAATGAAATGGGAAATTGGATCTGCACGAAGCGCTGAAGCTGTCCGCTGTACAGCTGAATCGAAACCGTTAAAAATCAAAAATCCCTCCTAGCGTACACGAGAGATTTAAGTGAACTTTCCGGTAAACAGTCGGAGCTATTTTTATTGCTTACATTTAATTGACTTGCGGTTTATATTTATTGTGTTAACCCGTACTACTAGTCGCTCGTTTTGCATGAAGTTTGCGAGAACAGTTGTCGAAATAACAACCTGGCGAGTGCGTGAGCTTTCGGCCCGAAAAATCGAAAAGGGCGTTCAACCGCGGTCTCGACTCCAGATCGATTTGGTGGTGGTGCTTTCGAAAAATTCGATGTTCGCGACGAAAGTGCCCCTTTTAGGTTACGATTCATAAGTTGTTCAAAAGCTGTAAGTATTGACAGATATCTGTGGATTTAAATTGTAAGATTTAAATAACAAATAACATTTTATTTACAATTAGGTTTAATTTATTAACGATAATATTATTTTAAGGTTAGATATTTTGGTGGTTTTCTAATCGAAATTTACCTTGAATATATCGCATTTTTGATGTTTTACTTACCTTTAACTATGTTAATTCACATAATAGTGTTCGTACATAATTTAATTATAGTGTTTACCCATTTCAAGTATAAATTTGAATTCTCATAAATAATTCATTATTTTACTATAACAAACTTGAGACTAACTCTCATTTCATTATATTAGCATTAAACAATACTATGCGTTACGTTGTTTAGTAATATCGTGTAATATTAAAAATATTTTATCAGCGAAATGGAGGTGTCATATCTAACAAAGATAAGATTTCGTCATGGTACAACAACAAGAGCACATCCAGCTCGATTATCTTATTAAAATCAATTCTGACATTTCGTAGCGTTATTAAACTGTTTAGTAGAGGTCAGATTTATATTGCATGAGTGTGGCATGACATCGGTACCGGGCTATATAATACAACGAGTGAATCAAGTCTTCCGTTCCAGGTACAAAAAAAATGCTGCAGGACCTGACATAGAGGGCTGGTCTCCGCGCGGGAGGCCCGCTGGAATGCTCATAATGCCTTCGGTGCTCGAAGAGGTGGAGGACAATTCCACGTTCACGGCCCTGGTGGATTCCGGCGGCATCACCGTCGTGCCGCCAAGTCCTTCTTCGAAGCCCCTGAAGGGCATCGGCGACGTACGGGCGCTCCTACAGCAGGGCCGCAAGCAGGAGGTGAAGCAGCTACTGCGGAGCAACTCTTGGCCGGTGAACAGCCCCATACGGAGGGATTTGTGGCAGCTGTTGTGCACTCAGCATCAAAATGACAAGTCGAATTTCATGGACGGGTTCTATTGGGAGATGGTCAATCAAGTATTCGGGACCACGGAATTGCCGGACAAATCAATCAGTCTACCTCCGTTCGTAGAACCTTCTCATTGTCAATCGTACTACATGACCCATAAAGGTAGATGCATCACCGATCGTGTAGTGTCTGTGTTGGGATATGCCTGTCCCGATATTGTTTACAGCCCTATTATTTACCCCATTTGTGCGTTGCTTCTTCATTTTATGACTGGTAAGTTTTATTTTTTCCTTCATATTTATTTATACCTATTTTAAAAACAGTTTAATCCCTTTATTGACACTTAATAAATGTATTTTTAAAGTTTTACTCCTATTTGTGGTATCTGAGTATCCGTTAATCCATCATTATACATGGAGTAAAATAAAATATTCCTATTACATTCGTTTGTCATTATGCTTATTGAAAATTGATTGTTTTATTTTTATGTACCTACATAACAAGCGAATAAATGTACAAATATAATTTTTAAATGGAATGTTTAATCAAATATATAGTAAATATTCAGTAATAAAAATAGTACCTACCAAATTAAATGAAGTGTCAATTTGGAGACTTCTTATCTCTACTACCTAATCTTCTTTAATGCTTATTCTAAGGTAATTAATTTTTATTAAATAATTACTTATCATTAGGAAATTTATTTTGAAATTTTATGTGGCTTAAACATTTTACCTAATTATTTTAATTTTATCGAATTCTGAAACATTGTTTCAGAGAATAAATGTTTTTGTGACACTCTGTATATACTCAATTAAATATTTATACGCTATTTTTTATTTTAACCAGGCGTTTTAAATATATTTATAACAATATAATTATATATTTAACTTGAATAATTTATGATTTTTAATCCGGCTAATATCGATATGAATTTAAATAAAAATATAAAAATTGTTCTAAAAATATAACGGAAAATTGGCGTGAATAATATTTTCAAGATGTAGAAGCGCTGTTGCTAATGTTATAATTATTTAAAAAATAGATTTTTATAACGTACGAGTGTATCCTTCAAAATGATTCGAAAAGTCGTTAATTAGGAAAATAAACTCACCTACACGTTATTGCATGAAATCTAGAAAGTGCGAATTAAAAAACCAGCCGGTTTTAAAATTAAAATATTATTTAATAAACAGTTTTTTTTTTCGTACGTGCACGTAGGTATTTTAAGCAATTATGTGGCCGGTAAATCACAATTTTCTATTAATAAATAATTGAAAATTTTTCGTCCTAAATCTTTGAAATATATCGTTTTTTGTGCATGTTTATTGTAATTAGATTTTAAAGCGCGGTAAATAAAATTAATGCCCGCGACATTAATTCCCCAAAACTAGTTTAAAACATTTCAGCATTTGGAACAAATCCAAAGGCAAAGTAATAAGTGCATTAATTTCTGTTTTGACCGCAGCTCAAGTAAATTGCATCGTTTTATACATTCGATTTCATGCAAATGTTTATTATGCATCTTAATCCTGCAATCAAAAATTTTCCCTGCTTATATGCGTGTAATAACGAAATTAAAAAAAGTGTTATTTCATTTTCCTGTTTGGTTTTTATGTTAATTTTCACACATCTGAAAGAGCCTACTGAAAATATTTATACTTATTTGTTTTCTTTTATCATGTATTATTTACATATTGTCATATCAGTGTTTGAACCTAAAGACGAGTAGACAAATATTATTGATATCTATTTTATCGTGTATTTTTTTTTCGTTGTACCAGTTACATTGTAATATGTCACATTGAAATTGAACAATGAAAATTGATCGAAATGCCACTGCCTTAATTTCAATCCAATATTTATCGGGTATTCTGCGATAAAAAATAACGAATTAATTGCAAAAGACTATAGAGCTGTAAATAACCTAGATTATTTTTGATTTATTGGTTGATTGAAGATTATATCGGATTTGTCATTGATTGATTTTAAATCGATCAATTTGTTTTTGACACGTATGTCTATCCTAATCTGAAAAAAAATTTTGAAGTTCTGTTTTTAGACAAAATTTGGCGGAAGGGCAAGGAACAAGATCAATAATTCCAATCAATAACTATCTATATCTATCTTTTTGATGAAATTTTTATTTGAAATACTCGGTATTTTATCGTTTTCATCACATGTTAGTAAGAAAAATTATAAAACGACATATTCCGTGAAAAACCTGAAATATTAAAAATAAATTTCTATTGTATAACATAGATAAATTGATTTTTTTCGTTGGGAACGATTAAAGATAATTAAAAGTAACTTCAAGGATTATTTCATGATATCAATATAGGTAACAGACTCTAGTGGACTAGAAATTTCTTATTATAAAAAGCGTTTCTTAATTATTTGTTAGGCAGATTGAAATCCTTATAGATTTGTAGAGGATTGGATTATTGTTTATAAAAATGTTGTTGCTAAAACTGTGTGATTTAGATTTTAAAGCGATAAAGGTATTTTCGATGTGCACATAATTGAAGAAATTCGCATTGATGCAATCGATCTTGTTATCTTCAAGTATCCATTGCAATTTCCTACTGAAACTCTCTGATGGGCAACGCTTCGATGAGTAGAATTATTAAAATGATTAATAAAACTATTAAGATTAAGACTATTAAAAAAAATCATGATTAGATTAATTGTTAAAAATAATCCCTAGTCATCGATCTCGATTTTTTCCCAGTCACTTTCATTATTTTATATAATTCTAGCTTTATTGTATTTATACCTCGTTTATAATCTCGAAGCGGGAAACGATTTTAATCTGATCGAAGCAGCATTATTGCATTAGTTCTATATTTTATTTAATTTACAGTAACGTAATGGGTAGTAAAATGCGATAATGCATTTTATTGGTACTGTTAATACAAATGTAACGAGTTTTTTCAAATATAATAAATATAAACTTTAGTAGGTAATATATTAGATTGTATTTAAATTTTAATAAATCTAATTACTTACGCAGTACTGTAACTATAAAATTTTTAAAAGGTATTTTAAGATATATCCAAGAAATTAAAAATAAGAGTAATTACCTAAATATTAAGAGCAGTATAATTTTTGGTTCTCGATGATTGGTTTTTCCGCAAAAACTTAAAATACATTTGGCATTGAATCCATTTGCGTTGATCTTGATCATTCTCAATGTAAACCATCTTAACGCAATCAATCATCATATCTTCGATTTACCACCTAAAATCCAATTTACATGTTCGCCCGAGCAGAACCGATGGAATAACTAATACGTTGACTGAAACATCCTATACAAACGCAAATATTTAATTGTATCCACATACCTACTTAATGTTGAAAAAATAATCCGACAATCTGCGAGATTTGTTTGAATTGGAAAAATTGGAATCGAATAAAATGTTATTCCCGCTGTCCTACATAAATTCATAGTAGATTAAACGCCGCCAATTACTATCTGTATATCTGGGTAATTTATTTATCCCGACTGATATTATTGACTTAGCAATCCGCCCCTGTTATTATTGGCCGAAATAGCTCGTTAACGTGATTGTTTTCGTAAAGACCGTTCCGCTCGGGCGAATTTTTACAACGGCCCGCCGAATGGCCACTTAAAAAATTAATGGTGCACGTTAAACGATAACCTGCACGTTGGATTTTAACGTTCAACGACCAATTACAGGGCTGTAGAGGTTTTGCGTTAATTTTTATATAAATTTCAATGAGCGCTCGAAAGAAATATGCCGGGAATTTCGGATGCGCGTGGGCATTTTTTTATTTATTGTTCCGTGGAAATTGATTTCTGTTTGTTTTTCTGTAGAAGCGATGCTTCCCGATAGAAAAATGTCATCCGGTTTTCCAGTAATTCGCGGGTAATTATTGGCCGCGAGCCAAATTCTTATCGGGCGATTTCATTTTCGTTTCGGCGGAATTGTGTGCTTACGCCGAAAAATTCTGAATTGTCCACTATTCCGAATTTATCCGGTGAAAAATTCGCGATCGAGCCGCTTTCGAATTCGCAATTTACGCGTTCCTATCGGAATCGAACCAAATATACCTTTGGTGCGTCAGAAATAGCAGGAAATTTTGGCACAATTTTTGCTAAGCTGTGTTTACTCCGCGAAATTCGCACCTACTTTTAAAAAATCACATGTTTTCGACACATTGTTTAAACTAGCGGATTTCTTTTGTGTTTCTGCGGTTTTTCTAACTGTTTCAAACGAAACAGGGAATTCGATGTGTCGAGTGAGAAATTAATTTAGTGATTCGCTCGTTGGTAATAGTAGGATTTTTTTCTACGCCGACGGGATTGCGAAATTCCGGAAAATACCTACTTTTACTGAGAATTTTAATCATTCATAAAAATATCGAGGAAACGGATGTATTATTAGAAGCGGGGGACACACCCATGTAGTTCTATTAAAAACCACTTTCTTCGCAAGAAGGCTCGACTGGTTAGGTAGGAACGAAATGTTTGAATTCCTCCCAACAAAAACACCCGAACCTGCCAAAAATTCTCAAAAATATTGCAATTCTCGACGTATTTATAGAATTATCGGGATTAAAAAAGGTCAACAGCGCGATCGTGCGACGATACTCGTTCGCTTTTAGACCAATTTCGGAATGCACGTCTCCAGAAAATCTCCAAACAACCAAAAAAAATCGAGCCACTATCCTTAATAAACGTGGCCCAATCGCCCGAAAAAGTCAACACTGCAACACGGCGAATCTAGCACATCAACCTATCTTATCTCTTAATTAAATAACGAGACGCTGATAAGGTGGCTTTGTTTCAACGTGCCGCAATTACGTGTTTAAAATGCCGAGTACGTCGAATTGTCTCCGCTTCTCCCTTTATCGATTTTACCAACCGGGTTTACTTACCTCGTTTGATGTCGAGCGCGTTTCGTGATTGCGATAGCGCAAAAAAATACTTACCTACGTCAAATGGAAGACGCGTATATTAATTTATTCCATTATGTATACAGTCACGCGATAATTAATTAATCCCCCATTAGGTACACCGTGCATCGGAAATTTTAAAATGATAAAAAAAAATCGCAATCGGATTGCAAAGCAGCGCTTTATACATTAAATGGTGGTTAATTAGATTAGGTAATTAGAAAAAATGTAGGAAGAGGTTTCGGTTTAATGGGTTTAACAGACGAGCCGGCGTTGTCATAGGATATGTCACCACCTATCTTAATCACTCCAAACGAGTTTTAATTAAAATCGCTTTCGATTCATCCGTTAATTACGTTTAATGACATATTATCACGCCAATTATAATCGGCTTTTTTACGATGCGAGATGTGCTGTGGCATTACGCGTTGCATAAAAACTTTTCGTTATAAAATCGATCGATAAAAAGTTTCGAGTCCGATATCGTGCTTAATTAATGAAGTGATCGATAACTTTTGTAAACACTACTTTACCTATTATTAGGTAAACATTGCGTAACGCTAATTTGTCGACGTCGTATGTCATTGTCATGTTTCAATTGTCAAAAATGCTGGTACATTTTTTATTTCATTGAAGAATTCGATGGATTGGAAAAGAATTTTCTTCGTATTCGAAAAATAAAATTTGTTGTGCAACATCTCTCGGGACCGCTAATAATAAACGTTGTTTATTTTAGACGATTCGAAAGGCGGCACCGGCGAAATTTTGAAATACCACCGATTTTATTCATGTATTTCGTTCGCGTATTTATAGAAAAAAACGCTCATTCTAAGTTGATTTTTTTTAATTTTATTTTTCGCCCGAAAGTTCATGGACCGCCAAAAATTTTCCTCTGCACAAACATTCGACGACGTGCGTATTTCGTCGCAATTGTTGTTTATTAAGCACGTTAAGAAAATATCAATATGCAGTTTTCTTTTCTCCCTACTTTTATAACTCGTGAAACGTATTAACGAGCGTGAATTTTGTATACTCGAATAAAATTTTTGGGGCCACCTTTGAAATTTATTTCCTCCCAGAAAGCGATTCCGTTGCGAAAGGAAAACGCAAACAAACAAGCCACCTTCGCGCCGACATCAAAGTTCATTCATTGGTGGAACAATTTTTATTAGCACTTCCTGTAAACCATCTAAATTTCCATTAGAGCAATCGGAAAAACGTTCGGCAATCGGTCGATAAATCATTTTTTTTTCTAAACGGGCCCATCTCGATTGCGAACCACCGCATTTATTTTCGTTTGCCCGATCTCGATGCGAAATTTATTCGACGAGCAAATAACATAAAAATCCGTCCTGAAAGCTTCGACCTTGGCGTGCGTGTGCATTAAATATTTCGATATGTGCCGGCATTAAAAATAAAACGATACAAAACCGCGCCCGGAATTCCGAAACCTCCACCGATCCGGGGCCGATCCGATCAATCGCTCTCGCCATTAAACCGGCCCGTTTCTTTTGTTGCAGAAGAGGAAGCGTACCATTGCATGGCGAGTTTAGTGGCATCGAAAGAAAAGGTATTCATCACGCAAACGAAACTTCTGTACGAGGTAACCTGGAAGACTGTCATGCAGATTTGCAAGAAACATGTGGTGAGTATTTCAAGAGGTTCCCTCGTTCGTCAGTGTATGTAGAAATGCATTCGCATGGTAAATGCAAGGTAAAAGCAGTTATATTTGCATTGAAAGATTCGCATAATTTAGCGAGTCGCATCACATCTAGCGAACCCCGCCGGATTATCGATTTATCCTCTCGAATATTCCGGCTAGACCTCCGGTTTTGACCAAAGTTAAGGTCCGCCGATCGTCGGCAACCTCGACCTAAAATTTCTACCGAAAAACCGGATACCCGACGGTTATTTATCATTGCGACAATCATCTGAATGCCAAGAACGAGTCGTTGCGACTATCGCGATTTTCGCGAGGTCGTAGAAAAAATTGTGTACGCTACTCCTCCGTAAACAAACTTGCAGTGAAAAAAAATATTCTTGTTGTATAGAGCCGGTTTGATGTCGATTCTGCACGGTACAAATTGAATGACAAACGACATCCTCGTCGCTCCCACAACTTCCTTCTTTCGAATTGAGATAATCTCGATCTAAAATTAGACGAAACGTACATGTCGATGTCGGCTCGTCGAAATGCGACAATGGCGAGGCATTCGGTCGATGGTTTTCCGCGTTTGAGCCGATTTAGATTCGTTTATTTCGCCACATCCCAAGCCTAACGAGCCACTTAACCTTTACTGATTGATTTTTCAACTGTAACGAATAGTCGTTTGATATACTAAAAAAATAGTAGCCAAGTTGAAGTATCTCAAAAATCTTGGTGCATCGGTGGCAAAATCGATTTCACCAGCCAATTCAACCGCCATTTATGTTAACATTAGAGTATCGATTATAGAAATCGGCCGCCGTTCACATCCAAAGGCACTGTTCGACGAATCGCTCGGAACGATTGTACATGGACTGGATCTGGTGGATATTCCAAGGGCTGCCCTTCCAGCACCTGGTGCGCGTGATGGACTGCTTCTTCCACGAAGGCGTTAAAGTACGTAACTTTATCGATCGATTGCGAATCGATTAGGAATCGATGGACGTTTTGCAGGTATTATACAGGACGGCGATGGCCGTGCTGGTCCTCTTCTACAAGTGCTCGTCGCCGTCGTCGTCCGAATGGCTGGCGGAGATCCAGAAGAACGGCGTCGACAGCGCCCTCACCAAGTTCTGCAAGGAGATGCCGGTGGTGCCGCAGAAGGTGCTGAAGGTGGCCTTCGGCATCCGGGGGCTGAGCTCCTCGTATATATCGAGGGTATTTTTGAAGACTGAAATGATTTTAAGGAGCAAGAACGTGATGAACGGCTCCAGGCAGTTGGTGAGGTCGAGGAGCAGCGAGAATTTGCCGAATAGCCAGAGCCAGAACAACATACAGATGGTGTCGCATACGCTCACCATCAGAGAAGTAAGTTTTTTTGTTCTTTTATATCAATGTTATTATTTTTTTTTTCAATTATTAAATTTGAAATTGATTGGGTATATTTGATTGGTTAATTTCAATTCTGGTGTTGAGAGGGTGGTAAAAAGTTTTGGCTATTGATATTAATTTTTTAGCTAGATGAAGAAGATTCTAAATTTATTATTCCAAATTGGTCTGGATCTTTTTGGTCATCGAGATTAGAAGTCGATTTAAAACAGAATTGAAAATATAATAATGAGTTGTTTTTGTTCATTTCGAATTGCAAGGGCATCTTTATAGTTTGAGTTATATTTTAAGAGTTGCGATTTTGATTTCTCCTTTTTAACATCTTTAAATGTTCTTTTTAAGGATAAAAAATATAGATATCAACTGAAGACAACTATTTGTGATTCATTACTTACTGTAAATAAGGTACAGAAAATTTCGCATTTTTCGTGTGATGCCATTTAACCCCCGTTTTTCAGTCTATAGTCTAGCTTTATTCTCCTTAACAACAATTAATATACAACTCATTTAATTTTTTTTAAATGACTATATATACAGGTATATACATTTATATATATTTTTATACACAGGTTACCAGAATCCTCGTGTTCCCTAAAATATTGCATTTTGATTTTTTTGAAATTTGTTTATTTAACAATTGCTTCTTGGTGAATGGTTCTATATTGTACATAATTTGTATTTAACTATTCGTTAGATTTGAGTTTCTTGTACAGAATTTTGAAGTTTTAACCAAATAACCCCCATATATTAATTGCTATCCCAGTATTTAGATTATTTTTAGACGAACAACACTGAGACCATTTATATTAATTATTCTCGTAATTTATCCTATTTCAGTTTTGTTCGTCTATACGATTTGCCGATATTTAACCATTTGACTAAAATCAATAATAAGAACAGAAAATTATTATATCCTGTCTAATTAACTTGTATTAGAAACTATACTATTGACTGCGCCAATTGATTCCTCGACTTAATAATAATTTTCACGTTCTTATTGTTCGTTCTATCGTCAAACGAATCTCGTACTGGTGTAGAGACATTCCTTTACATTTTCAGAAAATGTCCGAAGAGATGTACAATGACATGGTATTGTATCCGATTTTATCAATTGAGAATGTGACAATGTTTTTGTATTGTGTCAATATGATCATTGCTATTTTTATCCCGCTTCGTATCGCTTGTGATCTTAGCTCTCTTTCGCTTATTTATCGCGTATTTATTTCGCAAAACTGATCGAAAAAAAAATACATATATCGAAAAGCTTCGCGGTTTGTGTAAACGAAAAATGTATAATTTTCCGCCGATGCTTTTGCTAAGGATAACCAATCATCGGTTCGTAAAAAATAATTCGCGAGTTGTTGATAAACCGAAATAATCCGTATATACTAATCTATGAAAAATGCTCAAGTGTTCCCAGTTTATTTTCGTACGTTCTCCCAAAATAATTCGACAGATATCCGTCAATTGCACCGCATAAAATTTTTCGTTAATTCGCGCCCGGCTAATATCGACAGGCTTTTGATTAAAAAAAATGTATTATTAGACACCCGCTCGATCGGGCCAGTGACGGATTTATTCATTTTGTTACCATCCAAAAACCCGTTGATACAATCATTCCTATCGTATTTAAATTTGCACCAAAGAAGTAGCACTAACGAAAGAATGATTTCCACGATGGTAGATTCTATTTTCCTCGAAAGAAAGCGCGTAAATCCAGCTCGCGATTGCTCCTGTCGGGCGTTTCCCTCTTATTAAATCGCCTTTGCGAATTAGGAATGCTAATTGATCGAACTAAATATAGCGCTCGGTTTCGTTTGGTTTTCCGGCCGGCGTAATTCGCGAACGAAATCGAAATCGGCTGCAAGACGGATCGAATCAATCGAGTTTCGAGAGAAAAAAAACGGAGCTAAGATCACCGTTACATGATTAATGTTCGACTAAATATCACGAGCACCGTATCCATTCATACTGAACTAACCGATCAAATTGGAGGCATTCATTTCCATATTATTATACGTATCATTGTCACCTCTGCAGTACTACAAGCGTTCGAGTTTTGTTTAAATTATGTAGTAAAAGAAATGTCGGATGGCTCGAGCGAGTAGTGCTCCAATAAAACCGATAATCTTACATAATTAACATCTAATAGAAACGTACATTCAGTGTTTCAATGAGTTTTATTAGCTCGAAAAAAAAAGGATTATACACTACATTTGTCACGTTTGTGATTTCGTATTTATTTGGAGTTTTACATGTTACTGGATGTGTTTCGTTTCGTTTCTTTTCTGCTGCTTTACAATAAATTAAGGGAGCCCATTCGCCAGGTCCCCGTACCCTATCCATGGGAGTATATCCCGTGCAGAACGTTAACTCGGTTATACTCGATCAACAGGATGTAAGTTTTAAATGATTCGTTCGAAAAAAATAATCACTCGTAGATTTATTTTAGTGTATATCACACCGGCGCTAGTTTTGGGTGCTATTATCATTTTTGATAGTGTTGTAAATGGGTGTAGATAAATGCGAGTTTTATTTAAAATGAAAAGATAAATAATGTAGCAGGAAACTTACTGTGTACTTGGTGTAATTTTTATGCAAACAAGTTAATTTCTGTCCTTACTTTGTGAGAATTGATACAAGGTTTCGATTTTTCGTTGGAAAATTCGTTAAATTTATTAATTACCGGTGTGATATATGTTAATTTGTAATGTTTTCGATGTTACCACAATTTTTATTTTATTTTACACCTGTTGTATGTTGAATATTATTTTTTATTTTCTCCCCGAACCAACCTAATTCATTCACCGTAATTTAGTAAATATTCTTTATCAATTTTCTAACGCGCAATCGATTTTTCAGTTGAATTTTTCATAAGGTCGTCGACCTTTAAACTTTTCCCGAGTAACCGGTTGCGTTTAAATAAACAATGGTATTTACTAAATATACTCCCTTTTACCCTTTTCCTCCATTTCCATAGGCACGTTTTCATTCGAACACACGCAAGTTATTCATCTATTATCAACACAAAGATCTCATTCCGCTTCTTCGTTGGCATTTTAACAACGGACTAATATTTTTTTGTACTGTTTATCCGCTTGTGTTTTATTGTGAGTTTTTTTTTGTTATTCTTGGGAATGCACCGCATGCCGCCCGCAAGGAGAATATTTCCCGTCCCGGTTCGAGTGCAGTTCATAAAGATTAGCGAAAATCGAGATTTCTCCGGTTGCATCGAACATTAACGATACGAAAATAAATACAGTATCTGGCATTCGCAAACGGACAATAATCGCTCCAATACCAGCGGAAACATCTGTTGGAAAATATATTAAGTGCGCTAGATTCCAGATTAATTTCGGCGTTTCGGACGCGAATTGGAATCAATTAACCTGCCGGTTTTTCGAATTGCGCGCGTATCGCCGTCGCTCCGACGATCCTTTGCAATTATCAATTAACGCGGAACGATTTCCGAGGAATTTCCCTCCTACAAAACGGCCCAGAGAGCCCGATGTAATATGTAACATTTACCGGAGGTGTTGAGAAAAAACTACGACCGGCATCAGTAATTTAATCATCTTCAATTATATAATTGAATTAACGGCCGAAAGTAGACGCAACTAATTTTGTTTTGTCGCCGTTAGAATTCTATTGAGTTTAATTTCACTAATTCGTAACTCATGAATTTATTTATCGGCGGTTTTCGAGAGAGCACTGGATTGGATTTATTCTCTTTTTGGGGGCGATTTTTGTGTTTGGATTTAGTTTTAGACGCGGGATTTTTTTCATTTTCTTTTGAGCTGTGAGTTGAGTAAAGGAAATGGAAAAATTCTCGTTGGATGGCTTTTGTATTCTACCAATTTGAAACAGTACGATTTTGGATTTTGTATCGAAACCTTGACGGTATATAGTGCATGATGTGCATGAAAAGATTTACCGAATGGAATAATTCCGTAGTTCAATTCCCGCTTCTACCGTCTTTCAAATCGAAACAATCGTTGACTAAAACGGAGGATTACGCTGCTGTTTCAAATTGCCCGCGATTCGAAGAACCCGCCCGACTAATTTTTCGCTTTCCCTCGAAACAGTTACTGACCCTTTGGTCGTGGTTGCCGGTGAGAATCACGATGTACCAACCGATCCTCCTCTACACCACCGAAGAGCACGGTTGCTCGTTGACGACCTTCTACGTCCGGGTGGAACAGCACGAGCCCACATTGCTCATGATCAAGACGTGCAACAACGAGGTAATCGTCATTCTATTGCAAAATTAAAGCTTCGAGTAAGAACTGTCGGAAGAATTCGCTCGATTCGGTGGATTTGTTTCAGGTGTTCGGTGCGTACTGTTCGTCGCGATGGGGCGAGAGGAATATAAAAGACGACAGGGGTAATAGGCAGGCGTATTTCGGAACGGGGGAGACCTTCCTGTTTTCGCTGTACCCCGAACGGGCCAAGTATCCCTGGGTGGGCATGGAAGGCGATAAAGTCCAGCACGGGGCCGAGCTGTTTATGGCGGCCGATTCCAAGATGATCACCATCGGTGGCGGGTGCGTTGAAATTATTCGATTTCGTCTACGATTTTACTCCGTTCGCCATCAGGAGAAAATGATAAAATCTACTTGAAGCAGTAAAGGAGATCCGATAAATAGCGATTCAGGTTTCTTTATAGTCAGCTCTCACTGTATACAGAATGGTACTACTAAGGTAAAATAAACAGGAGTATTACACCATGCTAAGAGCCTTAAACTTTACAAAATTAGGTTGAATTGGTATCTCCTGATGGCGAACGGGGTATAAAATAGATTGATTTTGGGGTTGATTGAGCGGTGTTTTCAGCGAGGGCCAGGCGATTTGGATGGACGAGAACATCAGGTACGGCAAAACGGACAAATGCGCGACGTTCAACAATCCGCCGTTAGTGCCGGGCGGCGATTTCGAGATTCGAGTACTGGAAGTGTACGGTTTCGCCACGGATCAACTTAGCTAGACAACGATTCCCATCGAAGATTAGGCGGATAGCCGATGATGGTAGAAAACAAAACGAAACACTAGGTTTAAAACACATAAAATATGTTAGTTAATGTAATATTTGTATGTCGAAAGCCTGTCTTCTAATTCGTAAACGTGTTAGGTGTTATGAAATGTATGTTGTGGCTTACATTTCCTGTATTTTCTTCTGTCGAAGAGAGGTGAACAATATTCATCTGCATTCCACCAAATGCTTGAAAATGATTGTTGCTTTTATTAACGTTGTTTGGGGGTCGATTGAAATATTGCAACTTGGATATTTGCGAGAAGCGACTGGGGTAGTTCATACGTACTAATTCGTCTCGAAAAATATTCGCGTATTTTGCCGTCGTTTCCGCAAATATCTATTAATTGGAGAAATCGCACTTCCAGAATTTTTTGTTAGATGAATGTTTGAACAAATGTAATAATCCGGAGGATATTATCGCTGTACCGTTGCTCTTCAGTACACCGATTACAAGTACTACGTCTAGTCGTATTAGAACACATTTTAGACTTTTAAGTTTTTAAGATTGTCGTAACTCGTTTTTTTTCTTGTACATTTTAATTGAGGTACTCCGTGGTACTACAGACGTGCGTTGAAAATGATGCCGGTTTGATTTTTTGATGCAAAATTACACTGTTATTTTTAGAATGAAATTTGATCTGCGTGTTTAAATGAAATCTTTCGTAAATTATTATTTTACCTAAAAGCATTCCATATGTTTTTTATCTTGTTGCGTTGTTATTTTTACGGAGCATTATTTATATTTTGTTTGTAGTACGACGGGTTACTATTTTTTTTTTTGTAAATATAATCAATAGTTATATATTTTGTTCATAGATTCGCTAGAAATATTTTTATTTTTTTTTTTGAAATTTTGAAAAATTTCGAGCACTTTTTTTATTATCGCTGCTAACTTTTAATGTATTATATGAGTATATATTGTGTATATTATCTTAGCTTTAGACACGTTATATGGTTTTATTTTATTGGAATTTTTCAAAATTTCCACCATGTTATTATTTATGAAAGGTTTTACTTTTTTTATAACGTCGAAGAGGAAGATTTATCCACTGCGCGCGGGACGAGTCAATTCAAGTTTATTCTGCAAAAAATTTCCAACAGTATTTTCGCGAGTCCTGCGCGTATGCAAAAAATTGACATTGCGTTCGTGCCAAAAATTTTACAACTCATTTGCGGCATAGAAAGTATTTTTTTGTACAAATCTTCACGAAGTATTATGAGTATTTTTTTTTGTTTGTTGTATTTTATCGACTGAGGAAATTTCTAATGCGAAAATGAGTCTTATGGTGAATGTGTTCTACGAATTAGATATCTGAGATAAAAAAAAAATAGTTGAAGTAGGTAGATCAACGGGGTTTCGCTAGAAATCCCGCTATCTAGAATCGTAGACGAAAAATATTAACCTGGTTGCTCATTTTTTATCAAGGCATATCACGTTATTTTTATTTTTGTAACATCACATTTTTCATTCATTCGAATTCTAGTCTTTTGCAACCGGTAATTTGTTCTATAAACCTTTGGGAGGTATTCCTAAATGAAATTTTTCGATCAAAAAGTGCAGTATCAGAACTCATGATGGTTTAAACATGCCGAAGAGTACCAATTAGAACCACTTTACATAAATTTTACGCATTTGAACCGTCGTGTTTTTTGAATCATGAAAAGTATTATATTATCTTTGCAAATTGGTATATATTTAAGAAAATATGATTGTTAAGTTTGTTGAAAAATTGGTTATTTTTAAAAGATGTTTGTTGATTGCGTTCGAGTATGGCGAGTATGAAGATTTTTATTCTATTTAAAACGCGCGTTATCTATAGAAGAAAATGTGAGTACAAAAAATTATACATATTTCAGGAAAGTATTTAGCGTGTTTAGAAATTAACGTTAATGGAAAGGATTTGTAGCACTCATTTCGTATATATCGCAAGCTTTAATGACGTACAAAAATTCGTACTTTAATGAACTCATTGAAAATGTATCCTGTTCTAATTTTAGTTCATATATTAATTTATAAACAGGCTCCGTTACTAGAGAATCGCCATTTATTATTTATTATTCTCCGTAACTTTATCGAATATACAAGGTGAGTGAGCAATTCTTCGACTTGTGCAATGAAATTGAGCAAGTTCCTTTTTGTTTTATTGAGCAGTGTTTAGAATGTGATCGTTGTAAAAGAGTTTATATTGAATAGATTAGAAAACTATAGGAATTTAAAAGCTCAATAGTTGATCTAAAACTGAGACCAGTGGAAAGTGAATATTGCATTTGTACTATTTACCAATATTCATGAAACTCTTGAAAAGAAAATTGTTTGTAGTCGTTTCGATATAAACTCGATATATTAAATGTTGCAAAAAGAAATCGTTGTTAAGGAAATTATAAATTCTTTTTATATACATCAACGATGTTTCACGCCTAGCGTTGCTTGTAAATCGTTTCTCAAAGCTTATTATTGTACGTATTACTATATGTATAGCATTATCAGTTTTATAGTAAGAGTAGTTGTTATGAATGATATTTAATACGTCGACGGAGGACATATTGAGTGGAAAAAATCGCACAAACCGCAAAATGTTCATTCACGACAGGCTGTTCTACTGTACAAATTAATGTTATTTACCGGGAAAAACCCGTAGAAAATGAACGTGCGTTTGGCAACTTGCAATATGTTCTCTACGCTAACCTCATTGATGTTTAAATTTCGTTTTTTTTTTCGTTGTCAAAGTTAATAAGCAATAACTCATGTGATATTTCGGCCGAGATTAAGACGCCTCGGGCGATCGGGAAGCTTCCCCATTGCCCGATTGTTTTGATCTTGGACGGAAAGAGTTAAAAGAAAAAAAGTGATTTTATTTAAAGTTCGATCATTCTGACTGTTTTACTTGTAGTTACCGGTCTTGTTCTTTGTACTGATGTATTTAATGTATTATTAGTATTCACGTTAGTCTTATCCAATCTCATAAATGTCTTGATATTAACCATCGTTTTATTTATCGCGTCCTCCCTCGTTCGGAGTCCTAAAGGAATGTAATAAAGGATCGGAATAACTTGGATAATTTTTAATTTAAATATTTATATACAATAATATATTACAGTTTTGTTATTTATATACAGTCGTAATTTTAAAATCTTTTTTTAGGAAGAACATGTTTATAATTTCACAATCTCTAATGTAGCATACTGATGTTTCTTCATAGTTTTTTTTTTCACTAGTGTCTTACATTTGAGCTAAAAATTCTTTCACCTACTGATAAATACGTGCAATATGGATGAGAAAAATCCAACACTGCAATGAGTTAATTACTGAGCATCCCATTATTTTACAGAATACATCAACACCAGCACTTCATTCTGAGCATTTAGTACTATCTAGAATTGAATAAAACTTTAAGAATGACTACAAGAAAGGTACCGATTAAAGTATCATAAAATTCAAAATCTTTTAGTAACTTTATTGTAGCGAAACTTATATCAGTTTAAGGCACTTATAACTAGATGCATTCGAAAATAGTAGAGATTTGTTAAGAATGTTTAATGCAGTGTCAAATGTTGGGTAAAAACGAGTGCATAAACGGGTATAAAGAGGATTTGCTCGAAAACAGCACAGAGAATAATAAAATTTGAGCATTTAGTCAGAGACCTGGGGTGAGAGAACGAGACTAACGGCCAGTCTCGCGACGTCTCACGAGGACTAATCTCTCCAAAGTCCAGAGACTAGCCTGTGCAACCGGTGTCTTGAAGACGTGTTCTACGAAGCCGGTTATCATAAACTCTCGCGATTTACAGCGTAGAATGCGCGTAGGGACAGTTCAAAAGTTGATCGAAATAACAAATTTTTCTGTCCGGATCGAGGTCAGCAGACGTAGAACATGCCCCAGGACGTGATGTGAAAAGGACACAAACTGTTTGGAAAAATGCTGGATTTTCCGTTTAAGAGTTTGCCAGATGAAAGAGAAAATTCGAAGTTGCTAAATTGGCGATCCTAAATTGCTATACAGGGTGATGAACATTAAAAATAATACCCCGTTGAAATGACTACTAGTAACTCACGTTATTAAATTAGTGTTTTAAAATAAATACTCACCCTCAAATGAATATAACTAAAATTTGTAAATAATACCAGAATAAATATATATCGATAAAAATAATACACCAGTAAATAGTCAAGAATTCCATTAAGGACGTTTAAACAGTACCACTTTGTGATAATTATACCTCACCAAAAACAAGTAAGTTTTAATCATATAATAATTTTTACCTTTAACAGAAAGTTGTATCTCTGTAAGTTATTTCATTAATATAATTAATAAATTATTTTTTTAATTATCTTACAAACTAACGTTTTCAGCCGATAGATATTTTGACATTCGCAATCTATTTTTCGATATGCACCACAAACAGCGATGACCACACAATCAATTTGTTCCTGGGAGACTTCGTGTCACTAACTAAAAATTCCAAATATTATTATGAATCACGTACGATTGCCGAGCAACAAAAAAAATATCACCAATCACAAAGTAATCCAAAGCAAAACAAAATTTTTTTAATCGCTATTCGAATCGAATCTTACCCACAACAAATCTCACGACTCAGCGGAACCTGCGATTCCTCGTTAGTTTATTAAATTGTATAAAGCAAAAATTAAAATATACAAAAAAAAAATAATATATAAATATATAAATCAAAATACATTTACAGCGAACGGTGGCGTTCAATCGTCCCATTCGGAATCGCCGGAATCCGACGCGCCGCCGTCGTCGTCTTCCTCCGAATGGATCACCTCGCTGCGCTTCGCCAGCGCCCTGGCCAGCGCGCTCGCCAGATCGTCGCTCCTCGACGTCGGGGCGCTCGGCGTCGGCTTCAGCTCCCTCTCGTCCACCGGACGCAGCTTGCAACCCTTCCTGATCTCGCTCAGCAGGTCGCCGCGCGGGTCCTCCTGCGCCGGTGCTATTGTTCTCGCTTCCACGCGCTGCGCAAACACACACCGTTTACAGAATTTCAATAGACACTAAGCGCTCGGAGAATCTTAAAGAGTCTCTAATAACGTAAACAATGTTCATAGTTACTAGTCAACCGTTACTGTCAAAAGTCAAAAGTTACTGTCAAATGAAACAATGTCCCTAGTTACTCCATAACAACAATGTATAACTGTCAAGTTAAAGAAACTCTTAAAGATGCGTTTAATACGGGTTATTATATCTATGAAAGACTTTAAAAAAGGCATTTTTAATGATTTATGAAGGATATTTTAATATTGAAACCTAAAATCACCTGTCAAATTACTCAAATTCTTCTGGAATTAACACACCTACATCAAGCCTGCTGTACCACAAGGCCCTAATTATTGACAGTTACGTCAACGAGCGTAGCCGATCATAGCGCTCGATTTTCGTTCATCTGACAGCTAGCCAATCGGAGCTTTCGCCGAGTAGCGACGTCACAACAAAGAATTCCAGCCATGTTGTATACAAAACTTACCTTGAGAGTTGTGCCGTTTCGGATGCTTTCCAGCAAGGCGGAGTTGCCTTCGTTGATGGACGCTACAAAGGAGTCGAGCGGCGGCGGAGGTGGCGGCGCGCCGGGTTTGTGATCCTTCTCCGCTTCCTCGAAGACGGGCGGCGGCGGAGGCGGCGGGGGCGGCGTGGACGTCGCCGAAGGGGCTGCGAATTCCGAAACTGATATCGTTATTACTGGATTTCTTTTCGACGGGGTTTCTGGCTTACCGGCGTTGGGTACGGGGGCGGGTTTCCTGGGAGGCGGCACGTCCATGCGCGACTTCCGCGCGCTGTTGATGCTGTTTTTGTTGGGTATCGGGGGCGGCGGGGCGATGCGGACGTGCGGCGGGCGTTGGACCAGGTGCGGCGCCCGAGGGGGCACGGCCGGCGGGGCGGCGACGTGATTGTCTACTTGTTCGTTCGTTTGATCGATTACTTCGCGACCTCCGTTGGCGTTGATGAATTCATATATGTATTCGCGGGTTTTCTTGTCTTTGAGATGACGTTCAGATACTCCAGCCTTCAACAAAATGAATCAAAATCTAACTCAATAAGATTAGTATATTATTAAGTACCTTTTTAAAGAAGGCTTTGAGTTGTTCATCTTCAGTACTAATATCGAAACCGGACGTTGAATTCCAGCCTACGTGCGAGATGTGTTTGAAATCCCTAGGAATGCCGATGTCCTTTTTAGTAATCATCACTTTTTTCCGCTTGTTGTTCTTAACGGAAGGATCGAGGGTTTTCTTGTAGTTGAGGTTTAAATGCGTAGTAGGCGACGGTAGGGTTTGGCTTTGGCTGATTTGGCGACAACGTTTCTCCTCTCGCCGCTTTCGGGCCTGGATTTTCTGGTGAACGACTATCCGGAGGTCTCGGGCCTCCTCGATGTTGGCGAAATTGAAGGCGACCAAGCAGTTTTCGCCTTCGAACATGTGGAAGAAAGGAGTACCCTCGATGTACTCCATGTTGTTGTACATTTGGTGTTCCCATACCTTCATGTTCCGTTGGATGCAGAACAGGCGGAAGAAGAAGTTCTTCTTCGTGTTATCTTTGACGAAGCACAGGATCCCTAAAAGGAAAGTTACAAGGCAAAAGTGAAATCTGAATGGTGAAATTGGCTCGTTTGCATACCTGTACTCTTCTTGAACCAGTGCGAGTGTTCCGGGGGCTTCGTTAAATATAGCTGGACTACTGTTGTACATAGGGATTGGCATCGGTTTCCTAACAATTTGAAGACTTGTAGGTTTTCTTCACTGGTTAAAATCCCACTATAATGATTATCCAATACGGGTGCCATTTCCCTAGTCATCATAAAAAGTGAACATTTCGAAACAGCATAAATATACTTAAAATAAATAATAAATTGTTGAACGACTTGTCATTATCTCCAAAAATGTAAAGATAACCAAGATAACCTAGAATTAGTCACATACCAACCCTTTGCTTATGTGTGGTAAGACTGAAACAGTAAACACCAGCATCAATAAGTCAAGAAGAGACAAGAACAAGAAATATAATTGACGTTGACGTCTCTAATGTGGCGCTTGTCAGAAACGTCAAAATAACAACAAAAAAACACAAAACACTAAAAACAAGAATAAACGCGTTCGGAAATCAGTTTTTTTAGGTGTGTTCAGGTATTAATCAAAAATAAATTGAAATTGGAATTTGTCATGCATACGTGAATATCTAGCATTTTTGAATGGTTTATACATTTTTTACCCATTACTTTATACTACAATTTTTGCTACTTATTGCACGAATAATGAAAATACGAAATCCCTAAATTCCTATTCCAAATATTTATGGCAAAATCATCAATACGAAACACTGAAAAAATTAAAGCTTAAATATTTAATTATTTCATGTCTAATTATACTAACTTTTTAATGTAGCCGAAGTAAGTTTTGGTAAAACTAGCAACGAATTCTTTGCTGTAATTGTACATACTGGCCCAAGGAGAGAAAATTTTAGCAGAGCACTTAAATAGAACTAAACAATGAACAATTTGCCTACTCAACAACACACCAAACTAACTTCAGATGCGAAGAAACATCTAACAATGCTGTGGGAAATACTGATAAGCAAACCGATTTTGCATAAGTTTTTCTTCAACTAAACCAATACCCGATGAGTGTCATATACCAAAAATGTACCTACATAAAAAATTGCAAAAATATTTAAGTTAATATATTATTCATATTAATTACAACTATCCGACAAATTCGCAGTAATGCCAAAATGAAATCATAATAATCACTTCAAAAATAAACGGAACCTCTATTAAATTATTATACCTTTGAGCACGCACCTCACTTATACAAATACTTTGTCGAAATGAAATGATGATTAAATGCAAAATAGATAAACCGCATTTGTAGACGCAAACAAAATAAGATAAACGCGAAATATCGCATTTAATATCAATTTAACTTCCCTAAAAATTGTGCGGTGTCAGTAAAAATGCTGAAAAACTTCCGCGATAACCGCACGCTTTATTAACCGATTACCAACTAGGGCAACTAGTTCAAAGGCTGACTCACCTGTAGAGCAAAAGGGCCGTCTCCTGGATGTTGCCCTGAAATTTTTCATACAAAAACCTGTACATTAGAACAACGTCTCGAATAGGCCACATCTTTAATTAAGTGAACAAGGCAATGTATTTACTTGAAAATTATTTTAAACATCATTTATAGATAAAATGCTGAAATTCCTTGCTAATAATTCACTGCATGCATCAACGGCGTTCCAAACGTTTCGGTGATACTTGTTTGCGGTAACATGAAGCGCGGTTTTCTGTAAACAAGTTTTTAGCTTCGATTCGAATCAGGAAATGCGATTTTTTGCGGCCGGAATCGAAGGAAACTAGGTGTTTCGGCCATAAAAAAAAACTAATATAATTTGAAGAAACACATAAAACAACTGCGCTTTTACTTGTACAGAAAGTTCTATTATATAAGATAATACAACAAATGACAAGATAATAGACAAATAATTTAATAATCAAAGTGATTGAATTTGAATAAGTGATTCAAGTACTGGGAAACTTTTACTATCATTCGAGAAGTCATCGCTTCTATAAAGATGATTGGAAAAAAAACTGTAATTAACCGTATCGTAATGATGTAAAAGTAATGAAGAAGAAACCGATCAATTTGGTAGCAATTTTTTATGTCAGAGTGATAGGTTGTTTGAATGAAATATATCAAATTTGAAAATTAAAAGCGAAGGTGCAACATGAAGACTGCAGATTGCGTTCTAAAATGTTCATAATTTTATTTCTGTTTCTTTACAAGAATGAATGTTTATTATTTTTTGTTGGCCTTTTTGTGGTAACAGCCCTTTTTACTTATTTATTAAATCGCTGCGTTTATAATGCGTATTTAGGCATTTTACTTACAGGTATTTACAGTCGAATATGTTTCATAACTGCAAAATAATCAGGAGAATGAATTGTGTACGGAGTCAATAAGAAAAAAACGTAACAAATAAAACATTTCATTTAAAATTTCACCCTTATTTCCAACAATATAGTAAATATAAGTCGCTTTTGTTTAAGTAAATAATTACAAAACATATTACATAATTAATAATATTGCTAAATTTTCTGCTTACAAGACCAAAATAACTGGTAAATAATGTTAATTGTTTAGAAAAGAGCTAAACAAGTCAATTAAATTAAAGTACTTTTCAGTTCTTTTTAAAATCATAAAATATTACAATATATTAAATTTGTTAAGTACTATCGTTCAGGTTATTTTGGTCTCGTATACTCAAGCAAATAATTTTTAAAGAACAGTTTAAAAACTTATTACATAGGTATTACATTATTACTATTTGTGTTTTCATAGAAAATTCAACCCCGACCGATATAAAAATCATTATTTTCTACTTATTATTACAAAGCAACAGATAAGTAGCATTTCGGTTTTTACACAGTTAAGCTTCATTTTCCTGCAATCTTTCGATTGTAAACACACAGTAACTGTCTATAAAACCCGAAATTAATTTTTTTATTGCATAAAAAGTATACCTGCACCCTACTTCAACATTTTCCTAATCATATAATTCAAAATGCCGCCGTTTCTGTAGAACAACAAATCCACCTCCGTGTCGAATCTCAGCACGACATCGAAGTTCACGCCGGCGTTGGTGGACACTTTGATGGTTTGCCCGGGCTTCAGGTCGGACGGCAAGTGAATGTTGTAGGTTTCCTTGCCGGTCAGGCCGAGAGATTCAGCGCTCTGACCCGGCAAAAATTGCAACGGAACGATACCCATACCGACCAGATTCGATCGATGGATGCGCTCGAACGATTGAGCTATCACTGCCTTGATGCCCTGAATTCGATAAACGATGTTAATTATATTCGATTTGGCGCCTCGTAAAAAAAGCCCAAAGACAAAATAGCTTTGGGTTTTTTTATGCTGGGCGATTTTGTCTTTGAGCTGTTTTGTCTTGGGTGGTTTAATCTTGGGCTATTTTGTCATTGGGCTGTTTTATCTTGGGTTATTTTGTCTTTGAGCTGTTTTCTCTTAGGCAATTTTGTCTTTGGCTGTTTTATCTTAGAGGATTTTGTCTTTGAGCTGTGTTATCTTGGATGATTATGTCTTTGAGCTGTTTTATCCTGGGCTATTTTGTCTTTGGCTGTTTAATCTTTGAGGTGTTTTGTCTTTACGCTGTTTAATCATGCAATTTCATTTAGCACCATTATCGAGGAAAACTTACCAATAAAAACGGTCCCTTGGCGGCCCAATCTCTGCTCGAACCGGATCCGTAATCGCTTCCAGCTACAATAATTAGCGGTGTTCCGTTTTTGCTGTATCTCTCCGCTGCGTCGTAAATATCCATCTGAAACGCCGAAGAATGTTACAAACAATATCTTTCGAATAGCGTTAATTTCTAACCTCCTCGTTGGTAGGGAAATAGATCGTCTTAGGACCGGCTTTGCTCATGAATTTGTTCACCAATCTGATATTGGCGAAAGTGCCTCTGGCCATTACGTCGTCGTTGCCTCTTCTGGATCCGTAGGAGTTGAATTCTTTAGGAGTTAAACCGCGTTGGGCCAAGTACCTAAATTACAAACATTACTTATGTTGCTAGAATTAAAACCGATCAGTTTACCTTGCCGCAGGACTCGTCCTACCGATGGAGCCCGCCGGGCTGATGTGATCGGTGGTAACAGAATCCCCTAAATACAGCAGAGCTCTAGCACCTTCTATTAGAGTATTTCCGGGTAGATCTTTCGTCATGCCATCGAAGAATGGGGGTCTCTTAATGTAAGTCGAAGCACTTGACCAAGGGTACAATTCGCTACTGGGAGCCTCCAGTTGTTGCCAACTACTCGAACCTTATACAACAAACAATTAATAACAGATATATTAACTATAAAAAGTATAATTACCCGTTTGAATCTTCTTATAAACTTCATCGAACATAGCCGGTATAACGTACTTCTGTTCCACCGTTTGGATTTCTCTCCTAGTAGGCCAAATGTCCCTCAAGAACACGGGACTACCGTCCGGCTTGTGCCCCAACGGTTCCGTTTTGAAATCGATATCCACCCGACCGGCTATAGCGTAGGCGATCACCAGCAGCGGACTGCACAGATAATTCGCCCTGGTGTTCGGGTGGATGCGCCCCTCGAAGTTCCTGTTGCCGGACAACACCCCGCAGCAAACGAGATCGTTCTCGTCGATGGCGTTGATGATGTTCTCGTCGACGCCGCCGCTGTTGCCGATGCACGTCATGCAACCGTAGCCGACGATGTTGAATCCGAGCTTCTCCAGCGACGGGATCACGCCGGATTCGCGCAGATAGTAGGTGACGACGCCGGAGCCCGGCGACAGGCTGGTTTTGATGTAGGGAGCGACGGACAGGCCGGCGGCGACGGCCTTTTTGGCCAGCATGCCGGCGCCCAGCATGACGCTGGGGTTGCTGGTGTTGGTGCAGGACGTTATGGCGGCTATGATGACGCTGCCGTGCCGCAGCTGGTACTCGGTACCGTCGAACATGAACTTCGCCGAGGTGTCCACTTTGGCCGGGGGAATGGCGAATCCTTTAAAACCGATCTACAAATAGAATGTACGACGTGAGGAAACTAGCGACACTATAAGCTATTTGGCAACGATGCGCTGTTGCTGAGAATTTGTTCCTCCAGGACAAACTGTCGACCAGGTTTTTTTTCTATAAATACGTCCTTGAGAGGCTCAGCAAAAGGGTTATTTGTATAAGAACGGATATTGCACACTAATGGATGCTCAAAAGAAGTATTCCTGTGTTTCCCCAGCCCCCCTATTCACCCGAAATGAGCCATTGTTATCAAAAATCAGTCTCATTACTTTTCTGCCGCACCTCGTGTGTGGAAGATGAGTCAAAACAGTTCGGGAATTTTGTAATTGTTTAGAGAACATAAATCCACCCTATTAGCAATAGAGTAATTTCCTAGATAGATTATTTTGCATAATAAGCAAAGTAATTTGGAAAAAGTCAGCGAGGAATTTTGCATGATTATAAAGCGATTAGAATCGAAGACGAAAGTACGGCTTTTTAATGGTATTTTGAATGCACTAATGACCTAATTGCCAATGCATAATTACCCAATTTCAGCAGAAGAAATATTAAATTCTATTAAAAAACAAACAAGATGTTTACAAAATAATGAAGTAGGTAAGTAAGACACTGAAATAACAAACAATTTGCAATTGTGCTGCATTCATAATTTTTCGGCGTCCAGTCGGCGATTTAATTCGATCGAATTATGTCTATAATATTTATTTATGAGCTCAAATTAGTCTCGCTATACAACATAATTTACTAATATTTACTCCGTTAAAAAAATTAACAGGTGAGTTATTTTTTAGTTTAAATTAAGATTTTTCATGGAAATTGATAATTGACTAGACACTAGACTATAGAAATCATTGTTAAAATATGAAAGAAATTTAAAGTTTCTGTGCTCAAATGACTGTACTATTAAATCTGGACAGTTTACAAACACGTTTTAATTTTTCGTATACAAAAAAATTAATAGAATTTAAATGAGTAAAAAAAACAAAACAAATGAGTAAAAAGTATGAACATTTTAAAGTGAAAATTCTGTGCAAAGTGTAAATCAGATGTTATGAGAATTACGAAATTTTCATTTAATGTAACGAAAGATAACATTGTAAAACTTTCTGTGCGTCTAAAACCATTCGGCAGGTAGCCGTGATACAAAACTATTAACCATTAACCATTATCTTATGATTAAGCAAGTGAAGAATTTACTAACGTGAATCAAAAAATTATTAAAAATTAATAACAAATCATTAGTCGCCAGGATGGCTTATCAGCAACCAATAATAAAACAATTAGTACAAATCGTCTGTCTGGTGGGACTTAAATACCACCGAACTGTCGTATATATTCAGTTTTCAAAGTCCTTCGTTCAGTCAGTGCCTTTCTATCGCTTCTGGTGTTCTTTGGTTATCTAGCTTTGATGGTGTTGTGGATTCATAAAGCTAGATATAACAAAGAAATTTTGGAGCGATAAATGCTTCACTGGGAGCGCGCGTGTACAGAATCCTTCGATTTCTTTGGGAATTAAGGAACTATTGGTGTGATGTGTTTGTTTCAATGTCATATCACAGCCATTAGTTACTTTACTCCAGTAAGAAATTCAACAACGATACGTGATTTTCAGTGAACGATTTCAGTGGTTTTTTGACAGGCAAACATCGCTCAGTTTGATGGTTTTTGTTATTTACATCACTGGGTAGATGTTTTCCCATAAAAAAATCAACCAACAACCAATTAATTCTGTTTCTTATGGTTTTGGATAAACTTCGCTCAGTCTGATGTAGCGTTTTTTGTACCATCACTGGGTTTAAGTTTATCCGAAAAAGAAAGAACTAGCCACGATTCATACGGGTTAATTTCTTTAATCGAACAGAAATTCAATGTTTGGTGATTGTCGCCAGGTCGACGGTGTCTTTCTAAACATCACCGGGTGATAATCATCCAATGTTGGCTTTTTAAAATCATCATGGAAGAACTCAAATTGGTAAATTTTATTTTATTCGTAAATATTAATTGTGTTATCTATTTATATTAATAAAATAAATTTTTAATCAAATAAACTGGGTTATTTCTTCAAGAACTCACCATATTTCTCTAGTTTTTATAGTAAAATTCAAAATTTGTTAGTTTTGCAAATAAATAAATCGTTTTTAATTAATTATTAAAATAATAAATTTGTGATATATAGGAAACGTTGTAATGAATCATAAAGAAACAAAGTATAGGCAATCAAAATAAATCAACATTGTTAATATCTAGTTAAATACTAAGAAGATTAGGTAATTAGTGGATACATAAAATATACATTCAAAATAAATTAATCAGCAAACAAATTAAGCATAAAAGACCAATTCGTTCAAAACAAGGAAACCAGCAAAAATTTTACGAAAATTTACTATTCATCGTTAAAATAAAACGATTTAAATATTTAACAATAAGTGTTAAAAACCCAACATGTTATCACAAAAAGTCGTGCAACAATTGCCCGATATCCCAGCATATTTTCAACACAAAAAAATAACTAAATTTTGATTTCCAGAAAAAAAAACCGGAGCGAATCGATTATTCATACATAAATATTTCACAACAGATGCAACAAATTGTTATGCGCAGTGAATCACGATAAAATCCCAGCGTAGAACGAAAATTAAGTAAGGATCTTACCTTATTTGTCAAGCAGCTGAGGAAGTCCTGTTTCATATCGGTCACGGAAACCCTGTCGTTCGGCCTCTTCGGTCCACTAATAGACGACACGACAGTGGATAAATCCAAGCCCACGTTTATACTGTAAGCTGGCTCTTCCTGTTCGGAAGTATAGTTTCGGAGTTGCTTCGTAGCCTTCAGGTACGCCTCGACGATTCTGATGTGCTTTTCAGTTCGATCTAAACAACATTAAAGCTTATACAAGCTTCTACTAACAACATTATCATTGAGTGCTCACCGGTTTGTTTTAAATACGCCAAAGAACCTTCATCTACCGGAAACATCCCTACAGTAGCTCCGTATTCCGGACACATATTAGCGATCGTAGCCCTATCGGCTACAGACAAAGCGGCCACACCAGGCCCATAAAACTCCACGAATTTCCCCACAACTCCCAGTTGACGTAAATGCTACAACGATACATCTCTGGCTTAAAGAGTAAACTCGCTTTAGGAGCGCTCTAATTTACCTTCGTAATCGTAAGTACTACATCGGTTGATGTTACATATTCGTCTAACTCCCCGTACAATTTGTAACCGACTACTTGAGGCAACAGCATGCTTATGGTTTGACCCAGCATTACAGCTTCAGCTTCGATGCCACCGACGCCCCATCCGAGGACTCCCAAGCCGTTGATCATGGTCGTGTGTGAATCAGTACCGACCTGGAATCGTATAAAAAATTGTTTAGTACAAACACAGGATGTATTTATCGGTAAAAAATATTTGTTAGCTTACCACAGTGTCCGGGTACAAAACACCGTTGGTGAAAACTACGCGAGCCAAGTACTCCAGGTTGACTTGGTGGACAATACCGCTTCCAGGAGGGACGATAAGCATGTTTTCGAAGGCTTTGGCTCCCCACTGAAACAACAAATAATTTTATAAGTTTACAATTATATTCATTGTTTCATAGGGCACCTTTAAAAACCTGAATCTTTCTTTGTTGCGCTCGAATTCCAGGTCTTCGTTTTTCTTTAAGGCATCTTCGCTGAAATCGAATTTAACAGCGTTAGTTTTAATCGGCAGCGATAAAAATGAATGCGCAGATTGAATGCAATAAACCAAGGAATGGAATATGAAAAAGGAATGCGCTAAATGCTTTTATTACCGATGGGAATTGTGCTGTTAAATTTTATAGGCAGGTGAAGAATGGGTTTTCGTGCAGATTTGCTGTAGAAGGATTGGTTAAAACTTACGATCGAGCAAAGTCGACTTGAATGGAATGATCGATGACCAAATCGACTGGGCAAATTGGATTTATTTTGATCGGATCGCCGCCCAAACCTTTCACAGCGTCTCTCATAGCAGCGAAATCTACTACGGCCGGTACTCCAGTAAAATCCTGCAAGGAGGGAAAAATTAATACAATATTTAATACAATTTAATACAATAATAAAATATTCAGGCGTACTTGTAGGAGAACTCTAGCGGGTTTGTATGGTACTTCGACGCCTCCTTCGACAGCCTGATTTTCCTCCCAGTTCATGATGTTTTTAACATCATTTTCTTTGATTGAAAAGTTGTCGCAGTTTCTCACGGCGGATTCCAGAAGTATTCTGATGCAGTAAGGCAAACGATCTGAAAAAATATATTATGTTGTAAAGAAATATAAAAATTAATACTGTAAGGGAAGGAATATACATTTAAGAACTTACCGTAACCTGCATGAAGTGCTGTAATATCATAGTACTTGAATTCTGTACCATCTACTGTAAGAGTTTTGAGGTATTTATTAAATGGATTGTCACCTGAAACAAATGTAAAATAACTCATATTATCAAAATATTTAAATAATAAAATTAAAATTTAAATATATTTTGTAGATATGGCAATGATTGTAATCAAGAATTTAATATATTTTTGGGAATATTTTTGGAGATGTACGTTTATCAAATTGCAAAATTAATCTTGAATATACAACAACTACAGCTAATAAATAAATATTACTTAATTAACGCTGATAACAATGTAATTGACGTTATGGTCATTTTATTCAGCTACTTAATTGACAATCAAAAAATTGAATCGTTATAAAAAGAAAAAATAATTGTACAATAAGTTCGATTTATTCAACAATATACATTTTCAAGAAAAATTGCTTAAAGATATAGAATTGTAGATGATTGGAAATATTTTAAAACCTGTTTGTAATTGATTTGTCATTTATGTAATACTCAATAGGTAATAATTAAACTTAAATTACACAAGAAAAAATCATAGATGATGCGATTCATAATATACTTTATTGCTATTAAGATCAATTAATATTTTAATACATCATGAGTATGAAATTAATACTTTTATACTTTCTCTTAAACATATTGGTCCTTCGCCACTGACCTATTTGCACTGTATTTTTAATTATACGTTTTGTAGGTACAGTGTATAGGCCTACTCGGATAACTCCATTGTTTTAAAAATAAAAACCAATCATTGTTATTCTTTACTACATTTACATATCACTTACCGGCCATAACGTCTAAGTAGCTTTGCACGTAATCAACAATAAAACGACGAAATTCAAACTAACAAAACGACCTTTAACCCTTTTTAATAAAATTAAAACCGTTGATTAGATATTCTTTACTCCGTCACAATTAAAACAAAACAAAATTTACACCTATTGGGTCTTAAATAGGTACATTTAATTTATGTTAAACGAAAGGTACAAGAATTAAACTAATGAAACGTATGGTGCTCCGAAGTTCCTGCGACACTCAGGAGGATGCTATTGCTAACTATCACCGTGTGAAAGTAAATCAGGCTAATTTATAAAGAAAAACTACACTTATTCCGATCATCCGATCAACGATAAGTGAAAATTAAAGTCCCCCTTTCGCTGTCACTGTCACTGTCAAACTTGTCAAAAGTGTCAATTAATTTTTCTTCTGTTTAATGTGGTCCCTTACTATTACGTTTATAAGGAATATTTCGTTTTGATTGGTTTTGAAAATGGAAAAATAATGTATAGAAAGAAAGTATAGAGAGAATGCATAGAAAGTATAAAAATACGAATAAAACAATATTTCAAAACGGTTATTTATTTAAATAGTAGACGGTTAATTGAACTAATCAAATTATCTCCTAAAAAATTAACCAAAACTAAGATCATGTTTTTTCGACCAAAGCGATCGTGATGCAAGTCGTCTGCGAAATGCGAATCGAGTACGAAAAGTTGTTAATTTAACCTTGAGTAATTCAATGTGACTTTATACAGTACGAAAAAACGATAAACCGCGGATAAGGAGCGATAAATTACACTCGAAAATCAGTTGATAGCCGGCTGTCGAAATCGCCGCAACACCATCTCGTGAAATCGACCGCAATATCCCCATTGAAATCACGATCAACAAGTTGTCGCTCGTCATGGCTGGGTAAGATTTTTGTACAATAAAAATCTATACATACCTACTAGATTAGAAGAATAATTTCAAATGCATTTTGCATAAGTTATTTTAATAGTGCAATTAACCATAATTAATTTATGCCGAGACTATTAGTAGGTATTTTCTGCATAGTCATGCCAGTTACAATGATGAAAAGGTTGAGAGATTGAATATGCAATCCAATGTAGGGCAAAAGTTTACTAGTTTATACTCATGTATATTATAAAGCATTTATATTGCAGTACTTAACAATAAAATATTATCAGGATAAGATACGCAGATAAAGTAGATTACTCGATATTTGCAGTTAAATTTTAAAATATGCTATCACTCGATTGAATACTTCGAAGCACTGCATAATATACAGCTAAAAAAGTGACTCTAACTGATAATCGTACAGCTAAAAATATTACTCGGATACTTTAAAACACTGCATATCATACAGCTACAAATGTCACTCGACCTGATTTTCATACAGCTAAAAATGTTACTCGAATACTTTGAAACACTATCTTTCGTAGAGTTAAAAATGTTACTCAACCTGATAGTCATCTTGCCTGATAGCTGAAAATGTTACTCGAATACTTCAAAGCACTGCATATCATACAGCTACAAATGTCACTCGACCTGATAGTCATACAGCTAAAAATGTTACTCGACTACTTCGTATTCACTAATAAAATTCGAATTTCCTGTCACCAGCAAAGGAGACATTGGTTTAATCGGCCTGGCCGTCATGGGCCAAAACCTCATCCTCAACATGGCCGATCACGGTTTCACGGTGGTCGCTTTCAACCGGTCCATCGAAAAAGTGCACCAGTTCCTCGCCAACGAGGCCAAGGGCAAGAGCATCGTGGGCGCCGAGTCCATCGCCGACTTGGCCTCCAAGCTCAAACTGCCCCGAAGAATCATGTTGCTCGTCAAAGCCGGCGACGCCGTCGATAACTTCATCGGCCAATTGGTGCCTCATTTACAACAGGGCGATATCATCATAGACGGCGGCAACTCCGAATACCAAGACAGCGAGCGGCGCTCCAAGGAACTGGCTGCTAAAGGCATTCGGTTCGTTGGATCCGGCGTGTCAGGTAAACACTTCTTTACCTCCACTTGAATCTTCGATTAAGTGCATCCGATTTCTCAGGTGGGGAAGAAGGTGCTCGGTACGGTCCCAGTTTGATGCCCGGAGGAAACAAAGAAGCGTGGCCGTACATTAAAGACATTTTCCAAGGAATTGCCGCCAAAGCCGATGGCCAGCCGTGCTGCGATTGGGTGGGTAACGATGGAGCCGGTCACTTCGTGAAAATGGTACACAACGGGATTGAATACGGAGACATGCAGCTCATCGGTGAGGTTTACCACCTAATGACCGCCCTCGGTATCAACCAAGAACAAATGGCGCAAACTTTCGATAGGTGGAACAAAGGGATATTGGATAGCTTCCTCATTGAGATTACTAGAGATATTTTGCAGTATAAAGACAAAGATGGTGAGTTAGCGTACTCTTTAGTAGATAAACCGCGTTACTTTGTCATTGTTAATGTTTAGGTAAATATCTTCTTCCGAAAATTAGAGATACTGCCGGGCAAAAAGGTACGGGAAAATGGACAGCGATTTCCGCTCTAAACTACGGAGTGCCGGTAACTCTAATAGGAGAGGCTGTGTTCAGTCGTTGTTTATCGGCTCTTAAAAGCGAGAGACAGCATGCGAGCACGAAACTCCAAGGACCCACGACCAAATTCTCCGGTAACGTTGAAAAGTTCCTAGATGACTTAGAGCAAGCCTTATACGCCGCAAAAATCGTATCGTACGCTCAGGTAATATACTCAAAATTATTCTTAAATTATGGCTGACGTTTCGAATTATTATAGGGATTCATGTTGCTGAGGGAAGCCGCTAAGGTTCACAATTGGGACCTTGATTACGGCGCGATTGCTCTAATGTGGAGAGGAGGCTGCATCATCAGATCCGTATTCCTGGGTAAAATCAAGGAAGCATTCGATAAGGACACAAATTTGCAATCTTTGCTGTTAGATCCTTTCTTCTTAAATGCTATTACTAAAGCCCAAACCGGGTGGAGAAATGTCGTTTCAACCGCTGTTAATCTAGGTAATAATAGGTTGAAATATTTCGATTAAATAAATAATGATTTGGTATATTTAGGGATTCCCACACCGGCTTTGGGTACCGCTTTGGCGTTCTATGACGGGTACAGGACGGAACGTCTTCCTGCAAATCTCTTGCAAGCTCAGAGAGACTATTTCGGTGCTCACACGTATGAGCTATTAGGCCAAGAGGGAAAATTCGTGCACACTAACTGGACGGGTCACGGTGGAAATGTATCCGCATCAACGTATGATGCATAAAATTTGGGAATGTCTTGAGGTTGTTAAATTTTTAAAATATATATTTATATTTTTGTTTAACGCGAGATTGTTTTTGTATTTTTGAGGTATTCTCCCACCTTGATTTCCTACTTGTTTCGTTTGAATTTGAATCGAAAATTTTCCAAAATAATCCTGAATAACTGCCCAGAAAAAGGCGTCTTATAAATTCATATTTTATATCGATACTTCTTGTTCTGTCGTTCTGTGTATACTAGCAACTGTCAAAAGTGTCAAACATAAATCAAAAAGTGGGGTTAATAAAGTTTGTGTTTATTTTGAAAAAAGGAGTATTTATTTCATAAAATGATGGAGAATATAATAGGTAAAGTAAACGACAGTATTTAAATTTATAGAATCTTTAAAATTGCAAAATATAACAACGCAAATATAGTTGCATGCACAATATATTTTAATTTAATTTTCTAATATTTCAGACTCGGAGCAGCATACCTATCTTATGCCCATTAAATTGATCAAGAATTTGGAGGACATGATGCAATGGGATAAGTCCGAGGCATACTTTGTAAGTTATTCGATGAGTTTTCCACGAGACAATCATATCAATCGTTCGTTCGCAGGAGATTTTGGGGTTCATATACACTTTAAACGATTCGGTCAGAGGTAAAACAAACAGCGACGCTGGCGATGGCGCTTCTCAAGAAATCGAATCCATTTGCGGCCTTCTTGATATCCTAAACGTCTGGGTCGACGAAATCCCGCCTATACAGCAACCGCAACGGTTCGGTAACCAAGCTTTCCGAGATTGGTACAACAGGCTAAAAGACGTGAGTACGATGCAAAAGAATGGTAATTGGTTAATAAGTTTATCTTTTTAGCAAGCGATTTCTTTATTACACAACGTAGTTCCCAGCCATTTGTTCCGAGCTGTACCGGAGATAACAGTGTACTTGGTTGAATCGTTCGGAAATTCGATAAGAATCGATTACGGCACGGGACACGAATTGTCGTTCATTATGTTCCTATGCTCGTTCTACAAAATAGGATTTTTAAAATTCTCCGATCAACCGGCGACCGTTGGCAAAGTATTCTTAAAGTATATTATTCGCATCGAATTTGTGATGTTCGCTAATCACACTCTCCTCATTTCAGGTACCTACAATTGTGTAGAAAGCTGCAAAAAACTTACAGGATGGAACCAGCAGGGAGTCACGGTGTGTGGAGCTTGGATGACTATCAGTTCATACCTTTTATTTGGGGTAGCTCACAGTTTATTGGTGAGTTAGTATCGATTTTCGTTCGAATTATTATTTATACATTCGTTTTTTAGGAACTGATAAATTTGACACGGCTTGTTTTCTAAAGGATAATGTCGTGAGGGAATTCGCTTCGGAATACATGTTTCTCAGTTGCATCCAATACATTAACGAAGTGAAAACAGGACCATTCGCTGAACATTCTAATCAATTGTGGAGCATCAGCGGCGTATCGACTTGGTCTAAAATTAACTCTGGTCTAATTAAAATGTACAAAGCAGAAGTAAGTATCGATATTTTGATCCTATAAAGTAACAATATCGGTTTCTGTATTAAACTTTTGTTTAAAAAATATAGTATATAGTGTAGTAAATTGAAGAAATAGTAACGTGTTATTAAACAGTGTGAGTTAGTTGATTTTCTCAGGTAATTATTTATTAGTAATCTTAATGAGTTTTTGGTTTTTTTTACAGGTACTGTCCAAGTACCCGCTTGTTCAACACATCTACTTCGGGTCTATATTTACATTAAATCCTGCTGAACCGGGAGCAAGTGTCAGGAAACCCAAAACAGTCGTATTATCTTCTGGGGTACCTTCGACAGAATTTAAGGAACCCACTCTGGTGAGAGTTTCGATGCCAGAAAAGGAAAAAGCTCCAGAAAGAGAAGAACCTATACATTCCTCTTCAGTGAACAACTAGAGTTTTCGTGTTTTTATGTTTAAAATTAAATTATTATTATGTAATATGACTTGTAAATAATAATATTAATTAACTAATTCATGTGTTTTATTTATATTTGATAAAGGATACAAAGGTTTTCTCGGAATACGCTTTTAACACTAAAAACCACAGTGCTATGTAATTACCGTTGTTTGTGTGTAATTAGTATTAAATAGTTTTACTTTTCAGGTTCTTGGCAAATATCCATTAGTGCAGCATATTTATTTCGGTTCGATTTTTACTTTGAATCCGGCTCAAACCAGTTGCTGCTCAAACTGAAAGGGGGTCATTAAAATTGTAAATGTCCATCCTGTTGCATGTATTAAAAATTATTGTAGCTTAATAAAATATATTTAATTCTCTACTGTTGTGTATAAACAACGATAAAAGCGTCAGTCAGTCAAGGATCATCAATTCCATAAACACCCATTATTCAAACATTTCACCAGCATTTAAAATATTTCGGTAAAATATTCATTTCGCAAATAAGCAAATCATAATTTAAAATAACGCACATACCTAATCGTTGCTCGGGTATTTTTTTGAGTTTGGGTAATATGAATCGATAGTGGAAAAAGCAATTTGAGATTACATTCCGATGTAATTTACGTTCTGCTGAAATTTCCGTTGTGTAACGTTTATTTTAATCGTAATTAGTTGGTCTTTTATTTTTATTTTCGACGTATAATTGAAGATATTACGTGTTTGTTCACGTATTTTTGTCGCATATATCTTGATTAAGTCGTAAAATAAAACAAATTTTTAAGTGAAAATCATTATAATAAATAAATAAATAAATAAATACACTTAAAATATTTGGTTGGTTGAACACTGGGGAGTTTCTAAATAAATAATAAGAATATTTAATACTGATATTTGATATTATTATAGGTAAATTACTAAATTTAAAATTTAATTCGTTTACATTATTTAACTTGGCAAGTTTTCGGGAAAAAATCTCGAGAAATTTTGAACCCCGAATTTGCTACATGAATTCTATTAGAATTGCTGATTACAACATCACTCTTAAAGTGGCCGTTTCCAGCCCCATTCGCATCGAAAGTGTCATTAACAACCGATATTTTTCCTTGGTTTCCCACATATCGTACGCTATCGGAAGACATTCCGGAGCCCAGCCGGATCCTTCCATTATTCCCAACGTACTTAATATCGCTGGTGCCCTTCGAGACGACCAATTCGCAGTGATTGCCCACGATCTTGACGGTTCCCCTGTTCTCCTCCAGCCGCAATTTGCAGTTGTTACCGATGATTATCAAGTAATTCCTGTTGCTCTCGATGTTCACCGTCAAATTGTTCCCGACGAACTGCTGGGGCTGGCCCCTCGAACGGGACGCCCTCGGCTCCATCGGCACCACCATAGCTCTGTTTTGGTACTCTGTTAGCTTCAATTTTTGAATTCTCTCGCTTGATGCAACTTCTAGCGAACTGAACTCGCGTGATTAGCGCGTCGCGGTTTTTACTTTTTCGACTCGATTCGGTTATTTACCGTCCGGTAATCAGTAACAGCATTTCGCCGGTCGCTCGTATACGCCGAATCTCGAGCAATCACTGCCGAAGGCGATCAAATGGGGAATTACCATTCGCGGATAATTTTTTTCGTCATTATCGCCGATCCGCTCGTTTCGGTATTAAATCCGCACTTTGGCACGCGTGGATTTATTTGCTATTATAGATTTATTTAGGTGGTATTCAATGTAAATAAAATAGTTATCTACTCGCTTACCGTTCGATTTGATTGAATTGGTGATGTGAATTACGTACTTTGTGTACCTAGATATTTTAATTTATGATAATGTTGCGGTGAAATACACAAAATTTTGTCGCGTTAATTACCTTTACTTTACTGATAATAAATAAAAATATAGATATCGATAATTTGAGGATTTTTTTCATTAACTCAGCGATGTTTACGATTCGCATTATTATGTATAATGCGTTACGACAAGAATGTAAATATAGCATGTATTGAATGATTTTGAGTATCTACAGGAGAAAACAAAAATGTTCTAATACCTTTTATACTCCGTTCGACATCAGAAGGTAGAAAAAAACCTAATTTTGCATGTAGAAGAGAGCACGAGCATGACTAGCATGACGAGCATGACGAGCATGACGAGGATGACGAGCACCAGCACAATGTTTATGATTCGCATTATAATGCATGGTACTACAAGAACTTAAATATAGCAGTATTGAATGATATGGAGTATCTTCAGGAGAAAATAAAAATCTATTAAATACTTTTTATACTCCGTTCGACTTCAGGAAGTAGAAATAAAACCTAATTTTGCATACAAAAGAGAGCACGAACGTGACTAGAATGAGCACTTCGCGCCATTCGATTTGTCGACTTTTGATTTTATTTAATAACTTTGTCAAATCTCGACCGATTTTCAAAAACGATACATCAAAGTATTCGCAACGGAAAGAGCTTTCAAACGATATATTGGAAGCAGGGTAGTTCCATTTGAAATTCTAAAGTTATAGTTGCTAGTTCTTGAACATACCAAGTTGGCTTGACTGTCAAAAATCCTCCACCAAAAACAAAAATTGACAGTTCTCTAGTTTTCGGGGCTCAAGTTTTCGTTGAAAGACCCTGTATGTACCTAAATTCATACGTATATTCATTCCTATAAATAAACATATGCAAGTATCTAGGTGCAATATTCACCTCTTCCGCATTAATTATTTTGCATTTATTAAAACTTTTAATTGCTAGAGAAAGTAAAAAGTAGATACCGGATCATTACCTCGACTAAAAGACGCTGTTTATAAGAACATAATTATGCACGAAGCCATAAAAAAATGCCGGCATAGAAAATAGTCATACGCGAAAAAAATGGTACTGATAACGCATTCTACTTATAGGACGTAGGTACCAACGCTAATTTACATATTATCGGAAAGGGTACGATAAGGTATCGCATATCGTGTCATACGTGAAGTCTTCTCGTCCGCTCTTCGTCTGGCCGCCGTCCGATTGGCAGCGTGGAAGGGAGACGGCGAATATTCCGGCGATGTTTAAAAATGTTGAAAATAATTCTATATTTCTTGAAAAGGCTAACTACCTGTCGTACGTGTCATTTTACGTTTGACTTGCGTAAGTGCAATAATGAGGTGAGTTTACTTTTTGATCCTTAAAATACACAATTATCTCGAAATCGATTCGAGATATCTAAATACCGATTGTTTAGCGAATCTCTTAAACAGGTAGAAATTTCGAGTAAAAATTCGATTTTTTTTACACCTTATGGTAGAAAACACCTCGATTGATCCTAGCTAACTTGCTCCATGCGATTAAATTCGAAATTTTGAAATCAATTTGTTCGTGTGGCTCAAGTGAGAAAGGTCAAACAGCCACCGCGTACATCACACGGTCTCTGAGATAATAAAATGATAGTAATTAAATGTATACAATGCTTTATTGATTACTGTACATATAGTCACGGGTTATAACATAAATAATTAGGTACACATTTAAGATGGCACATGATTTTATAAAAATACCATGGGAGAGCGTAGGAGAATGTACATACATGCTACGGAAATGGAATATCGAACGTAAGGAAGACGGAAGGTTCGAGTCAATTCAAATTGATCAGCCAAATTGATCGGTGTTCGTTACCGATACGTTTCGTAACCGATGAGTTGACTTTAACCTAAACTGTTAAATGTACAGCGTTATCTATACCTATTCATTATTATTTTACATTTTTACATACTCATTAAAAATGGCGATATAGAGACAGTCTAATCAGTTTTAATTAGTACAAAAACAACTATTGTTGGAAAAATATGCGGCACGAAAACGCAACTATCGACGAAAAGAACGTATAAAAAGTGAATAAAATATTCGTATATACTAATCTCTTTACATAAATTTAATTCCGAATCGATTTTTAGGACAAAATTTCGTTGATAAATTAAAAGCTAGGCCTCGTTATATAACCAATAAATTAGGGCGACTTTTATTTCGAATTTACAGTCTTCCTGTAATATCAATATTTCTATTCAAAAAGTTAAGAAACATTTAGTTAAATAGATAATCACTTCACCCTGTATATAAATAAAAATGACTTTCGTATTTCGAAGACCTTTTTTTATACATTAACTACTTAATATGTATTTTATACAATCACATTAATAACTGTCTTGATATGTTATTTGTACACCATATAGAAAACTATAAATTGATGGATTTGCATTATTTTTACGAAGAAAAATTGACGACTTTATTCTCGGACCACTTTTTTAATTCATACCAAACTATCGTCAATAATGCATATTAGAAATCGGACTTGATAGTACTCGTAATTAAAAAAAAGCGAGCGAATTTAACGCTGCAATTTTCGAAATTACCTATTAATTAATTATCCAAGTGAATTCCGAACAATCTCAACTAAATTTCTCTTCACGATCATGCAATGAACCATTTTTAAAAATCTCCACTTTAAAATCCTCGTTTTATTCTAATATCAAAAAATGGGTAAGTCAATGGTAGTGGAGATAATACAGTCTGCAACACGACAAGAATGAAAAATTCCCGCTCGAAATTTCGTTTAATTTCGTTAGTGTAGTATCTAGTTGTATCTACAAGATTATTTTCGGAATTTTCAGAATATCCTAATAGAAATGCTTACGTTTAAGGTGCGTATGGACGAACAAGTTAATTTATACAATATTCAATGTTTTCTTCAACAAGTACATGACTAGACGTTTAAAGAAAATCGCTACGTTCGATCGAATTAACCGGCGGTTTAAAAAGAAAATTTACATCAACTTCGTTTCGAGTATTTTTCCCGGTTAATTCGATCGCCAGAGCAGGAATTTGTTTAATAATTCAGTCTTTATATAACACTTTCGTATAACGAGCATTCCTCGCCTTAACACAATTTAAGGCAAGAAACACTTCTAAAAACTATCAAATAAAAAATTAATCCGTTATAACTAGCAATTAATCGAAAATCGAATTCAAACAATTTTCGTGAGGTATTATTTTCATACAAGTAAGGTAACGCAGATTATTCACTCTACATCTGCATTAAGCCCGGAATAATCCACCACAAACGAATCGAACAAAGAAATCTTCACCACCAATACGATTAGATATGATTTACATTTACGCGAATACACCAGTAGTACGAAAATATGTAAACTAGGCGACACCGGGACGACGTTTCCTTCCTTCGGGACAACAACATTCAACCGTAAATCTCTAAACAATTACATATTCGCCGGCTCGGATCGACTCGAACCGTGATGGTAGACTTGCTTGTGCGGCGTGAAGCTGCTCATAGACGGCGCCTCGCTCCTCCAAGACAGCCCCGGCGGCCCCACGCGGGCGTACACCGGCTGGCCTGAAAGATTAACAACAATAAACATCTGTATGTTAAGGAATCCTATGCTATCTTCAAGTCACAAGACACCCTGTATAAGTGTGATGTATTTACCTGTGGAGCTGGAAGGTGAAACAATATCAGGAGGATTCGGCTGCATTTTTTTACCGTTTCTGTTCCGTCTCAGAGTCTGCATAGGGGAGAAATACGAATCCGAGTAAACTTTCCTGTTGTAGTATCCCCCATTGGCCGATGGATAGGGGCATTCATCATCCGCGTCCGAGTTAAAGTTATTCCATTGCTGCAAACCACCAAATAACAGCTTTCTCTTAACAACAAATTACTCTAACTCATTACCATTCGTTTTCCCGAAGCCACCAGCGTGGTGGTGGCGTACGGAGCCGGAGAAATGGACCCGCCGTCTTTATTCGCCGGCAAATTGGCGTTAACCTCGGCGTAATCGGCCACTTTGGATTCCACGTTGGGGCTGGCGTATTCCTGCACTTGCATGTTCAGGAAATCGTCGAACTTGCGCCCGGACACCGGGTAGTACTTCTCGGAGCTGTACTGCAAGTTGTCCGGTCGAGAAAACTCGGTGTGGTTCAACGGATTCGATCGGAGATTCACGCTACCGTACGGGTTAATACTGCGACAGAAATATTTCTATTACGTATAATTTTAGTAACATAAAATTGTAATTTACCCATTAGATACAGCTGCGTTGTAAACGAATTCTTTCCTCTTGTGCGCGCCGGGTGTTAGCTTGGAGTACTCGGGTAAGGTGCTGGTGGTGTAATCCGGTAGATTGTCTTTATCCAGCCACAGAGGGGCTTCGTGTTTAACATCCATAGGCGTCGTTAAAACACCTCCATTAGATCGACTGGGAGTCAGGCTCTTCTTCGACATCATTTGCCTCCTGCGCACGACTATCATACCGCCGAAGAGCAGTATCATAACAGTCACCATGCTGATGAGGAGCACCATGAACCAAGTCTCTGTTATGAAGTCCCCGGAGCGCATATCCGCACCAATCGGTCTGGAATTTAACCCACGAATAAACCGCTGAACGTTTCGCGACATCACTGAAGCAATTACCTTTGGTAGTTGTTGTCGGATAACCTGGAAGTGGGCTCGAGTCTTAGCGTGGCGGGCGGATTGAACGGCCCCAAGCCGATTCTCGTGGAGGCGGCGACTCTCACGAAGTAGGAGATTCCCGGGGACAGGCTGCCCAGTAAGAGGCTGGCGGATTTCTTGTTGACTGTGATGACTTTGGTTTGAGTGGTGCCGTTTGTTCTGACCTCTACTTTGTAGCCTTGGAGTTCCCCGTTCAGTGTGACCGGCGGAGGAGGTTTCCATTTCAAGTAGACGGCGGTCGAATTGAGCAGGAGCGCTTCCATGTGGGATGGAGCTTCGACAGGAACTACAATAGAATTATAAATTATTGTACCATGTAGGTGTAGAGTGGTAGGTGGTTGAATTACCGTCTTCGAGGGTTCGAATCGTTTTGGAATTCGACGGATGTCCTTCGACAGTCTTGAAAAAAGGCACCAGGAAAAATTCGTACTTGGCCCATTTTTCCAGATTGTTAACCGTAAAGCTGGACGCGCCTCCGGTATGCAGCACAGTCAGCATACTATACGTCTTAGGCCGCTCTTCGTTATCGTCTAAAGCTAAGTAATAAATGTATAAACCTTCGACGTACGTCGAATCGCTAATCTCCCAAACAATCTTTATAGAAGTCGACGTTAACGGTATCGCTTCCGTTAATTTCGCTATGTTAGGCATGATCAAGTTGGCTCGAGCTTCGCTCAGCTCGGTCACCTCCGGGTTTCCCCAGTTCTGCGCCGAGTCCGGCCCCACCACGATCGGCTCGCTCAGTTGCGACGGAGGGCCCAGACCGTGGGCGTTCTCCGCTCTGATTAAAAATATGTAGGGAATTCCAGCGGTAAGAAGGTGCTGCGTGAACGTGGGACCCGTCACTCTTCGACCTACTATCGTCCAAATGGGCGTGACGCCTTCTTCTTTGCCGAAGAGCTCGACTTGGTAGCCCAGCAGGCTTGAAGAGCCGATTTTGTTGTTTTGTCCCCAAGTAATCGTGACGCTTCCTGGAATTATATTAGAGGTATAATTTGAGGTACTTACGAAAAATTGAGGTAGTTACCTTCAGATTGGTTGAGGGCGTGAGGTCTGCTAGGAGGACCTGGTAGCATGACGACTTCAGGTGCTTTGAAGAAATTTATGTTAGGATTCTTGGGGTTTTCTACCAACAAATGCCCCGACCACGACGCCTTTCCGCTTCGGGATGATGCCACGCAGGTGTAGGTACCCGAATCGTCTTTCTGCAGATTGAGTATCTCCAAATGGTTGGGGTTCGACATGTTTATCCTGTGAGAAGACGAAACCGGCACGCCGTCTTTGTACCAGGATATCACCGGCTTCGGATCGCCTTCGGCCTCGCAAGACATATACGCCACCGAGTCTATCGGAAGCGTTTGGTTGACGGGCCCGCCCAGAATATACGGAGGAGGTCTGTCTTCCTTCGACGTAACCGTGAGCCTCGTCCTCGACGACACCGATCCGGCGTCGTTGATAGCCGAGCAGATGATCACAGTGCCGGAGTCCTGCACTTGGGCTTCCTTCAAGACCAACGTGGAGAATCCCTCGGTGGTGGTGAACGCCTCGTAGTTGCCGAAGGTGCTGCCGGCGTACACCAGCGCCCTGTCGCCTTCGAACGTCCAAAACACGAAGGGCGGCGGGCTGCCCTTCACGTTGCAGTGAAGGGTGACGTCGCGACCCGCCTCGACGGCCTGCGACTGGGGCTTCGTGGTGAACGTTGGCGGCGCGTGGACTATCAGCAACGCGGAGGCGGTGATGGCGCCGGCGAAGTTGTCCGCGTCGCAGAAGTACCTGCCTTGATCCAGCAGTACTACTTGTTCTAGCCTTAACGTGCGGTCTTCCAGCACGCGCACTCTGCCTAAGGGCATGGTACCTCCTGGTGCTGTTCGCCGCCACAGCACGTCGGGAATGGGATCACCACCGGTGGCGCAGGAGAACTCCACAGTGGAACCCACCACTGCTGTTACATCCTCCGGTGGTCGTATCATGAATGGTTTCACTGTATTAAAAATACAAGTTTAGTGGATTTAGGATGCGAAATGAAATGAAACTCACCGTAAACTTTCAGTACGGCGGCAGAGGATTCTCGCACTCCTGCTGTATTTTTCGCCACGCATTGGTACTTTCCATCGTCCGAGGTTTTTGTATCGGTAACGGCTAGATTGTAGCCATCGACGAGTTTGAATCGTCCTTCAACCGCTAAAGTCTGGCCGTCTTTCTTCCAGAAGACGTGCGGTTCCGGGACGCCTTTGGGCGGGGAACATTCCAAAACGATGTCTTCTCCAGCCGCTATCCTGGAACTCTGCGGCTCCAGGCGGAATTCGTCGCGAAGAACTGGAGCAGAAATCCGGGCTTAACAACAATTTAACGAGATTGTTATCGGGAATTTTTCGCCGCGCCGTATAGAAAACTGGTAATGGAGGAAAATTTAGAGATCCCTCCTAATCCCCGGGAGGCTTAGAGCGATTTCAAGGACAGAAAATCAATTTGGCGGGTATCTCGTTCGAAAATTAATAGAATATCGCCGGCGAAGGCATTATGGCGGCGTAGATGTGTGCCGGAAATAAATTTGCAAGATAATGAAGAATAAAATTGTATTAAATTCCTCTCCGGTTAATTGATAATCATGGCTCGTGTCCCGGCTACCGGTCGCGTAATTCGCTTTTCCTTATTAACCCAGCTGCCGGAATATTTTATAGAAATTCGATTTGCGTCCTCATTACGGCGAAGGCTTTAATTAACGTCTCTCTCTAGCCCTATCCAGATTCTCCTTATCGCCGAACGATCAACGACAATCTATATGCGGAAAACGATTATTCCCCTCATAATTATTTAATAGACCCAAAACTGCAAACAGACGATCCTTAAATATTGTACTATGAGTTTCAGAAACCACCCAGGTGATGAAAAAAACAACCATTAACAACTCGAGAAGAAAAACATATGTCAGGCGAACAATACACTTCAATCAATAAACAATGTATAAGAAAAACAAAAAGATCTAATGAACTCCGTATACTTTTTCCGTCGTTAGTAGCACGCATTATTGATTAAATCTCTTTTCGACGCGGGAAAACAAGAGACCGGCAAAAAAGCGCTTTAATTCATCAATTACAAGCATCTACAGAAAAATCATGCCGACTGTCAGCTGGCCGCGTGAAATTAATGGCGGTTGCCTAGATGATACTTTTCTAGTTTGGTCTTCGTAGCTCCGAATGAACAGGATCGGACTCGAATAATCTACGAGAATTATCTAGAAGTGTATAGTATTTCAGTAGCAATAAATAATTAAGATGCTGTGGAGGGTTTTTGAGGGTTCAACGAGACTCTTCTATGTAGTATAATTGGATTAATCTCATCACAAAGAGAAACATCTCCTAGCGTGTTGTTCTGATGTGGCGAGTAAATAAAATTGGCCGAATTCCAGCAGATAGATGGGAGAAGATAAGGTGAATAAGAGAGTCGATTGTGTGGATCCATTCCTGGGCGTAGCTAAAGAAATATTTTCGCGGTGGTAAGCGATGACGGGGTATTTAGAAACACCTGGGGGATACTCCATCAAGTGTTGGATTTCTCACAAGCCAAAATTGTACGTGTTCGACGTTCGCGAGCTATTTAGGGAAAATTTCGTTCGGGGAAGCGGAAGAAAATAAACGATTAATGGACGAGCGAGGGAACGGTTTCCACCTGTTAAATACGGAAAAAACAGCCGGTTCATTAATTATACTAAACACATAAAAAAATTGGATAATTTTCGGAAGCGCCTGACGGAATAGATGGTTGCAAAAATAACACAACACGCCGTCTGGGTTGAAATATCGCGAATCGATGATGATGTCGTTACAAAGTGGCTCGTTTGGGTAAAGGCACATCCCGACAGCCGAATCCAGTTTATCCAGTTTATCCAGTCTGGTTCCTCATTATTTCTCGGCCGCACGCTAATGGCGCCATTTATTCGATCCTCTTTAACCCCTTTCGTCGCCCGTCCCGGTACGTCCCTTTTGATTTGTCCTCGCTTTTGAATTTATTATGTTTGCCTAAGCCGGCCGGGTCGAATCCGTTTTACGCAAAATTACAATATTTGCCGAAAAATATCCGGCGATTGATGTTATTGCCCCGGACCGGCCACGCTTTTAACGGCTTTCAGATTTCCGGGGTCCTTTCGAGGGAGTTTCATTAAGTCGATTAATACATCGTTGACCGACAATCGAATGTATTCCGAGTCGGGATCAACCCCAATCATAAGCTGTTTACTTCACCTACTGGTATACTAAATAGTTGATTTTGGTTCAAATTGCGGCCGGATTAATGAAAAGAAAAATCAACTGCCTTTTTTTTCTATACAGCAACTGGTCACGCAATGTTATTATTCATCCCTGTATAATAGACAGTATTTTTTTTTCGAATATAGTAAGGCGGAACAACTCGAGTGAAACGAAAGTTCAACATGTTTTCGTTTTATTCTAATAATCGATAGTACGAGAAGCACCTGGACTAAAGATTTGATCTTTTCATAAGACAACATATCATGTTGAAAGACATTTTGAAGGGATTCCGTGAGCCGTTGGATTCAAAATCGATTTCCTTTCTTAAATTTCTTTGTTTTCCCTGCATAACCCCATGAAATTAATGGCTACTGAAAACATAAGCACGAGAAATGCCATTTTTCCGGAACGTGAATTCAAGAAAAATGTAGTTGTTTTGAACGCTACCTGTGCAAAAGTTCTCTGTTTAAACAGCAATATTAATCAAGCGCGCTCATTTAAACTAGGCTAATTAAGTAATTATCTTTTTAGACTGAAAACTGATTAAAAATTCGTTTACAAATTAAAAGAGAAACGAAAACTTACTAACTTTTTGTCATTGCAAGTAAAAAGTAATTCGTATTTGCTTTGAAGCTTGTTGACATTAGTGATAGGGAAAGTCTCTAACTAAGGTAGGGCGGATGGAAGGCAAGATGAAGATTATATACAAACAGTTGCGCTTTTCTCCTAAGGAGGATTTCACGTCTGGCTGAGCGCCATTTACAGTCGAATGTCTAATTCATAGACAATTACACTAAACGCAATTATTAATCAAACTAATGCTGGTACTTTAACAGAGTGGTTTCGGGGACGTTCTGTATAAATTTTCGACATTTTAAAAAGTCGGTTTATGTGTCGGGATTTACTACCTGTAACGTTTTTATTGCGGATCATAATTCGTTTTTACAACCCCAAAGAAAGTTTGATATTTTCGACTAAATGCCGAGATTTTTACTGCCAAAAATTTCGATTTTATTCCGGAGCATAAACAACACTCGCTGCTACAAATACTAAAATTATAAAACAAATTTTTCTACGTACCACCTACTATGTATCAAATTATCAGGCGCAATGAAAACGGCGTTCATAAATAATGAGTTTAAATTCTTTTTGGATGAAAAGTAAGCGTAATCGAATTAGAAAATCGAAGGTGCAATAAATCAGGATACGTTTACCAGATACCGGGACCTCTCTAATCCCGAAAATAAAAGCCCTAATCAGCGTTTCTTCTCAATTTTTTAACCGAAAACTTTGTAGTTATAAATCTCGAAAAGGCAGCACGTGCATATTATCAGGCGTTCGTTTTTCGATTCGGCAATAATGAGGCGAAAGGGCGATAAATCAGGATGAGTCTAATGAAATAAACGGTAGGAAATAGAAATTTATGCCCGGCTATGAAAATGAAACTCCGATGATTTATCGTAATTCGTAAGAAAGCGGCCCCCAGTGTCTGGTACTCGTTTTTCGTTGTCATTTCTTTAATAAATTCGAGGAAAATTCCGCTAAATTGGGTTAATCAGGCGAGCTTTGTTTCTCGAAACGCTCACAATTAATTCGATTTCCTGCAATTTTGGTACAACACCCAAAAAAAAAACAACTCGTTTCCGATGTAAATTGCACGAAATATCATCGACACGTCCCAATGAAAATTAATTAGGAACCGAAAAGATCAAAAGGCGGTTTTATTTTAAAGCGGGTAAATATTTCGTTCCCCGGGGACAGGAAACAAAGCGGCAGGGCCTCCTGAATAAGCACGTCTCCCGACGGGTCGAGGAGCAACTTCGGGCGACTCCGCACAACTCCTGACGTACTTCCGATTAGCATATTTAGTAGATATTGTTTTTGGCGTCGGCGCTCCCCGTATTTTAATGGTAATGGCATACTGGAAAAACAATGTTTCGTTCATGGCGATTTTCCTCAATGTTTAGACAATATTTTCCGATTGTTTTGTTGTTGCAGCTTGCGCCGAACGCTAGTGGATAATATTGCAAATTGCAGTCGAATTCCAGTATATGGATAACAGACGATTATTCCAAATGCGTATTCCATTGGGGGAAAATAATAGTATTTTGATCCAACTATTTAGTGATGCAGGTTCTCAAAATCAACGTTTAAGGGTAGCTATTAAATTAGGGCTTCCTCTTAAAAGAAGCTAATTATAAATATTATTTCGAGTGTGTCTCATTAAGAGATTATTAGGTCTAATATATCCACAAAAACGCATTGAAAATTGTACCGAAAAGTAGGTAAATAAAATCCATTTACAAAAAGCTCCTTTTCAACCTGTGCGCGCTTCTTAAGGACTATTCGAAGGCTCCCTCGAGAACCGGCCTTTTTCTAAATACGACCGCCGGCCAATATTCGATTTTCCCGAAGAATTCCGGACTGTTTATACCGCACTCGCAGCGAGCAAAAATGACTTCTTTTCATACCGAAAGGCCGGGGAATAATTGGAGAAAAAAAACTTTTAATTAATCCAAATGCTTTTCATCGAAACGAAACGCCAGTGACAATATTCAAACGGAGACTATTGAAATTTCGAGCAGAAAAGATCTATTTAATGCGGCAGGAAATAATTACTGCAGCTTCCCCAATTTTCGAATTAAGTCGATTTGAAAGAAATGATTTTTTCGAACGAAAGAAAAAAAACATTCGAGATTTAATCTGCTTACGGGGTCAAATCCTGTCGCACGATTTTTGCGTAAGTTATTTACGCAAGTAATCATCCTCCCGATAAGGATTCGATAACATCGGGATTGGCTCATTTATTTTTCCGGGCGTCGTTCACGGCGCGTCGGCGGAAAATGAAAACTGGGGACACAATGCTTGCCATCCGGCTGGAGATAAACTGCAGGTAATTTCGCTCGCGAAAGTAGGAAAATAAGTATCGAGAGCCTCATTGTGCACGTTGTTGATGGTTTTCGTTAGAGCGGGGGAGTACCCGCGGCCCAGAGCCAAGATGGCGCGAAGCGCAGCCCATGAAATTGAGTGTTTTATATTCACTGCAAGTGTCACTCATAATAAACATTGATCCCCAGTGGCGCCTGGGAGAAAAGAAAAGCGCGGGCGGATGATGCCGAGGAAAAAAGCGCTTTTATTAGAATTTTTATTGCGGACTCGCGACGATTTTGCATATCCACCCAAATTCTAGGTGAGTCTAGAAAGTAAGTTCTTTTGGCAATTTAGAAAATCGTGTACAGATATAGGAAAAATATACTGCTCCACAAAAGTTAAGGAAGTTCACAAATATTGAGATTAATTTCAAAGTTGCAGGAAGGGGCAAAAAATCCACTTAGATATGAGAGAAAACATTTAATTTCGTATATTTGAACATTTGGCGATCAAAAAGTCTGTAACTTTTAAAATATTCGCTAAATTTGCGAACTTCCTTAACTTTTGTGGAGCAGTTTATTTATTGCACAAAAATCTACGATTCTTAAGCTATATTTCTACTTACAGTTCCTAAAATTTTGCAACAATTTCATGAAGAAATATGAACTCATGATCGAGAGATTTGTGAAAATTCCATAGGTAGATCATGATTACCAAACGAAACTTCCAGGACACACCTATAGTATTATATTTCAGGCAACAACAATTCGAATAAAATATCGGATAGTTTTAATCGTCGCTCGACAGTTCCCCAACAAATTTTAACTGCTATTTCACTTAAAACAACGACATAAAAATATTATTTACTTCCACATAAAACGGTGCGCGTGCATTAACAGGTCTGGATAAAATCCGCGATAAAATCTAGCAGCCACTTTACGGGGTTCATCCCCGCCTCGTTTTAAACGGCGACGCGTTTACATATAAAATTCAAATCCCCATTGACTTCTGGAAAATCACCGCCATTACCATTCTCGAGCAGTCGTCGCGGAAAAGCTGTACATTTGCCTAAGCGCTTCCCCGCCACGATTTCCTGTTATAAATCCGACTATGACTGTTACCTGGTAATAATACAGTCCACGTAAAGCGTTGTTAGCTCGAAAAAAGTTTTTTTGTCCTCTGCCATCGTGGAAGCGTTCGAATCGAGCGACAAAAAACGAATATATTTTATTTTACTAGGGCGTTAACGGTTAATTTATCATCGAGAAATTTGTTTAGAACGCTGATTTATTGTCGCGTAAAAGTTGATGAGCAAATTGAAAACGAATTAACGGTCCGTTAATGGCCGATAAATTTTTTATTGCGGCATTCTGTCACGCAGATCGAATTTTTATGGATCAAATTAGTTTTCCATACGTGCGTAGGCACCGTCTACAAAGTTATTTAAGAGTTCGTCGGCGAGCGACAATAATTCAAAAAGGAAATTAAGAATCTCGTCTAGTTGCTCCGTCCTAATGAAATGGAAGCGGCTCGATTACGTATTCCCTCTAAAAATACAAAAATATCCGAATAAGTGCAAAGATAGCACGGCCCCATTACAGCAGCATGCCGCCGGTTGCATATAAAGTGCAACTTTGAATACTTGCGAGTATATTTGAACTTTTTGACCTCCACTCTTACGTGCCCCCGTCGGAGCGAAAACAATGATGTACTCGCACACGTTTCCGCGCGTTTTAATGGGCCCTTCACGTTTCCACTTTCTCTATTTTCCACGGAAAAATCAGAATTTCCCCGTTAAGGATAACAAACTTTTTCCCCGTTGCAGTTAAACTCTGCTTATTTTAAGGATTATCTGTATAAAGCTATTTAACCACTAGTTACATGCTATACATATAGGTACACCATTAACGCCCTAATAATATATTTAATTAATAACAGAACGCATCAATAAAGGTACATTGAATTTATACGCTCGCGCCAAGTCCAATTACAGGGTTACCAAACCGTCGGGATTCCGCGGATTCCTCTCGACTGAGGTGCAAACCCAAAGGGCTTTCCCTCCTAACCCATTATCATCCTTTAGTCAAATTTGAATGAGCGATTCTCAAACATCCACCGCGAGAGGGGGGCGGCGAGACGGGGGGCGGTTTGTTTGCGCGCAGCCCTGAGCACGGCACTCAATAACGAAGATTAAAGCTGAATAAAGTCAACAAGAGGAACGGAGCGCCAAAGTGTATCCGGGGATTCCGAAATAAAATAATAAGGGAATCGAATGAAGCGGTCCGTGCGCAAATATATTTATGAAAATAAACCGACAATCAATTAGACTCGACACGGCAACAAATACCCGAACAAACGGGGGAGGTTTTCCGGCCCGATTCGCTCGGAGCTTAGAGCGAAAGATGGGAAATTTACGCGGAGATAATACCGACCTGCTACGGTGAGGGTGGCGTTCCTGCTGCGAACCTTCCCCAGTATGTTGCCGGCCTCGCACCAGTACGTCCCCGCGTCGGATTCCTTCCTTCCCTGCGCCACTCGCAGGAAGAACAGACTGCCGGCGGGCAGCAGCACCCTGTGCGAGCGGGCGTCCTGCGGCGCCGTCCGCAGCACCTGCCCGTCCTTGTACCAGGTGATGGTGGGCTCCGGGTCGCCTTGGGCGTTGCAATTCAACGTGGCCGGCTCGTGGCGCGCCACCGTCGTGTCCACCGGGTGCTCGGTGATCCTCGGCAGCTGGTGGGAGGTGTGGTGGTAACCTGGAAATTGATTAAAACGAAAATTAGTTAGGTCTTGTAATATGGATCACCGATATTTTGAAAAGAACTTGCTTTATATCGAGTAAATGATCATCACACACTAAGCATCATTCTTCCCTTGACCTATCAGTCGATTGCAGTGATCCAGGATGCATGAATATATTTACAACAGCCTGTTTTAGTTTTTTACAACGAGTGATCTAATTTTCTAGCGAACTTTGGAAGTTTCTTAATCCAAAAAATAGTATTTTTATGTGAAAGTGGATAAGACCACGAGGAAGGTGCAGAATGGTTTTTAAAACAATAGAGAAGACCAGACAAGCATGGGATAAAAAACGCAATGGCGGAGGTAATTAAAAATGCACGAGAAAAGAAAATGGGCTTTTTTTGAATGCTTCCAAAACATATACACCCAAAACAAATCACCTAATGATATCACCACTCAAAAATTTAGGAGACAATCAACATTACCGAGCGAATTGGAAGATGAATTAGTCAATTATATTATAGAAATGGAAAAATCTGGATGTGGTCCACATTATGTTCACTTTCTGAAAGTTCATAACTTTAGAAAATGTTATTTATTTCAAAGATTTCGTTTTTTTTGGAGAATTTTATTACGAGTTTTTCTTAACTAAATGGTTAAGAAATTGTTTGAAGAAAAGTGCTTATGGTGGTCCATATATGGTACACTGGAGTTTTTGCGTTAACGCGATGCACGCGACGATTTATTAACCGCAAAAGCGATACATCCGCCAGAATCAAATTTGTCCTCCGGCGATGTTACCAATAGACATCGCAAACAATCCCGGAAATGAAACATATTATAATCTAATTTGAGCATCTAGTGCGCTGCGAGCGCCGCCGCCGTTCGACATACGCTAACATCGCAAACGGTGGACGATTTATCAGATGGCATCTCGGCGTCGGGACGCCCTTCGGCGTCTCCTCCGATTGAGGCGCGCTTGTTGTTTTTTTGCTCGGAAGATGACAAAATTCAAGGGTGATAAAATTAACAGGTCGTGTCGTAAAATGGTGACGCTTCGTAAATCAATAAATCGAATTACTAATTTGTGGAAAATTTTTGTATAGGGAAACCTTTTTTAAAACGCCGCAGTATATCCAATAAAATAGTTATAGGGATGCTGACGTAGCGGAAAGAGATGTACGAATAGTTCGTTTGATTTATCAGCGGAGGTTAAAGTTCAAACGAAATTCGACCCCTCTGGTAGATTCGAAGTTGCAATGACAACCGGGCGGGAAAGCCGGGTCCGAGGCGAAATTGCTGATAAAATAGCCCGTACTCGCCCTATTTAGGCTCATTCCGGCCGGCCTTATTGAATATCTCTCGCTGTCCCGTATTTTCCGCTCCCCGTTTAACAAGATTCCAAAATACGGCCTATTATTTGTTTTATTAACTTCGTTAACAACCTCATATCGTACGCCCGCTCGTCGGGAATACAAATGGATAATTATAACACTGTAATGCAGCGATGTATTCGCCGGATCCATTCATATTGTTCATGAAATGTAATACTCTGCAAATCGGAGCCGCATTGTTAATTCAAAAATTTGCTTCACCAATGCGAATCAATGCAATGCAATTTCTGCATTGTTAATCGGCGATAACCCGCTAGCCGTTAATCGCCGCTAGAATTTTTCCTCGAAACAAACAGCCCTTTTCCTGAAAGGGTGAGCTTTACGTACCGCCGACACGAGCGTATAAATAACCGCTGGAAGTGGAAACAACACCGCGATTAGTATCTTTATTCCTTGCATTTCGAGAATCGCGATCGCAAGATAGGTTAGTTAAGGGGCGGCCGGATTAAACCTAAGCCCTTCATAACGACGCAAAGCCCAACTAAGATCGACTAACTAATCGACTGGTGGACCCGATATAGACGTGCATACAGGGACGTTTTCACCCTCCGTTTCACGGGGTCCATAATTCCGGATAATCAGGATTAACTGCGTTTGCTTTCTTCCCGGGCAAGATGGATGGCATCCTGGATGCGCGCGGAATCAATAAAAATTGGCGCGGTCGAGGAGGATCGCCCGAAATAGTTCACCCAACGTGGCGAAAATGTAATTTAAGTCGCAGGGATAAAGGGGAAGCTTAATAAATTACCCGAATTATACCTACCCACACTCCACCATAATCTATTCAAAACGAGCGGAGTACCCTGCGAGGTTTTACGGCCCCATTCCGGGGAATTTACTACGAGTAGTAAGACGGTACGTACTTACAATTTTTATTAAAACGTTTATCCGAAAAACTGACATGTGCAGGTGGGCGTCTAATGCCGATCGAGCATTCCTATCGTTATTCATTTGTGTTATTCAACTGGCGTGCTCTCGCCGTTACGTAGCCGAATAACTTCATTGGATAGTTTTACGCCGTGAGGTTGGTAATTTATCGATCGGAATCGTTCCCAGAACCGTTCTTCCACTCTCCGTGAATACGATTAAAACAGGTGGTGTTAAAAACGAAGACGAGGATCGTAAATATGCCGGGGAGGAAGCGCGTTTATGGATGCCGTATATGTCGGTTTCGAACGACTGTAATAATGTTTTATTTAACGTTAATTCACGTACAGCTTGTTTCCCTGGACGCTATAAAAATATAAAAACTGTGGGAACGTTTATTATCCAAAATAAATTTGAAACGCACAAAAAAATCAATTTCGTCGGGCTGAATTTTCCCGGCAGAACAAACTTTCCTTTATGGGGAAAACCGAACGACAATCAAGCCGGGGGTTTTTCTTGAGTAATTTCCAGATCGCAGCGCCCGAGCGGCATATGCGGGCAAAAAAGGGACAGAAAGGGCTCAGAAAAACGACCTGTTTTGCATTCATGTTGTATAAGGGCACTAACGCACAAACTTTCCCCCTTTTATCTGTATTGGTTTCCCCAGATATCATCTTAATATGCTATATTTTTCATGTGCCCTGCGTCTTTTCGTTTTTATGTTTCGCTAAGGTGCCGCAACTTACCCGGGGATTTTGCATTATTTAGGCGTACCAGCAGGATCGGTTCAATGCAATATTTACCAGAAATTACTGCTTGGTACTAATCGAGCTGCAAGCTTAATGCAAATCCGGAAACGTTGCGGTTTCCGCGGTTTTTATATATTTTTTAGGATACCGCACAGGACGTGTTTCAAATTCGTACGCAAGGGGAAAGGCGAAAAATCCTTTTTGCTCTTTATCCACTTTAAAATGGTGTCTGAGTTGCTCGTTGAATGCCGAGCGAGCGGGTACGTTCGCGTGTGTACACACAGAGAGCCCGTTAAGAAGTTGAAGGGCTTTCGCCTCATAAAGAATTCATCGGCGGCTTCCACTTTTCCGACTGGAGATGATATCGCGTTACGGTATTGTTAAGACTGACGACGCGTTATTCCGTTATTTATGGAAATCACGTTCGCTTTTTTTTATTAACAACGGGTCCCGGTTTATTCGGGGGTCGCGCGAAACGCCGTTATACGACTGTTAAGTCTCCGAAATAAATAACCTTCATATCGCACATCACACCGGAGCAGGCGACACATGTGCTGCTACACCTATATCTCGTCCGTTTCGTGCCATTTAACCCTGCAGGAGTGATAAACACCAGCGATCCTGTCCCTTCCGCTCTTTCGCCCTTTTTCCCAATGTCTCCTCGGGCGCCTAACTGACGACCTTCAATAAAACAACAAGTACAACGTGTACGGAAGGGCGGCGGCCATTCGAGCGTAGCAAGTGTCCAGTATTTTAGGCGATAACACCGCTCTATATAACTGGAATCTGTCCAGAATTTAATTTACACACAGAAAATTATTACCTCACACAGCACATAAAAATGAATATCAAACTTTCATACAAATTTAATAAGTACCCTGTATATTGTATAAAGTAGTGAAAGCGTATGACAAATGAGTTATAAATATAATTTCGTTTTTCCGCGGAATTTCTCATTGCAGATTCGCCGGGGCGCGCGTCGTTGGAGCATTTGTCATTCGGTTTTTGTTACGTGCGGGACACAGGACGCGGCAATTAAGGGTTGATTAGGGAGAAATTAATGTTAGTTGTTTTGAATGTTTCATCGCGGAATGAGATAAAAGGGGCCCGCTTTAAACGCTTTATGAAGTTATAAATGAAGCGGGGAGAGCAACCCTTTTTTCGCGGGTGGACATGTTCCGGTAATGCGCTGATTGATGTATTAATAAAACTCGGAGGTTGTTTAGTTGTTATTTAGGAATGTTAAATATTTATTTCAATTTCGTGCTGGGTGCATTAGGATTGAATGGAAACATCCCTTTCATGCATCCGAGCGACGTATAGAGAATGATTTAGGGGAGCCGGTGCAACGTTATTAAAACACCAGGCATTATTATTGGCCAGATATGGGCCCCATTCTTATTTCATGTCTGAAGTATTAGCGCTGATGAAAAACCCGCTGGACCAGAAGAATTGTTATTGTTATGTACGAGTATTCCTGTCCTGCTCTTTTTGTATTATCGGAGATGAATAAAATCTATTCACATCGCCAGTTGGAATTTTTCAACCGTGATATTCTTCTTTCTGCGGGGATACTTTATTATTGTTATCCGGACCATTCGGGCGATGTTTTTTTCATTTCCGCAACAACAATTTCGCGTGCATATAAATTTGTTTATAAACAAGTTCATCTGTAATAAATTTTCCATCTTAATTTCACTCTACACTTTCTTTGTGCGCTCACGTTCTGCTTAAAATAAATTGCTCAGGTACATTTAAGGAGAACATTTCCAGCGAAAAATCCAGACAAGAAAGCCGCCATAAATTTCCCGACTTGTCGGGTAAAACGAGAAACGGAGAAAATCTGGAAAGCCCGCATAGTTTCCCGGAAAAACTTTTCATATAAACAGATCGTGGATTTATCAGTACGAGTGGGTTGCTTCCTCGAAAAAGAAAGTAATTTAAAGAATACAGATAAAATAAATGAAAACGGTTTAATGGGAACTTTCGCCCGGCTCTCGACTCATCTAAATTTGATTAACGTTCGATTTGGAGGAACCGGAGCTCGTCGGTTTTTACTCGGTTCGCCGGGAAATGAGGAAATCTCGTTATAATCGCGGTTTGATATCAATCGCTTTCCACAATTCGCCGGTCCCCGCTTCGAAATTACGTTCGTTAAACGGTCGAATTATTTTTCAGATTTATTAACTTCTCCAGCACAACATCGATATAATTCGTCGGATCCGAAATTGTATTTATTCGTACCATAGTTCACCTGCTATTTTAATTACTCGTAGGCGCAATAAATCACAATTAGCTGCAATAAACCGTCGATTGGTAGGTAATAAACCGTATAGAGTGGATACAAATAATAAACTTCAATCAGATACTGGAAAACATTCATTAACACTACGTGTTATTTGCGGTTTCCGTTGTAGCGCAACGCCGTTGTTGCGGGACGTAAATCAGGTTGATAAAGTGGCCATATCAGCGCTATATTTATCTCACTTTAAGCAGTTTACGCTAAAATTGTAAGACATGGATGCCGGTAATACCGGGGGGGATTAACATTATTATCGCCTGCGTTGTCCTGCTCGACTGACCCTCCGGATTAGATATAGGGGATACGTAGGAATCGTATATACGTAGCCTCGCTTTTCCGTTTGTTGTAATGCCTTTTTTTCCCGCAGAAATGGAGAAATTCGAGGGTTAATGAATGGGATGTGTGCGCAAATTTGTTTTCGCGAAGGATAAATTTAGGTGCCCAATTTAGGAGCTTCGTTCGCTTTTTTGCAGGTTGTTTAAGTAACGACTTATATGTGCGATATATCTAATTTGCAGGGTAAATAAAGAAAACCCCGGTTTTTTTTTCGGTAAATACGGCAAAAACGCCGCTGATTCATCGAATCGGGACCGAGCGACTCGGGAAGATTTAATTTATACCTATGCAATCGAGCGTTAGAGATCGCAATCGGCGAGGGTAAAGAACCCTGAAAATCGGGGATTTCCCGAAAAAGGGTTGCAAGACGGCGATGCTCGCGAGAATTCCACCCGTTCGTTCCTCTCGTTTTCATCCCTTCGGACCGGCGGAGTCGAACGCTCGCTTTTATTACAATTTAAAAATAAACAATCCCGTATATTTCCGCTTGAAGCGCGTTATCGCCGTGCCGGAGCAAACGAAATTGTTTTCTCCAGTTTTCTGTTTAAATTGGATTTTGACCGCGGCACGTGATTCGAACAGAACACGCCCCAAAATAATTCCTTTTATTCAAAACCCGATCTAACCCACCTAATTCGATTTCGAAAATTCCCAGCAACACAAAGAAGAACACAGGTCAAGTTTTTTTTCATTAAAATACCGTTTATATAACAATCTTCATAACTTGATGGATTTCACGACTACGAATCCGGCAAACTTTTTACCAATTAGTCGATTCGGTAATTGTATTTTGGGGCACCGACGACATTGTTTCCCTTTATTTAAACAGACCTTACTCATCCGAAGCCCTGCGTAATTGTCCCGAAACCGCATAAACTCCGGGAATGTACGGCGCTCGTAAAATAAGACAGTCGTGAGCTACGATTCCCGTACGAAAATCCGGGCATAAAGTCGCCGAGCGACCGGGGGGCCGTAAAGAATTAAAATTAGACGCGTGATTTGTAACCGGCGACTTCCACGGGATTCAAACGAGTCGATATCCTCGTTGAAGTGTATGTATAGCGAGTTAATCTACCGGTGGAGATTTTATCGATGGAGTTTTGTGTAAATACAACCTTGTCCGGTCGTAAAAAGGCGGAATAGTAGAGCAAAATGTTTTATTAGTGGCAAGCTACACGGAGGGAAGAGACCCCTTTCGTGAAAACTCAACTCCCGGCGAAAAATCTGGAAATCAGGACGTCGCCCCGCGTTAATGGGTTTAATATGGATCGCGAACTGATCCTGGACATTAGAACAAAGCCGGGCGCGGGGAATTTTTTGAGGTGAGCGCGGAGTTTCGGGAGTTAGGGCGCCCCTTCGAGGAGCGTGAGGTGAATCCCTTTAGGGTTCGGAATGACGGCAGATTTCGGGTATCGATCAACGGAAATATCGCGTTCTATCATTCGGGATTACGATTTGAGGTATCGTCAAATTTGCATGCCCGGGATTTGTGCTGGCAATTTATTCTACAACCCTTAATAAGTTGACGAAAAACAGGGTGAACTGTAATTTCTCATTACAAAATCATTGCATGATCATTGTGATTTATGTTTGGGTCAAAGTTTTTCCAGTAAATGTATTGTAAATAATTTTTTTAACGTGGAACTCGATATCTATTCATTTCGACGTGGATTCCGACGCTACATTCCCGAAAAATACGTTCCGATACGGCCGGGTAAAAAAACCCCGGCTCGCAGCATCAGCTTAATTAAAAAATCGCTAGGTGTATACGCGATGCGAACATCTCGCTATCCGGGGAAGCTTATTAATTAAAAATATGAAATACCTGTCCTGATTTTACCTACTCTCTAATAAAACGAATAATACACCCCTTTTACAGCTTATTAAATCTGGAGCTTTATGAATTTCCGCGGAAATATTTCGCCCTCGAACAAAGGAGGAAACGTATACCCGATTAGAAATTCTGTTTTAGTTTATTCGCTGAATAGAACAAGGCATTACGGGCTTTTCATTAGCGAACTTACTCGATTCCAGTGCGATTGTTAAGGAAAACAAATTCCCGACTAAATCGAGCAAATAAACCCTTTTTCGAAACAATATTATTTATTTTCTTTTATATACCAATTTTCCACATATAACTCAATGTTTGTGATAAAAAGAGTCCTACAATTGGCAATAAAATTAATTTTTTTACCACACTTAAATTAAATCTGATATTATTAGAAACTACACAGTTGGGTTAATTTTCTCCCCATTTCCCTCCAGTATCGTCGACGAAAACACAACTAAGTCGCGTAATCCCCCCCGTTCTCATTGTTATAAATTCTTTGATCGGCCTAAACGCTTATTTATAAGCAGGGCCCAAACAAAAGGGTGTCTCTCTCTATATTATCATTAGGGTAGTCATTGTCAGAAAAGGAACATCTGGGGACAAGTGCCACCCCCGACGTTCAACGGCTCTCTTTCTGGCTTTAACTTCGAATTCTCGCAATTGAATCAATTATTAATGCGATTTGCCGAAATCATTGCCCGAAGCGCTAATCTTCTATATTTCCTTTTATTTTGAATTATGAATGGGCACTTTAGATTGGAGAGCGAGTACAGTAGCGGCTCGTCGATTACAGTTTATGCACCCCTGGTTCTTAACGAGCTTTTTTCTTAATCATTTTGTACTTAAAAAATACCCAAAATTTTGCATATTTGAACATTTTAGGGGTGTTTAAGAAGGGTGGATTTGCGTTAAAAAAAGTCCTATTTGTATATAAAAAATATCTTTAACGAGCCACCGATGTCGACATGTCGTGAATATATCTACATTTTCTCTATTTTGAATTATAAACGGATTTCGTTCGGCTTAAGAAACGATTCGCTGATTCACACTACATTAGCTACGGGTAGACCGTCTGAAGGGGTTCCAGTCAGTTATTTTCAATGTCGGAATTAGTTCTATGGAATTGGTCATTTAATTTCGCAGTAATAGATTTAATGCGGCCTCCAGAGGGTGATACGACTCAAAGGGGATATGACGGAATGGGCTAAATATTAGATTTAAGAACAGTTGGCGGGACAATGAGAGATGAAAAAAACGCATTATGTGGACATCGGGTTATTGATATTTCCTTTGTGTTTCGCCCGAGGGAGGATATTTACTTAATTTATCTTTTATCTCTCCAAATTTACACCGATATGGCATCCCACTATTACAGCAAACGGGAGCGATAGAGCAGAAGGAAAAAGATAATTTTTTGCTGCAAATTTCTTGCGCCTTCTCTAAGCGATACAGCGATTTAGATAGAGACAATTCCCCTTCAGACATCATATTTCACTTTTTTTCTCGACCGGTCGAAAATGTACAGGGCTCCAAACGCGTGACCGCCCGTTTAAACAGCATTCAGTCTCGAACGACGAATGTGGAGCAATTTGCATATTTTTGTCATTTTTTATACGCCGAGATGTAACTGTATAGGTACGAACATTCGCGTATCGCGTATGAAAAATGGATGTTTCGGCCCTTTGGGTAAACACGTTGATATTGTGACATCCAACCTCCGGCAGTGACGGAGAAGGGTTTTTAAAAATGTATCCCCAGAACATTAGAGAACGGCGGAACGTCAATTTAGACTACAACTTGCATTCGAGCTTCTATTATGGATCGTTGGATATTTTCTCTTTAAAACTAAAATTCAATACATCTATAAATATAAAACTTTATAGCTATAAAGGTGTAAAATTATGTTTAATTTTTTCTGAATTAATTTTTCTGGACCGCCGCTGGTCGGTGGAAGTGCGTCAAGGGAATCAAGCAGGTTTTCTTGTTTAGTTCAATCCAATGTAGAAGGGTCGAAAAATTCGACAAAAAATAAACTACGTGTCATAACTTTTTACACGTGAAAATATGAATTTTTTAAAATATACATTTGTCCTTCCGGCACTAAAATAATATACGCGCAGTGAAAATTAATGCAACTCTTACGATTTCGACGGTTTTGCTTATGCAATGGTAAAAATGTAAAAATCCGCCGATTTTTCGAGCAAATTGAAGAGGATTTTCGTCGGGTGCATGCGATGGAATTCCCGAGGAAAATTCCCGTCGCGTGTTCCGGGCACGTATTTGATGGCTTCGGTGCAAAAAATATTTACCAACTGTCGCCCGGATCGGGAAGCAATAACACAAAAAAGAAACTTTCAGTTTCTTACTTTAGTTGAGATGGTCGATTTATCGCCGGCAATCTAGATTTTGATTTAACAGAGCAATTTCGGAGGGTTATGTCATAAGTTTTTAGAGGGGCTTCGAGTGATTGCTGGTGTTTTTCTTTAATAAAATTGCGACTGGTGTCGATGACTGAAATACGATCGCGTCAGGAAAAGATGGCTCCAAATTATTATAGATCTACTCCTAGGGAAAACTTATTGATAAATTTATTATCATAATTGCTACAGCGAATTGAATGATGATGTGTAGTGGATTCGTTTTATTAGTATTATATTTGAACAGTCATAATATACTTTAGTGCATGGTCGTATAAAATTAACGTTTGCTAGTATGAAATTTATTTCACGTGCACTATAAAAACTCCAATTTCAATATTCTTCTATATCTTTTTCCGATTTTCACTTTAACATATTGCGTGCACTCAATATTCTTGATGGATCTCTTATGTTTTATTCAAAAAAATCTCTACAAAAGGTCCGCCTATCCTACAATCTACATGGAAATTCATTACACAAACAGCTCTGGAATCTTTTTTTTGAGATCCCCCTTATTCACAAATCGCCAATTCAAGCTTCCTACACGGTGAAACTATTTTAAAACTACAACTTGAAAACGTCGCTATATACAGGGTGTTTATTAAACATTCTATATAAATTGTCTGTTTAATTTACGGGAAATTTCCCTGATGACGACCTCGGCGCGTTGCTGGTGCAAAAAGCCACCATCAGCGAGTGTGCCGGGAAACTATCGAGCCTAAGATATAATCTCGCAGCACAGCTGCGACCACGCCACGCGGAAAGGCGACTTTTTATTAGTTCCGAAGTAGCGACACTAATGCTCCCCCGGTAGTTTCGAAGGAGATTTATAGTCGCTTGCCACTTTCGCTAAACGCTCTTGTCCTACCCGGAATTTTGAGCCGCACGTACCGCGTAAACACGGACTTTCCGTGCCCGCAAGTCGAAGTTTTCGCTCCGAAACGGCGCGATTTGAATGAAACATTAGCGCCGTCGAGGCGTTTTGAGGCTCCTCGGAAGTTGTCGCTTCTCCGGGCAAAAAATGCACGGCTCTTATGGAGGTGTTAGAAACTTATGGGATCATCTAGTTGACTATAAGAGAGAGGAATTAACTCTAATCTCAGTTGATGCGGGTTTTATTAAGTTTGTTCTACAACTTCATCAATTTATTTTATTACGTGTTTTCGCGTCGGTTTTTTTTTTCGTGCGAGATGTCGAAATGCGAAAATCTCTTTTTCATTCGTCGTTCATCATCGCGCGTTTTTCGGTAATAATCGAAAACGTATCACCTCCATATTGAAATGAAAGGCTATAAAGTATCAAAGAGGCATTTAGATGATTCACGACCGGTCCGCAGGGGGTAAATCCTTTTCTAAAGTGTAAAGTGAAATATGTCCGGGACAGATTTGATGTATCGATAACTTACAACTCTCCTGTTATTGCATTCCTCGAAAACTTTCGGCGCTCCGTATGAAAATTCCCTAAGTTATTGCCGCTGAATAGCATTCGGCTTATAAGTTTTCGAATATTGTAATATGCACTGTGTTTCGAGAGTCCCACCCTTTCCTTATAAATTCCCGATTCGTGTGACTTGCACAAAAAAAAACTACTTCATCGAAGCCTTTTTAATTCGCAAAGCCGACTTGGGTATTGATTTTCGCGGAAAGGGGGACAGAGAAAAAACGAGGAAACGTTTGTTCATTGTTATAATCCGAACGTACGCAGAACACACCATTTCGCAGTTCTTTTCTACACAATACTTTGCGTCTTGAACTCGATCCAATAAAGAAATTTCTTGGGGGAGCAACAACTCTGACGAGTTATAGTGCGAGAAAAAATCCAAAAAAATATAACCCATTCAATTATTCTACTGTGTAATATTTTTATAAATTACACAAACAGTTTACTAAAGTATGCACAAATAGATTAACTTACATAGATCTTTGCAAAAGAAACGGTGCGAATTTGCTTGTACTATAAGATTCATTTTGGAGATTCTCCTGCTCCTGATGAAAAACGTTATTTGTTATTTTAATTCCCCGAAATGAACAACGTAATCAAACGTTATTCGAGAACGATATGCTTGCCCATGAGCCGGTATTGTTGTTTTTCCTGCGAGCATTCCGCTCATGCTCGGAATGCCACTTTTGTTTCGTGTATTTGGGCGCAGCTGTTGGATTATAAGGAGTATCGAATTTCAAATGTATCGTGTCGGTTTTTGATATTTAATATTCGAAACGATCGCGGAAAAAAGTTCGCTTTTATCTCCCGGAAAAATCGACGTTATTAAAATTTATTACCACGGCGTTAATTACTTAGGTATGCATCGAGGAAAAGTTTCGGTATGCAAATTGTGCGTCAGGATGTTTCAAAGAAACCCGATTTTCGGTAACGGATATAAGAAATATATAGATCGTTTTCCTGCAAGATTTATAGGCAGTACGTTATGCTCGATTTACCATCAAGAATAAATGAAAGCGGGCTGACAGTTGACCGATTCTTATTTCGTTAAAATCGTATAAATATAATATAAATCACGCAAAAACGAAACTCCCGGAACGAAAATCCGAAATGAATATTGGAAAAGTTTCCCAACGCCTATTAAACATTCATCGAAAAAGTTCGCAAATATCACCCCCAGATCGGACTGTTTAACATGTTAATTACCAAACACCCTGTACAATACAACACCTAATTTCTCCCTCATTTAATTTACGCATCCTTCGCGCGCTTTCTCAACAAACAACAAATTGAGTTGTCCAATTAACAACTCAAGTAAACGACCTATCCCATCGCCGGGGAGTGTATAATCGCCGACCGGCTCGTCAGCGGCGCGAGTCTGGCAATTCGTCGGCATTTTCCAAAGACTATCGCCAACACAGGCGTAAAATCCAATTACCCCCGAATTAACATCGTAGTCGGCTTCCTCCTTTAATGAATTTATACTCATTCGCCGGGCTGATTCTGGCTCGCGTTTCGCGCCTGCACAGCCCATTCTCTTCCCAGTCGCCGGCTTATCCCGCTAAACGACGATTCCGCGCGATGCATGCATTATTTAGGCGAGTTTCCTATGGAAATTAGATGCAATTGTAGCTTTCGCGAATCTGTTGAATCGATTGAAACGAACAAAAAAAGCTCCGCACGTTGTAGAGAGACTGTTTAAAGTTTTTTAAAGCGTAGGAATTATGCGGATCGAACTCTCTCGATTTTCATTTCCTCGATTTCATCGCGCAAAGTTTCAAAACAGTTTCTGAACGCGATAAAATCTAGTAATTTCGCAGGTAGATTCCGGAGCATTCCTGCCTCGCAGCCGGTCATAATTCAATTAAACCAATTCGTGTTTTAGTTTGTCTTGTTGTGTTGGCTGCGAGCCGAAGAGATCGCGACCTGGGGACCCATTCCGTTTACAGTGCACATGCGATCTTCGCGCTCTTCCGGCGCCCAGCGAGTCCTCGAAATGGCGCCCGGACGGGCTCGGGCTCCGCGCGACGTAATTAAGTTAGAGCGTTTACGACGGTCCCGGAAAGGCCCTTTCGGGGATTTACGCGCGAATTTCCGCGTCTATAAGAGATTGTTATTTCTTTCGATTCGTTAATATCGTTAGTAGCGAGCCGGGAAAAAGAAGGCGCCGGGAATTAGGAGAAACCGGCCCGTTCGTAAATTAATTTCATAAACATAATTCTCCGGCGGCGGGAAACGCAACTCGGGGAAACTTCCGCCCGAGTGAGTAGTAACAGTTGATAACTTTATAACTTCGGCCGTAAAAGGTTATGAGGTATTTCACGGTAATTCCGAGTACATTTGACGAGGATGTAGGACGATTTTCTCATCCGTTTAATGTCTCTCTCGCGTCTGGTGTCTTCAAACTTCCAGCGAAAGTAATTAGACGCAATTGTACGTTTCGGCTGGAGCGCTTCCCAAATTGAAAACTCCCGAGTTGGCGAGATGTTTCGCCTTAACTAGCGGAATATTTATGCGTTACAACGAAATTTTTAACTCGGCGCGTAAACAGCTCGGTTTTCCGGAATTCACGCGTTTTTATAAATAGTCGCTTTTAAATTGAGCTCTAAAAAACATCTCGCGGCTGAGTTATGTGGAATCATTAAGGTTTTAACGATGCCCATTGTTAGAGTCGGCATTCTTTTGCCCGTCTATTTTCGTCTTAACGCCCGTTGACGGATCACCTGTTTTCCCGAACTCACCGCGCAAATGGAACGTTCAATAATTTGTCAGAGTTGGCAAGAGCGCGGCAGGACGTCGTTAGGGATTTTTTTGGAAATACTTTTACTTCATGCTAATTCAACAAATCATGTCTGGAACTTACTCATAAGCGCTCTTAAAGGCTTTAACATTAACCACACGCGTTTATCTCCCGTCGAAAGGCCCTTAAAAAAAGCCTCATTCGCACCCTCGAAAACAAATAAACCGTTTACCTAGAATTTAAACGTGTTATCCGGCTCATATTTTAAAACGAATCGACACTGCCTGCGGCGCATTCGAAATCCCACAATACCCGAATCTTTCACCCACACCGACGACAGTGTTAATTATTTTATTATTCCCTCGTATCTTTCCTTCCTAGCCAGCCACTTAAAATTGTCAACACTATATTAAACCTGGAAGCATAATGAATAGCCCGGAGAACGTCAACAAATTGTACCAATATAAAGATTGAGACAATTTTCATATATCTTATTATTGTGATTCGTTTCATTGACTCACTCGGTATATCCATAATTATATAATCGCAAATTTGTTTGCAATATGATCAATTCTACGAGTGGAACAAGGAAAGTTTATTAAAATAACGGTGGTTACAGTGAGAAAGTTGCAATTCCACACTATCACTATCTTCTTCCTTTATACAAGACTAATGGAAGTTGTTTTTGTTGCACTCATATAGACCATATAGCGTACAACTATGCACATTATTTGAATTGAGCCGCATTGACTGGTCTATGAGAATATAAATCCGAATAAAACTCAACGTGACAAGTAAGAGCGCCTATTCCTGAGCCTCTGGTATCGAACTTTTTTATCTTTCCTACTAAATTAAACGATGATAACAATTTATGTATGTTTGTGTTCGCCGTCGACACGTTTTTTTAAAGTTTTTCTAATGCCTCCACGAAGGGGGTGCGAAAAATATATTATGTATTACAGACGATTATGGACGACTGCACATGTGTTGTTGTATTTATAAAGAAAAGAAAAGCGTCGAGTGATCATAAGTAGTACAGCTATTTACGTTATTAATTATCCGAATACAAAAAATCATGTTTGTGTATATGGAACACAGCTTCTCTAAGCTCCTTATTAATACCCTTAAAAGCCCTCCACCAGAAATTCACCAGCCTTAACTCTTCAGTATACGCCATTTCTAATCTATTAGATATTAGAGCTTAATATCGTACGTATTTCTACGCGAATCGATATACATATCTGCATATAATACGAGCCCTTCAAATGAGCAGACGTTCGGTATATTGTATAGTGTTTGTGCCTACTCCAACTATTCATAATAGAGCAAGTACAAGAGATGCCAATTACTTTCTGACTAATTTTCCATATAACACATAGATTATTGATCTTATTAGCGGTTTATGCCGTCGCTTAATTGAGGTAATTAATTCAACCGAACAAACATAGCAGAGCGTATTCAATAAATCGAGCATTCAGGCTATAATGAAGATCACTCATTTAAATTGTAAGGTAAAAAAAGGGTATAAATAATTCCGTGATTTTTTCGAGATAAATGGTTCGAATTCCGGTCACGGTTTGATTCATCAACTTAACGGGGAATACGTGAATTTTTTTCCGGGAAACTGTGGGGTCGGGACTCGACCGAAATTCGGCGGAATTCAAATGAAACCCGACGTAATGGCGTTAGCTCGAATATGTGTATCCGTCGTAATTTTGTATTCGGCGAACATTTATGAAACTACTGAAATTTAGTACCGAAACGAACGTTCGCCAAACTAGTTTACTTACAATTAGCGAACAAATATGAGAAAGTGTGTGTTGTTTAATTAGATTTGTTTTCGAACTGTGCATGCATAAATGCACGGAGGTTAACTGTCGAGTAATTTTTCAAAGTAATTCCGAATTTAGGGGACATTTTGGATAATTCGTCGGGGGGAATAACGAAGAAACGTTGAATGTTTTCCAATATATACCGAAGTTTACTAGATTTATACAATCAGTTATTGTTACGAGATAATAAAATTTATATTGAGTTGGAAAACTTCGTCAATATTGGCTTTAGTTTAATAAGGAAAATCATTAAAAGTTTCGAAGAGATTTTAGGGATTTCGACTACCGATTGAATCCACTCGTTGTCTTTATTACATTGAAACTCCGGTTAACTCTCAAATATTCTTAAAATAATTGTTGCTTCCACCCAACTTTTCCACAACCTGGGTAGTTAAAATTAAATCAATCACGTAACTTATAAGATATTTTCTCTAATCGACAAAAAAACACATTTTCATTTTCCGAATCCAACTCGACATTGACAGATATCTCAGGCGGGGTTTCTTCTGTCCGGTAACTAATCAAATCCAGCTTGTCGTTAATGACTTAACCCGCTATCGGTTATTCCTGCGGCGAAAAGCGGGAAACCGAACGAGCCGGAAATAAAAATAATATTTCAATTTCTCGCAGGATTACGGGCCAATGACAAATGTCTCGGAGATATTGGCTCGCCGGTGATTGAGAAATAAACGCTCGGCGAGACGCCGATATGAAAAAAACAACAGCCCAGCGCCGTTTTATTTCGCATTTCCTCGTCCGATCCTCCGAGGATAAGAACATATGCCGATGAAATAAATAAGGGGATATCGGTAATTGCAATCGCCGGGGATAATGATAATTGAATGAGCGCGATTATTACCTGGTATTGTTTCGATTTGCACCGTTCGAATTTTTTATTCGTCCATGCGAATATTATATTGGCGTGATCCATATTTAAATGTTAAGTTAAATATTTATTGAACTGGATTTATTTGCCAATTGATTATAGAGATTAACTAATATCAATAGGAATTGTTATCGTTCTATTTTAATTTAATTTCATTTAATTTAATCGAGTTTATGACGACCTATTTTGGAAGCTTAAAATAAACAAAATTAACATAGAAACGTCATTAATGCCGTTGGCATTATCATTGTATATTTTCGACAGGAAAATGGAATATTAGACACTATTAATTCATAAAATCGCACTGCTTATTTTCCCCCTAGTTTCATAATCCTATAGTTTATACATCCTGTATAATTATATGCATCCATCAATATCAACCGACAAATATTTACAATCGCCATATCGAAGTAATTGCCTAAAATTATTACCAGGGTTATTATTAAAATCAAAGCGCGCATGTCTATCAATAATTATTACATATCCAATAAACTATATTTACTAATCAAAAATGGATTCGAATAGAAATTAATTTTACTGGCGAATTTGCATCGACTTCTTGTTAGGTACTTTACATTCGGTCTAATTTCAATCGATCATTAAAATTTCACTCAAAACCTTTCACTTTATGTATTTGTGCTAAAACACAATTTCGCATAAATCACTATTTTAGTAATTTTATCTCCAGCGGAAATCGATGGTGATTTTATTTAAATAAAATACTTTATTAGCTCGATCTTATTGTAGGTGGTGCTTTATCGGTCGGTTGGAATTTAACCATAAAACTAAATTTATACATTGAGAATTTATCTGAAATTTTATTACACCGTCCATTGAAGTCTTCAAATAAATTCCCGATTGTTGCCTCGATTGTATTTACGGATTCAAAAAACAACTATTCGGAACCTAGTGGTTAGTAAACAGCATTTAAATGCATGTATAAAGCGCAGTATAGCAGCATATTGATCGCACTTCTGTCGTCTCTTTAATTACATTATCAACTAACCCCTCGGAGTTAAAGAGGATGCTGCAAAGTTCAACCTTTCGAATATACATACATATTCGAAACGTCGTCC